GATAATGAGTGTAAATAAAAATTTTTTCCACATATAGAAAAATCAACAAAAGAATATACATACGGAATCGGTAATGGAAACGGAATAGGAATCTTTTTCTTATGAACCGAACTCAATGCAGCCAATGCAGCCACTTCAATGCCTTTTTTCTTGAAGAATTTTTTCTCTTTACGTATAAATTTATATAAATGTTTGGCAAATTTTCTATGTGCTTTGAATACCGATGATGATTCCACTGTAGTGATTGCCATTATAAAACAGATGAATATCATTATTAATAATGTTGTTATTATTAATTGATTCATTGATGATCGATTCATTTTTTTTGAATGAATCAACATGTTTATTGATTATTTATTGTTTTTTCGATGATCAATGGTCAATGATGATGATGATGATGATGATGTGGATAATGCAACAAAACAAATTTTCAAATGTTCAAAGTTTTTTTTATCATGGAACACATACATACACACACCGAAATATGGATTTGGAAACCGAATGCAAAAATGAAAAAAATATTTATCGACAAAGCGGAACTGAACATTTTATACTGCAATTTTTTTTGTTTGTTTCATTCGCTGGAATACATTTATTCTCTTCCCGTTTTTTTTTGGTCTTGGTTTCTGGAACAATAACAACAACAACAACAACAACCGAATAGGAAATGAAATAAAATTCATTTCTCTTCACTTTCTTTTTTTTTGGATTAAATTGTTTGTTTGTTTGTTCGTTTTTTTTTTTGGCCACCAGAAAAAATTGTGGATAAAATTTTTGCACTCAGTAAACACATGCGATGGTCATCATCATTGAAAAGGAGAAAAAAAAAACGAAATTCATTGTCCACGTACCACAACAAAAAAAAAAAAATTCAGATCAACCAACCAACCAACCACCAATTATAAAATTATTATTTATCAAATGTCAAATCACTAGAAAAAAACAGAATGTGAGAAAATGACACCAAAAAAAAAAAAAAAATCAAATCAAAACAACAAAACCAGAGTAGTTTGTCAAATCAATTTTTATGAGGTAATAGAACAAAAAAAAATCATAATTATAAATTGGTCAGCCAAGAGAGCATGACTGGACATTATTATTATTATCATTATGATGACCGTTGTGATTTTTTATTCGCCTGAAATGATCTGATTTTAATACCGTGAAATTCAATAATAATCATTCAACCGATTAAGTACACGCAAACACAAATTTTCGGTATTTCCAGGTGTGTGTGTGTGTGTGTGTGTGTGTGTGTGTGTGTACCAGGTCGGTCGATGTCAATTGTTGTGGACACTTGAACTATTAAATGTTCCATTTGGAACGTTGTTTTTTTTTATTGCTTATAATCAAGTGACAAATGATTATTATCATTTGCATGTGAACATATTTTATTTTCCCACTGGTACAATTTTTTTTCTTCTAAATTCCGGTTTTTACCATTAATTTTTTTGTTTTGTTTTTCACTTTTTTTTAAATTGAATTATTAATTATGGAACAACAAAAAAAAATTATTACCTTGTCGTTGTCGTTGTTGTTGTTGTCGATTAAATGATTGTGTGCATGTTTTTTTTTCTCAACTGGACAAATAAACAACACAAGAGATTTGATTCAATGGTTTTCCGATGAACAAAAAAAAAAAAAAATCGAATCAAATTCACTTCTGGTTTTTCTCTTTTTTTTTTTTGGATTCATTCAAATGAAGAAAATCAAAAAATCCACTTGACCAGTAATATGTATAAAAGGACAAATTTTATTTCCGATTTCCGAAAACAAAACTAATCCATTCGTCATTTGTATTTGAATCCAGTGTTTGTTTGTTTGTTTGTGTGTTCCATGATCAACCAAAAAAAAAAAAAACCAAACAAACAAAACTTGAAAAAATTTAAAAAGTGAAATTATTGATAATAAAATAAATGAATTCAACAAATTAGTGCAAAAAAAAATCCTGACCTCAAAAATCCAGAATTTTTCATCATGAAACTTTTCAATAATAATCTATTCATTTGTCTATTATTGTGTATTGTTGGCCATTATGTCAATATTTGTTGGTCATTTCCAGTGAGCAAAGGAATTAAAGCAGCAGCTGCTGCTGCCGTTGCTGCTGCATCGATTAGCAAGAAAAAATTCTTTCCACTTCCAATTCCAGTACCGATACCGTATGTATTTATTTTCATTTTTACATCTGGTTTCTCATCTGGATGATCATTTTTTGTTTTTGTTTTTTTTGTTGTTCTTTTGACATAAATTAGAATTATGAAACCACCAATTGTTGAAGGAATTCCCGTCCCGATATCATTGGTGGCATTTGGTGGATTTCGTGGCCCATATAGTTATGGTGGCGGTGGCGGCGGCGGCGGTGGTGGTGGTGGCTTTGGTGGCGGCGGTGGTTTTGGCGGCGGTGGTTTTGGTGGCGGTGGTTTTGGCCGTTAATTATCAGCAAAAATTTTGTTCATATTTTTTTCTGTTCACTTGCTTATACCCATATACACATCATACATTTGTTTTTGATATTTTTTTTTCATTATGTTGCTGCACAGGATGCTGAACAAAATAACAAAAAAAAAAGATTAAAAAAAAAATTATCAACAATTAAAATTAATATATACACAAACATCGAAACAAAACAAAACAAAACAAAACAAAAAAATTTTGAATAAAATTCCAGATAAATTCCAGAGAAAACGAAATTATGATTGATGAATCATCATGGATTCAATAAACAAACAAAACGGACAAATTGGATCAGATTACCAATGACGAAAATGAAATGATCCATGATCAATTTACATAATGATAATGTTAATGTTAAAAATTATTTTTATTCATTCATTATTATCATCATCATCATCATTAATCAATTAATCAATACAGTTGAGAATATTCTGCAAATTTCAAAAAATTTTTTTTTTTTTTTGGCAAATTCAGTGGCCTATTATAGGTAGTACACATAATGTATTTGTCATGTTTGTCTATTTTTAATCTAATTTTAAATTTTTTAAAAAACAAATGCAAATATAAATGTTAAGTAGATTTGGTGTGTGTGTGTATGGTTGTAAATGAAATCTGAATTATAAAAATCAATGGATAAGTACAAAATTTTGGCCATTTAACACGTTTATAGTAGTGGTGTGTGCGTGATTAGTTAGAAAAACAAACAGATTACAAATTTTGATAAATGATTTAATCATGATTATTTAAATGAGCGAATTGATCCAACAATTTGGTTTTTTCCATGGTTTGCATGTGAAACCGACCGGTCAAATATATAGCCTCTATTTCTTTTTCGATTTATCCACAATAACTTTACCGGTCATCATTGGTAACATTGTACTACTACCAAGCACTGCTGCTTTTTTCGATGAAAATACTGACATTTCATCTTCAAGAAGATTTTTTTCTCGCTCTAAACGTTTCTTTTCGTCACCATTTTCACGTTTAAGACGATCAAAACGATTATGCATTTCACGTTCAGCTTCTTTCAATTCTTGTTCTTTATCTTTAACACGTTGAACAAAATTTGCACGCATCTCTTCTTCACGACGTTGTAAGGATTCTTTTAATGCACGATGACGCCATTCAAATGTTTCATTGAAACTTGATCTATCCATTTCATTTTCATCACCACCAAAACCCATCTGTTGTAGACGTATACGGCGATATAATTCATAATGTTTGGAATGTGTTGTATAACGTAAATCTTCCATATTCACACGAATGACCATATCGCGTAACCGTACAAAATCGCAATGATTTTCATTTTCAACTATTGCCAAAAAAAAAAAAAACAATGAAAATTATCTAGTAACACACACACACAAAAAAAAATAATATCACAATACCATGAACAGTTCCCCATGGATATTGACGTGCACGAATATGTTTACTACCAATACGAATAAATTCATTACTTGCAACAACAGCAAATGGTGTCAATGAATTATTAGTAGTATTAATATCGGCCACTTCAGAATCATCAACAGGAAAACGATAATATTCAATACCATTTGCATTCAATTCATTTGTAATACGTGTACGAAGTTTTTCCAATTCTTGTTTAGTAATCGTATCGGCTTTACCAATGACCGGAATTAGATTAACTTTATTATGTAAAGCTTTCATTGTGACCAAATCTAATGCACGTAAACCATGGCCAATTGGCGATAGAATATATATACAACAATGTATACGACTATCGGTCAATGGACTTTGTGAACGATGTATTTTTAATTCTTCTTGTAGATATTTTTCAAAATGTTCATCGATATATTCAACAATCGGTTTATATGAATCGGCTAATGAAGAAAATGCAAAAAAAAATAATCGATTAGATTAGTCATATCCACAACGTTTCATCATTCCATATTAAACTTACTTTTATCGATCTGATCACCAAAACCTCTGGATTCGACTAATGTTAATTTAAGTTTAATATTACCTTCATTCAATTCCAATTGTTGTGTTGAAACAGAAACACCAGACATATTATGATTACGTGTAACAGATTGATCTGTTGATAATTTTGTATTGAATAATGCTTCCAATAATGTTGTTTTACCAACACCTGTAGCACCTAATGCCAAAATATTGAAACCAAAACCATCACGTATAACACGCGATACTAATTGATCGGGTAATGTATCAAAACCAACATAGGTTTCTGGACGTAAAACACGAAGACCATTCTGGGTATTACCACCACCACCACTATTATTATTAGCATTACCATTCATCATTGCACCGTTTGTATGATGAGAACCATTTGTCGAATGTAATGAAGATTTCATTGTTGTCGATGTCGATGATGGTTGTTGTTGTTGTTGTTGCTGCTGCTGCTGTGGAATATTACCCGGTGTTGATATTGATTGTAATGGAATTTTTGGTTTATTCGATACCATTGGTTTCGAAATTGGAACTGATGATGATGGATTTGTCAAACCACCACTTGCTGCCGTACCAATCAATTGATTATTCATGGCATCATTATGATGTTCAGCAGACATTTTTGACAGAATTTGATAATGTTCAATGAATTGTTTTGTCAATTGGCTAAATTCAATTAATTAAAAATTGATGAATGAAAATGAACAACAACAGCAAACATTCGAATGAATGAATAATGAACGTGAAAGCGAAACCAAAGACAAAAAAAAGAAGAAGAAAACATTAAGATTGACACAATGAAAATAGAGAAAACAAATTAGAATTAGAAATACTCACACAGCGCGACACAGATACAAACAAAAATGGACTTGACTTGTTGTTGGTTTTTTCGTTTTTTTTCCACGAAACGAGAAGAAAAAAAAACAAATTAATATTCAAACGAAAATTAAATTTGGAATGTTTTTTTTTTTTTGCTCAAAGATGATGATGGTGATGGTGATAATGTCCGATGTTGATGACCGAAAGATAGAAAAAAAACCAGTATTTGACCGAAATATCAATAAATTTTTCTTCTCTGGTTGGTTATAAAACAAAGTGTCACCACATTAATTCACAATTTATCGTTTTTAGGAAAAAAAAGAGTCAGCCAGTTTGACAAGCTAGACCATACCAATTTTTTCTATTTTATCATCATTTTGCACACAGCACAGCACACATACTGTTTTTTTTACCAAGAAAAAAAAACAGTTAGCAGCAGCAGAAGCAGCAGCAGCAGCAGCATCATCGATAGGGAACTCCGTCAATCATCATTTCGTTTAAAGCCGTTTTTTTTTGCGCACAGTTTTTGGCACCACCCAATTTTTTCCTATTTCGATTCACAAGAATACAATGTGTGTGTGTGTTATTAAATCGCTACATCTAGCGCGAATCATTCATATAGGACGTATATTTTTAAAATTCAAAATTTTTATTTTTTATTTATTATCATTATCCATGTAATTTCATTTATTATAATCATCATCATTAAATATAATATTTCACTGTGTTATGTGTGTGTGTGTTTGTTTTTTTTTGGTGTCAAAGGGAAAATACAATCGGACAATGTGTTAGAGTCACACAGAAAAAAAAAAAAATTTTTTGAAAACAAGAAAAAAAAACTGGACACAAATAAATAAGTTGTTGTCTTGTTTTTTTATTTTCGAAAATACATTGTTGATATCGTTGTTACTGATGATTGTGATGATAATCGATAATCGATGATTTTGACGGCCACAACGATGACAACGATGACATTGATGATGATGATGATGATGCAGATGACGATGATTGGATGAATTTTTTTGTTTTGATAATCACGAATTTTTTTTGAAATAAAGAATATCATAAATACTGTATATATGGTGTGGGTATATGTGGTTGTTATTTGATGAATTCACACACACACAATAGATTTTTAAAAAACCAATGAAGAGAAAAAAAAATGACAAAGAATTTGAAATTCAAGAATTTTTTCGGGTTTATTTGTTTGTTTGTTTGTTTGTTTTTTTCGGGTTTTTTTTTCACCGTTGCCATTCAATTAGAATCTCATTCCTTCACCATTTAAAATGTCCTCGTTTCCGATGATCTGCTTCCTATTTTGATTTCTATGATTTGTATGATTATCATCGATAAAATAATAATAATAATCATTATCATCATCATCATCATTATTATTATTATGATTATATTGATTTTCATCATTATTTTTGTTGTTTTCATTATATTCATCATTTAATAATTTTATTAATTTTCTTTGTAACTTGCCTGTTTGTCTTTGTTGTTTTGATTGTTCGTTTGATGATTTTTGTTGTTGTTGTTGTTGATCCTTTTTATCATCATCATCATTCTTTTTAAAACGCATCCCTTCTTTATCCAATAATGATGGACCATTATTACCAGCAGCGTTATCTTTTTTAAAACGTAATCCTTCACCATCCAAAACAGATTTTCTTATTATAAGATTTTTATTCAATAATTCATTGGGATTTTTTTTAAAACGAAATCCACCATCTTCATTCAATAGAAATAATGGCCGTTTAAAACGCATTCCTTCATTATTCAATAGGCTTTGATCGGCTCGCCGAAAACGCATACCTTCATCATTCAAAAGGCTTGGATCAGCTTTCCTGAAACGCATACCTTCGTCATTGAATAATGGATCTGGTCGCCGGAAACGCATTCCTTCATCATTCAATAGGTTTGGATCAGCTTTCCGGAAACGCATGCCTTCCTCATTTAAGAGGCTTGGATCTTTTTTAAAACGCATTCCCTCATCATTGAACAAAGGATCTGGACGCCGGAAACGCATTCCTTCATTATCCAATAAATTTGGTTTTTTAAAACGCATTCCTTCATTATCCAATAAATTTGGTTTTTTAAAACGCATTCCTTCATCATTGAATAATGTATCTGGTCGTCGAAAACGCATTCCTTCATTATTCAATAATGGATCTGGACGACGGAAACGCATTCCTTCATCATTGATTAATGATGAATCTTTTTTATTCAATATTAATAATGGAAATGCTGACGACGATGATAATAGACGTTGATTGTTCATAATGGGAATATTTTGATGAAAATATGAATTTTCTAATGATGCTAATCCAATACCATCATTATTATTATCATCATCATAATCATCAATAATTGGTGCGATGAATGATGATTTTTTACGAAAACGTAAACCTTCATCATTTAATAATGATTTTTTATATGTATTTGTTGGTGGTCGTATTATAATTGTTGCCATTGGATGTTGTTCACGTTGTTGTTGTTGTTGTTGTGGATTTTGATGCTGACGAACCAAATCAACGTTATCGTCATTATTATTATTATTATTATCTGAACAGGATTTTTTTTTCATTCCAACAGACAAGTGATGATGTGGTAAGTGGTAATTGGAAAAAAATGAAAGAAAAATTAAATTAATAATCAAATTAAATATATGACACAATGTTGTTGTTTTTTAATCTTTCCGATCATCAACAAATGGTTTTCTATCCACCATTTTTATTAAACATTTGTTGATGATTGGAAAAGATTTAGATTTTTTTTTCTCTATTGATTGTCATCGATTGATCTAGAAATTATTATTATTTATTATCAAGTTTAATATGAAAAATCAATATTTTTTTTTTATTAATCCATCGCCATCATCATCATCATTATTATGTATTGAACATCAAATATTGGTGTTGACAGAAAAACAAAAACTGTGAAACGATTCACAGATTGAGATACAGTGGAAAAAATTTTGAAATGTCAACAAACAAAGTGTTGTGTATATAAAATTAGAAAAAAAATGACAACGATGACAGTTCCAGAAAATTGTGATTTATTAATTGTGATAAAGATGTGATGATGATGATGATGATGTCACATAATCATTGGATTGTCATTGTGCCATGCATGTGTGTGTGTGTGTTTACGTAAATTCTGTCATTTAGGAATTATTATTATTACTATAATAATAATGACAATCGATTTGATTTGAACATTTGTCAAATAGACATTTGACAAAGATACGATTCTGTGGTTCGGAGGGGAGCATGAATATACGATGAAGAATTAAAAAAGTGGGGTGGAGAATCCCAAATTCAATGGAAAATCCAAATTCTTATTTACACACACACACACACACACAAACTAGTGGATAAACTTTTCATTTTTTTTTTTGAAACTTTGTATATTGATTTCCATGGCAAAAGAAAAAACGACAATTTTGTTATTTAATGAGAAAAAAAAACAAATTCATTCACTATGTACATCGACACACACACACAAACAAATAAAGTCTCATTTCCGGTGATAAAAAATTCAATGATTTTTTTTCTCTCTTGATCATATTATCAGAATTTTTTTTTTCTTTCGTTTCATTCGATATCCTGGCTACAAACAAACAATGTGTTTACACACACACACACACAGAAAAAATCATCAAAAGGCAATATCATCGATACAAACAAATATCCTGGAGCTGAAATTTGAATTAAACTCTGACTTTTTGATGTTGATGTTGATTTTGATTTTGATTTTGATTTGATTTTAATTTCAATTTCGAAATACAATATATATCATCGCGTCAACAACAAAAATACAACAGGGTCAAAAATTCAAAAAAAAGTGATTTGTTTGAATGAGTGAAAAAAAAAATTCAATCGATTCATAAAATGAAAATTCAATTGACGATTGATTATTATTGACAAATCAATATAGATATATAGATTGCAATTTATATTGTCAACAACAACAACCAGAACAACAATGATTATGATGATGAATATGACGACAATTGCTATTTTTTTTTTTTTTTAAAAATCCAATCAAATTGAACAATAGAAAATTGTTGATGATTTTAATTTTGTTTATTTGCTTCTGGCTTTTGTAAAATTTTGATGAAATTTTTTTTTAAGAATTTTTTTTTTAATTTGTGGTTTTCACCGTATGTGTTCGATAGAAATTCATTATTCAGAATTGATGATGATGATGATGATGATGATGATGGGCTATTTACAAATTTTGGTTCCGGTTTTTTTTCGTTGTTTGTTTGACGTTGTATAAATATCAAATGAAATCATTTGATTTTCAATTTTATCCAGAAAAATCTTAACTTTTTCTTTGCAAAAAAAAAAAAATTAATTATGATCAAAAGCTCTCTATCTCACTCTGGTTTTTTTCTTCTGTTTATCTCAAATAACAGAATTAATCATCATCATCATCATCATCAAGAATCTCTTATCGATTTTCATCATCATCATCATCATAGGCACAGGGAAAAAATCGATAAATTCAAATTAGTTACACATTAAATAAGAAAACAACGAATGAATAAATAAAGATAGAATGAGAATATATAAATGCAACAATATGCAAATGTATGAACGAAAAACAAAAAAAAATTTGTCACATCATCATCATCGTCGTCAAACATGAAGATAATAATCGTCGATGATACAATGAGGTTTCTCAAATCTCTTGGGGTTTATTTCGTTCACTTTTTTCTTCTTTTTTTCAATTCATTTCGTTGAGTTTCTCACACATGTATAATAAATGTAACGAAGAAAAAAACAGAATCCTTTTCCTATTAGAATATTCATGATGATGGAAAAGAGAAAAAAAAATTTTTTTCATGGAATGGAAAGAAAATGGCAAAAAATTCTTTATTGAAAAAAAATAAAATGAAAAAAAATTTTAATCTCATCACATTTAACCCACTAAATAAATAAAACACATTCCATCATCAACAACAACAACAACGAGAATGTTGTTCTGTATATTCCTGTATGTGTTTGGATGTTGATGTTGATGAATGATGATGGAATGTGTTTTGTAATACGTGACGTAATGTGATACTTAATCTGCATAATAATAAGGTTTTTTTCTTGTTCATCTGATAATGAATAGTAAGTATATGACTGATTATCATTCGCACATACACACACATAGGATGGTCATATGAGAATATCTATCATGTGTTTGTGTAAAAAAAAAAATCTAAATTCTTAATTCCAATTACAAATATCTAGTAGTGATAATCATTATTGATGTCAAAAATGAATGTCAGAATATTTCATCATCATCATAATAATCATATAATTAACATCGATATGATGATGATTATGAAACATGTGTCATCAATATGTTGTGTTAGTCAATTCAATGACTTGATAATAAATTAATGTATTATTAATCAATACACGCACACACACACACGAAAGAATTTTGATGTATTGATCAATCAAAAATCGATTGAATTACACACACATAGGAATAGGATTGATGACACAACAACTTGAAATGATAGATATGGTAGATATTCGTGTCTGTGTGTGCATGTATGTGTGTGTGATACTTGAATTATCGTCTGTCATTATTTGCGACCATAAATTATGATGATGATGGAAAAAAATTTGAAATTTGATACTTTTCTAATGATTCAAATATATGGAAAAAATTCCATTTAAAAGAATTAAACTTACAAAATTGTTTCCATAGATTAAAATGATGATTTGTTGGTGTTGATAAAAATGTTGATAATGGTAATCGATTCATTTTATTGTGTTGATTTGATGCAGTCACAATTTGTGGCTGCCTCTGTTGTTGTTGTTGTTGCTGCAGTTGTGGTTGTAGTTGTCTTTCGGTAAATATCTCTGAATTGACCTGATTATAAATTGTTGGCCATTGTATTATGATTGAATAGATCATTATCTGCATCCATAATAATGAATAAATCGATGATGATGATGATCGACCTTTCTGTTGTGGAAATGATAGCTTTTCGATTATTGAATTCATCATGTTGTTGTGTTGTGGCCAAAATAAACTTCGATCAATCAATTGATGGAAATTATTTGAATTGAATTTTTGTTCAAAAAAAGCAACAAATTTTTAAAATGAAACAAAAAAATTCTGTAAATAATGGAAATGTTTGGAAAATTTTTTTTCTCTTCACAAAATCATCACACATCGTTGAAAATCGAACATTATTATTGTTGGTGTTACTATTTTTTTTTTTTTTTTTTTTTTGGATAATCAACGAATGACCGTTGCTGTTGAAATGGATGATCGCACTATTTATATATCCGTTTCAGAAGTGAATTTTTTTTTTCGCATTCCGCTTGCTCGGTATATTAATATGTGTGCGTGTGTGTGTGTAATTTGTTGTGCGCACAATTTTTTTTTCTATAAAAAAAAAACAAAACAAAACAAAAAAATCATATATAGCCTATATTTTGACGCCCATAAGATGCGTTTTCACTTTTTTTTTTTGGACATCGGCAACAAACATCATCCATGACGATTGTCGATCGACCAGAACCTTACCAAAAAAAGCCAAATTTTATAGTGTCGATCATCATCATCAAATGATGATGATGATATTTCTTTATTTCATCAGAAATCAATCGATAAACAGGGAAAATTGAAAATCATTTGAAATCAATTCAAATCAAATCAAATAAAAAAAAAATTTCAATTACAAAAAAAAAACACCAGGCACGCACAGAATTCTGAAAAATTCTGAACAAAAAACCATACCATATATACGATAATACACACACAAATGATGATTTTTCATTATTGAAAGAGAAAAAAAAACAACCAATTTTCCAATGACAAACAAGAAGAAAAATTGCAGAAATTTATTACTTGAAATTGAATTTAACGATAAATAAATCTGAAAGATTTAATTTTTTGTTGGCCGTCTGAAATGATGATTTCCTTCCGTATAACAAAATGAAATGAAATGAAATTTTCATCATTTGATGAGAAATGATGTGCGTGCGTGTGTGTGGGTGTGTGTTTCCGGGCAAAAACTATAGCGAGGGAGAATAATAGCAAAAAAAAACCAAAATTCTACATCAATGTGGAATATTATTATTTTTTTTTTATGAAACAACAACAAAAATATTTTTTACTCTAGTCATTACCTATAAATCAATCGTATTGTTACGAAAAATTTTCATCATTATCATCATCGCCGTCGTCGTGTTGTTGATCTCTAGGGTTTGTGACAAATTTTTTTCCCATTCTCTTTCAAACTGATAATAAATGGCAATTCGTTATTATTGGCTATTGTCCATTGTTGTTGTTGTTGTTGTTGTTGTTTTTTTAATTTAATAAAATTAATGTTTTCACATCATCAAGAATCGAGGCCATTGGTGGTGGATAATAATAATGATATTGATGTTTTATTTTAGTGTCTGTTTGTGTGTGTGTGTGTGTGTGTGTCGTGTTGGAACTATGTTCTCATTTTCATTTTTCAAATACAAATAACACTGTTGTCGTCGTTGTTGTTGTTGTTGTTGTTGTTGTTGTGGATTATATTGATATTAACGTTCTGGTTTTTTTTCTTTGACTTTTATTTTTCACTGTAATTCTCATTTTCGAATTGTTACTTCTTCTTTTTTTTTTCGCCATTTCATCATCATCATCATCATCATCAGTTGGATTTTCAGCAACCCAAAAAAAAAAAAAAAAATGGTAACCATTGGATTGAATCAATGAATGAAGACAAGCCAAAAAAAAGAGAGCAGAAAATAAAAAGCATTCTTAATCAAACAAAGAACTCATTTCCATTTTTTTCTTCTTCTTTTTCTTCTTCTTCTTCTTCATTATTCCTTTTGATTCGCTTTGGGAATCATGAGCCAAAAAAAAAAAATATTTGAAATTCCAATACAGAATTGCGAATATCGAATGGAACATTCTAATTTTTCGCCAACGAAAAACAAAAAAATGAATCCAAAATGAAATTGAAAATCAAGAAATTGTCATTAACTGTAGAGAAAGTGAAAATAAATTTCCAGTTATTTTGAATTTCAAATAAAAGTTTCATATTTTTTTTTGTTTTCATTCAATTCTCGCGGTTATTTATTTTTTTTTTTTTTGAATTCTGATCCAATACAGAATATATTTTGACCATTTGTTGTTGTTGTTGTCGTCGTTGTTGTTGTGTGTTGTTGTTGTTGTTGTTGTTATTGGTAACGAATCGATTCTAATGAATCTGAAATTTGAAAATAGGAAATATTTTCCAAAAAAAATTTCATTCTTTCTCTTGTATCGAGGCCGAATCAATCGAAAGAATTCGTGATCAATTGAAATATGACCATCGATGTTATGTGATGTCAATAAAATGGAATTCCACCAAAAAAAAACTTTGATTAATTATAATTATTATTATTGGGGAAAAACAAAAATTCCTCCAAAAATGGATACATGACGACAAACCAAAACCGAATCCGAAACCGAAACCGAATCAAACACAAAATTTAATGACACTCTATGATCTATGAACGTGATCGAAAAGAATATAAAAAAGAGAAAGAAAGAAAGAAAACAAAATACACACCATCGACTATAATCAAATGAATGGAATGGAATGGAATGGAATGGAATTGAATCAAATGAATCAACCGGAAGACCAGAGGTTTTTTTTTTTATTTATTTATTCTTTGTTTGTTTATTGTAACAACAACAACAACAAACCAATATAATGATTAATGAGTTATGTCCAATTCACAACAACAACAACAACAACAAAAAAACAAAAACACAGACACAGTGTATATGTGTATATTGTCTACGATGATGACGATGATAATCAATTTGGTAATTATAGTGGGGAGAAAAAAATAGAGTGGAAATAGAAGAAATAAAAAAAAAACAAACACCAGATGAAAATTCGAAAGAAAAAAAAAAACCTGGTGTATCATGTGTAATAAAAAACCAAAACAAATCTAAAAGTCATATATATATCGAAATGAAAATGATGATGATAATGATGATAATTCTCTCTGTGTCATTTTTGTAATGAGAAAATGAATGAATGAATGAATAATTTGATTACATCGTGTGTTTTGTTTGTGTATTTCTGTCTTTTTTTTCCTGTGCTTGTGTGTGTGTATGGTGGGTATGGTGGGTATGGGGTGGGCATTGATGTGATAATCATAACTTCATCATCATCATAATATTGATATTTAATAATTTATTTATATTCCAGGATCAGAATCCTAATAAATAAAATGAAAACGTGTCGTATGGATATGTGTTGACCGTTGATCTTTCCATTGATATTATCATCAAATACTAATTGGCTAAGCAGAAGAATAACAACAACAACAAAAAAAATCGAATCAAAAAAAAAAAAATTTCTGATCCAGAATTCCTTTGAAATGGTAATAAATAAAGACGACAACAAAGAAAAATGAAAATCACAGCGATCACAAAAACAATTTTTTTTTTTTGGATCATCAAATTCTAAATGTCATCATCATTATCATCATCAAGATTGTCTTCAATAGAACTGGAATCGATTTTTTTTTCATTAAAAAAAATTGATTCCTTTTCAATTTTATTGATTATTAGTTCACAGATCATTTGTTAAAATAGTGAACAAGAAAAAAAAAATCAAAAAATCCTCATGAACATTGACATGATCTACGTTCAAGATTTGTGCATGTTTCACAATGACAAATATTACATGCACCACCTTTATATCCTTGTTTACGACAAACTTGACTACATTTCCATTCTATGCATGATTGTCTTGGACCTTGTAAATTATCATGTTCAGTTTCTAGAATATTCTTTACGGTTGTTGGAATATAATGATCTGTAACGGTGGATAGGATGAATGTACAAAAAAATGAAAAATCAAGAAATGAGAATCAAATTAATGAAAAATAATGACAACAAACAAACCTGTATCCGGATCTGGTTTATGATAGATACTCCATGGTGCTACAAATCGATCACAATAACATTTTTCACTGTCCCAATGTTCACAGGTATCACAATTACATGTTGTACATTTACCCCCTTTTTTACCACCATTTATACATTCACCAGAACAAATATCGGCTTGACATGATGCATCTTGTACACTATGATTTCTTTTTTCTTTTAATTTTCAAAAAACAAAAAAAAAATCCAAAAAATAATTAAAGAAACAACTAGGAGAAACATTTCATATAGTTACCTGAAAATGTGTCCATTACCCTTACATTATGATCAGGTCTTCTTGCTTATAATTTAAAAACCAAAAGATTAAAAAACAAAACAAAACAAAAAAAAATTTCATATCCTTACTTGGAAATGTGTCCATTACTTTTGCTTGATTCGATTCAATCATCATGATGATCAGATTGATTGAAAAAATGACCATCATCAATGATGATATTGTCTTCATTTTTATTCGCTATTGTTTTTCAACGAAACGTTGGTATACCAATTTCAATGTGGATGGCAATCTCAGTATATGGCCGAGTATTAAATAGTGTTTGTTGGTGTGGTAGTTTTTTTTTTTTTTTTTTTGATTCAAATTTATTTGAAACGGTTTATTGGTTCAATTTCAAAATATCAAATGATTATTTTTCTTTCTAATCTGTTAATAATGGGCAAAAAAAAAAAAAAAAAAAGAAGAAAAGTTCAAAGTAAAAAATAAACAAATAAAAATCTATTTACCATTGCCATTTTGTCATTGTTCAAATTGAACCGAATCGGAAATTTATGCAAATAGAAAAAAAAATGTCAACAGATTGTGAAAATAAATTCTTCGGTCAGACATTTATGTTTCAAGGTCATGATGGATAAAAAAAATGACGAAAGAAAAGATTGAAAATTGAACATTTTGTTCATATTTCGATATTTCGAATGAGAAATATTCCCGGATTTTTTTGTTTTCATTTTCAAATAGAAATGGTAATTTTCCATAAGTTTTTTAAATTTATTAAAAAATTTTTTTTCAAAATTTGTTTCAAAAACAATGACATTGTTTACGTAGTAGTTTTAAACAATCTTTACAATGACAAATATGACATAAACCACCTTGAAAACCTTTTATATGACAAATATGAATACAACGTGATTCTTCACATATTTCCGGACGATTTTCGGTATAATATTCATCATCAACAGCTTGTACATACATCTTTTTGGTTGTCGTTGTGTTCCGGACTTTATGGAACAAATTGAAAAATGAAAAAATGAAATAAAATCATAACAAAAAACAAAAAAACAAACCTGGATCCATTTCTGGATCATTATAAACCGACCATGGTATTATAAATCGATCGCAAACACATCGCATAATTTTAAAATGTCCACAAGTATCACAATCACATGTTCTGCATTGGCCACTTTGTTTACCAGATAATCTACATTCAGAATAACATTGGCCAGAATTTATACAACCAGACCAATGTATCCATATCATCGGCATAGTAGTATGATTGTCCATTGTTTCTGTCCAATTCAATTCGATCATTATGGTCAAATTGACCAATAAAATGGTCATTATCACTGATATTGGCTTCATTCTTGTTGCTGTTGTTTTACATCATCTGACATTATGATTTGTAAACGTAGTATAATTGAGCAACAACAAGAAAATTCATTCAAAATGCCAAAAAAAATAAATTTACATTTTCGATTAAAATTCAAAATGTTAAAATGAAAAAAATGAACAAATGAACCGGAAATGTCAACATTTAAATTTCAAAAAAAAGGCAAAGTGAACAGCAATTTTCACTCAAAAAAAAAAAAAAATTCGGCATAGAGAGATAAATTCTGGTAAATAGAAACTTTTCGTTTTTTTTTTTTATTATTATTATTATTCAAAAATTCAATTCAATTCCCTATAGAAAAATTCAATGAAAAAAAAAATTTTTCATCTAAAATTTTTTTTTTGTTTCGTTTCGTTTGTTAAAAAAAAAAATTCATGTAAATAATTCCGACCTGCACCTGCGTGTGTGTGTGTGTGTGTGTTTGTATAATTTGAAAAAAATGTGTATGTATCATCAGGTATAATGATAATAATAATAGTGGATAATCAAAATGATAAAGTGGAATTTTTTTTTTTCGTTTTGTTTTATCGACGATCAATGATGATGATGATGATGATGATGATAATTGATTAATTTATGAAATAAAATGTAGGTGTGTGTGTGTGTGTAAAAAGATGATAATATAAACGATTACAAAATTTGATATTTTTTTTTTTAGAAAAAAAATGGCGATTTGAGTTTGATAAGATGTAAAAAAAAACACAATGACAATGAACCATTTCCTAACCGAGATACATACGATATACAAAACATAAACATAAGATGATCATGATGATGGTGATGATGATGATGATGATAAAATAACCGTAAATATCAGCTTTTCCATTTATTATTATCAGTATAATTAAAGGAAATAATCAGCTTGTGGTTTTTTAGATGGTACGCCTCTTGTTTCCTATTGATAGATAGTGGATATAGAATTTGTGAAAAAAAATTTAGATTTTTCTCAATAAAAAAAAATGACACATACCTGTGGTGCAGCTTCGAATATAGTGAAACCACGTGTAAGATTTTCATCTAATTCAAGTATTGCGGCTACATTACCACAACGATAACAATAATTTGGTGCCGACCAAACAGTCAACACTGATTCATTGAAATGCCATTTATATCCTTCCATTACTAATTGATGTGCACGACATATCATTTCCAAATGATTTGTATTATTGAATTGTTGGACAACATCTGAACCAAATAGAAAACCGGCACCACGTGGTGACATACCCCAGCCAGTTGTTTCTTCTGGATCAGACCATAATAGATCACACATTGGACCATCATGAGGAACTTCTTGTTTACGATCAATAATACGTATTTCATCCAATGTTTGTATCGATGGTGAAAGGCCTCCATGAACACAGAATATCTTTAAATTAAAAAAAAAAAAATTGATGTCAATAAAAACCAAGTTCATTTTCATATATTAAATAAACTTACTCGACCATCAATAATCGCAGATAAAGATAGATAATCAAATACTTCGGTACAATAACGCCAAACTGTTGATGTACCATATTTACGAAGACATTCATCATAAAAGCCATACACTTGAGTGATTTGTCTTGATTCATGATTACCACGAATCAATGTAATCCTATCCGGATATCGAACCTTCAATGCTAATAAAAGTAAAAATGTTTCTACCGAATAGAATCCTCTATCAACAAAATCGCCCATAAATAGATAATTGGTAGTTGGAACATCACCGCCAACTTTGAATAATTCTTTGAGATCATAGAATTGTCCATGAATATCACCACAAACCTATTTAGTTAAATAAACGATTATTTCCATAACATTGACCAGCAAAAAAAAAAAACTCACCGTAACAGGTGCATCAACTCTTTGAACATTCGATTCTTCCAATAGAATTTCTCGTGCTTTTGAGCATAAACTTTTCACTTCACTTTCGGTAATTATTTCACAACGTCGTAATTGTTCAATTTGTCTATCTAGATCGGAATTTGTACAGCCAGTAACCACTGGATCGGTGGCAAATATTGATGTTGTCGATTTATTTATCGGTGATAATGATGATGTTATTGGTGTTGTTGTTGTTGTTGTAGTTGCAGCTGCTGCTGTTGATGATGATAATGATGATGATGATGACGTTGTTGCTGTTGTTGTTGTCGTAGCCGTCGAAGATTTATTTGTAGCATTTTGTTGTTGTAATTTATTTAAATAATAATTGTTTATTATCGGAAGATCAACTTCAGCATCTTTAATATAGTGAAGAAATGAAAAAAAAATAATAAAACGAATAGTAATTCATTTCAAACAATCAATATATGAATGATTGATTACCTGTAATATTTGTTGCACAATTACTTGATTCATCACAAGTAGACATTTCCTCATCTTCTTGAAGTAAATCAAATGATTTCATTGATGAATATTGATTGATTCTTTGGTCAATATTAAGATATAAAAAATGAGGGTGATGGAAAAATCCGATCCAATAATTTATTTACTATATATGATTATGATGAATGAATGAATTTAATTCGAACAAAAAAAAAAAAAAGTTTAGTAACAGCCCACTTGTGCAATCGAATGAGCAATTTTTTTTGTTGTTGTTGTTGTCGTGGTTGTCGCCGTGAAAGCAATGGTTTTTTTTCACATGAAACAAACAAACAAACAAAAAAAAATTCGTCCTAAGTTAATCAATCAGTCAGTTTTAAATTTTCAACAATAAATAACAACAACAACAACAACAAGAATTCAATAACAATTATCGCCGATCGTAATTAATTAAAAAAAAACAATGAAAAGATTGCTAAAAATTGGTATTTAAAAAAACGATTACAAGTTTTATTTGTAAAGAAAAAAAAATCTGAATATTTTTAGATCAAGATAAAAATTTGAACAGAAAAAAAACAAAATCAAGACAAAATAAATTTAGGACATTTGTTGTATACACACACACACACATAAAACGGGCGAAACAGAATAACAATAAAAAAAAAATCAGACAACAACAGACATACACACACAAAGCTTGAATAGAAAAAAAAATGGACAGCTCAAACAAAACCAATGTACGTTCATAAAGGACGTATAATTGAACCTTGAGTCAAATTTTTTTTTTTAACTAAACTAATCATAGGAATTTTGTCATGATTTAAAAATTTAAAAAAATGATGATGAAATCCAAGATTAAAAATAAATGAATGAAAAAAATTAATCAATCAGAAGATCAATATATTGATCGTTTTTTTTCATAGTAATGTTTTCATTCCATTTTGAAATGGGTCCAAGAAAAAAACCGGTAGAAAAAAAAGGTAAACCAATTCCATTGTGATTTAATTATGATTGAAAAATTAGCCGATTGTTTGATGATGGTCTGATGGATTTTCCCAAACCAGAATGCAATATATTGTGTTTTCACGCGCGTCATTAAAATGTTTATTTGTATGGGAAAAACCCGATTCCAAACATCATTGAAAGAGAAGGGCGGAGGGGAAGAAAGAACATTGTTCCTGGAACCAAAAAAAAAAATTCTGATGACCCTGTCAAGCACACTAGATTTGACTATTCCAAAAAAATTTTTTTCATCTTTCAAAATGAATGAAAGGTGTGGACAAGATACCCCCGCGTTGCGTGATGTTGCGCGCGTTCCATTTTTTTTCGGTTCCAAACCAATCGAACAAATTCGGTTCATAACGGTTGTCATGTGTTTGTGAGTGGTGTGTGTGTTCGAGTGCGAGTGTTGCTGTTATACATGCACATCAAACAAATACAAAAATGAATGAATGAACGTAAACATTTCAAATCAATGTGAAATGTAAATTTTTTATTTTTTTTTTTTGTTGCATCACCACCAAATGTGTTCAATAAATAATCGATTTGAATATATTTTTAAAATGTCTCCAAGATTATTTATCAATTAATCATCATCATTGTTGAAGAAAATTCAATCCAATCAAATCGATCAACAGCAACAAAAAAAAAAACAAAACAACAAACGCACATATCGTCTAAAATAACGACGACGACGACGACGGAAATAATGGGCAATATCAATACGGTTGGACCGAATGAAGCATTAATAGTATCAGGTTTGTTTTGAATTTTTTTTTAATAACAAAAATTTTTCAAAAAATTTTTAAACACCAAAGTTTAAACACCAAAGTTTAAAAGAGACAAAATGACAAAGATTCAAATTTTAAACAAGTAAACAATTAGTAATTAGTAAATGAAAATGACAAAAGACAGGAAAAAAAACAATGATGAGCCAGCTCAAAGTTTGATTTGATTGTTGATGTTTTGTTTTCAATGTGTTTGTGTGCATTGTTTTCAATTCAATATAATGAATGTTAAACTAATTAATTACCAAATTTATCATCATCGATTGGATAATCACCACCACCAGCACCACCACCACCACCGCCAGCACCACCATCATCAGCTGCATCAATATCGGCCGCTTCTGAATCATATTTTGGTTCATATTTCGATTCATACATATGTTCATAACTTGGTTTATATGATTCTTCATGATATGATGGATATGATGGATATGATGGATATGGTATAGCGATATATTCTTTCTTCTTTTTATGACATGGATTAATCATTAGTAGTTCACCGGATTTCTTTTTTTTACCACCACCACGCATCAATAATTGTGGTGGACAGCCATCTTCACCACCGATAATTACTATATCGTCACCTTTATCTTTACCACCAGCTTCAACAATATTGGTTGTAAATGATGAAAAATAAACGATGATTATGGTGATTGCCAAAAGTGAATATTTAATCATTTTTAGTTTATCTGTTGATACAATTGAAGAAGATGATCGAAACTTTAGTGTTTTGCCCGTTATGTTCGTGAATGTTGTTGGAACTTTTTTTTCCATTATTCATCGACTTTATATACGATACCAACATTTAGGTTGATTGTAACCATTTTTTCCGTTTTTTTTCCATCCGATCGTAAATTTCTCACTTTATTTTATTATCGATCATTACTAGTTATAACCAGGTATGAACAACAACAGTATATGGATCGGTTAATCATCGTAATAATCAAAATTGAACAAACAAAAATTCACTAAATCATTACAATGATCCAGAAAAACACAACATATATGTTTCCATAAATCAAATCAAGTTTGTTAGCAAAAAAAAAAAAATCCTTTCTGGTTCATTTGAATTTAGTAATACAAAAATTGGTACCTGAATTATTGTGTGTGTGTGTGTTTTTTTTTGTCAAAAGGAAATGATGGTGTTTTGTTTTTGGTTGTCTATAATTAAATTTAATTGTTATAACCTTCATTATCATTTTGTGATTCAGTGCATTCTCATTAATAATCTTGTTGTTGTTGTTGCTGTTTTTTTTCATTCATTATCTAAACAGGTGGATGCTGTAGACCAACAAAAAAACCTACGTTGTTGGTGGCTGGTCATGGTCCTGGTGGTTATTGTCCGATGTTCAAACGTATGTGACATATACAAACACACCCATAAATCGATTCTAATTTTTTTTTTCGTTTATCTAGAATAAGTTTAGAAGTAATGACATTGATGCCTAAATGTGAAAATGTTGAAACATCTGAAGGTGTACAGTTAACCGTTTCGGGTGTTGCACAATGTAAAATTAAAAATGAAAAAGAACAATTATCAATTGCTTGTGAACAATTTCTAGGAAGAAATGTTGATTATATTAAAGGAATATTACAACAAACATTGGAAGGTAATCTACGTTCAATTCTTGGCACAATGACTGTGGAAGAAATTTATCGTGAACGTGATCAATTTGCATCGTTAGTACGGGAAGTTGCATCCTCAGAATTGGAACGTATGGGTATTGAAATATTATCATTCACAATTAAAGATGTTTATGATAATGTTAATTATCTGGAATCATTGGGCAAAGCAAAAATTGCCGAAATCAAACGAAATGCAGCCATTGGTGTTGCCAATGCTGAACGTGATGCAGGCATCAAAGAAGCGGAATGTCAAAAAGCAGCAATGGATGTAAAATATTCGGCTGATGCTAAAATCGAAGACGCTACACGTGATTATCTAACGCAGAAAGCAATGTTTGAAGCCGAAGTTAATGCAAAAAAAGCAGAAGCTAATCTAGCGTTTGATTTACGTTCAACACATCTACAACAGGAAATATCGAAACAGCAAAAATTCATTGAACTAATTGAACGAAAAAAATTGACTGAATTACAGGACCAGGAAATTGTTTTGGCTGAAAATGATCTAAAAGCTAAAGTTAATTTATTAGCCGATGCTCAATTATATGAAATATGTCAATTAACTGAAGGTAAAAAACGACAAATATTAGCGGCAGCTGAAGCCGATGCTGAACGTATCAAATTGATTGGACAAGCAGAATCAGATGCGGCAGAAATACGTGGCCGTGCTGAAGCGCATGGAATGTTGACTAAAGCTTCAGCATTAAAACAATTTGGTGAAGCTGCCATATTATCATTAACGTTGGAAAATCTACCAAAAGTATGTATCATTGATTGATTGAATAACAAATAATTGACAATTGTACAACGAAAAAACAAATGACAACAACAATAATCATTAGTATTTAGTATAACAGTGAAACTAATAATCAAAACAAAACAAATAATCCACATTTTTTTCCAACTAATTTCAGATTGCAGCAGAAATATCGGCACCATTATCGAAAACTGATGAAATTGTTTTACTTAGTGGTGATACTGGTAATCTAACAAAAGTTGTTTCACAAATTCCACCTACATTACAAGCGATGACCGGTATCGATGTGAAAAAGGTAATAAAAAAAAAATCTTGTTTTCCATTTGTACAATTCATTTTTTTTTCTTTTGATTTAGACATTATCAAAAATAACCGGTGCCCATTGAATATGCACACACACACAAAAAATGAAATTTTGCTGGGACTTTAAATTCATTTGTATACACCTACCATATGCATCGAATCATTATCATCATTTCATTTTCATTCATCCAATGTCCACAATAATATCGCTGAACAACAATCCCCCACCCTCCCAAAAAAAAAGAACCAAACCATAAATTCAGATTCACAAACACAAGTCTAGTCTTCGGAAAAAAATCATCATCACATTTTTTTATTTATATCTTCATTTCTAATTGAATAAATTTTATCCGGAAAAATTTTTTTTATTGAAAAATAAATAAATAAAATCCAGTTTAATCTGGAATTTACAACCAACCAACCAACCAACAACAACAAAACAACAACAAAAATCTATTGATTTGATTGACATTTGTATATGTGTGCACTGGGTGAGAGCAGTCATCAGTTTTTTCGTTTCTCTTATCAATCAATCAAAATTTGATATCACCAAAATTGCGGACTCACACACACACACACACACACCGAAATGGTGATCGATATCATTTGACCGATATAATTTATCATAACAAAAATTTTTTTTGTTGTTGTCTCTATTCAACACACACACACAAAGATGTGCCGATACTCATGTCAAAATCATTGAAATTGAAATCAATTCCAGTGAATTTTTGTTTTATTTGAAAATTATTCATTTTTTTCATTCATATTTACACACACACACACACACACACACACACACGTACAAACCAAAAGACAAATATTTATCACATACAATGTACAACAAGAAATGAAAGTGATAATTAGAGATAAAGCGAAAATTTTCCAAAGAAAAAAAAACATCATCAATTGATCTGACGATCGAAAATCCACTACTTATTGAATTTCGATCATTAATTTTTCTTGTCATCTATCCAAAATTGGATTCTAACAACAACGAAAAGAAAAAAAAATTAAAATAAAAGATGAAAAAAATGACCAATCAACGATTCAAGGAAGCATCAAATCGATTAGAATCGATCATTGACTATATAATAATCAGCTAATTTGGCATTGATTAATTGATGATGATTATTATTGTTATTCGAATTGGAAGCATTTTGTTGCTGTTGTTGCGATTGCTGTGGTTGTTGTCGTTGTTTATTATCTTTCCAGCCAATAATGAAACCAGTTTGACATAGACGATATTCTTTCAATGATAATTCCATTATTGAATTGAACGATTGTTCCATTGAATTATCCAAATGTTTGCAAAGAAAATTGCAATCATTCATCATTACAATTGGATCCATTTGATTGGATTCAGTACGTAAATGTTTTTCAAACATATTCAATAAATCTTGTTTAGTTTGTTTATGTTTCAATTTCAATTCAAACGATGTTGGCGGTAAATGTGGTTGCTGATAAATGTATGATACCATACGTTCTTCATAATATTTAAGAAAATTATCCATTAAAGTGGCTGCATCCATTATGATCGATGATGATGATGATGATGATGTTGTTGCTGTTGTTGTTGTTGTTGATCCAACAACATTATTACCGATATTATCAGCAGTTTGTTGATTATTACCATCCATCATTGTAGTTGTCGTCGTTGTCGCCATCATCATTGTATTGTAATTACGATTAATTATCATTATTTATTGTGTTTTTTTTTTGTTCGAAAATTGAAGAATATTTAGCCAAATTACAAAATTAGTGATGATTGATTTACATGTACATCAAATCGAACAATGAAAAAAAAAATTGCTGATGCAACTGAACGTTTATGGAACAAAATAAATTCACCAAAGAAAAACAAAACAAAACATTCGATATTCAAATCGATTGAATGATGGTGACGACCAAGTTCTTATGTATTGTGTTTTTATTTATTTATTGATGATCATTGATGAGAAATGTGCAAAAGAAAAAACCATTTACATTCTGATATGATTCAAAAACAAAAACGTCGTCATATGGGTTGTCTTGGTTGTTGTTGTTGTTGTCGTTGTAATCGTCGTCGTAATATTACGGAGTTACAATCGAATTAAAAAAAAAATTCAATTCAGCTGTTTATGTGTGTGAAATTGAAGTGTTTATTTTTTTTCTTTCTTCTATGGCCATTTTATATATAGCACGAGAAACCAATAAACAAACAATCATCATCATCATCAATTTATATCAGTTTGAAAATGAGAACAACCGCGTTACATGTATTTATATATAGAATATCGAGAAAAAAAAACTACAGCAAATAAAATACTGCTAGCTTTTCTATATACAATGATGATGATGATGATGATGATGATAGTGATTTGAAGATTCTCGAATTACAAAACGAACAAACAAATGCACCCACCAAATATAAACACACATGAGATGAGATTAAAAAAAAAAGAAAACGATAAACGCGTGTTTGAATTTCTTTTTTTTTCTGCATTATTTGAATGTGTACACGTTTTGTGTGTATGTATGTGCATGTATTCGCGAAACATTGTATCATTTGTTTTGTTTTTTTTGAAAAATTGATTCGGGCGTGTATCCATCAATTTCAACCAAAACAGACAACTGTATATATTGTTTACACTGAATATATCTACCTCCTTCGCAAACGTACACATACATGCAATGAATGAATGAATGAATTTCATAAATGTGAATTTTTTGAAGCCAAGTCATATGATCAAACACATTCAGCATATATTTTTTTTCTCCCATTATAATCATCATCATCGACATTATAAAGTCACGTCGACAAGTTCTAATGATGATGATGATGAAAATGATGGCATGAATGCAGCTGTTGCCGTTGTATACATTTGCATCGCAACATTTTTTTTTTTTTTTTTTTCGTTCTTAATAATTATCATTCAAAGACATAAAAATCATTCATTCACTTCGTGATATTTGTCATCATCATCATAATCGACAGCAACAACGGGATTTTTTTCCCTATTATCAACGGAAAAATTTTCGAAATTAAACCCTGAAAAAAATTCATCGGAATTGCGTTTTTTTTGCCCTGAAAAAAATTGATAATTTTTTTTTGATTTGTTTCATCAGAAAAATAAGAAAAAAACCAGCATACACATACACACATACAGAATCATTGAACTATCCATTCAAAATCGCATCGATTTGATCAATCAGTCGATCGATCAATCGATCGAATCAAAGCCAAAAATAGCATCGAAATATTGTGAAACAACCCTTTTTTTCAAAAAATAAATCAATTCATTATTTTTGATTGATTGATTGGCTGCAAGATAAAAGTTAAAGTGAAACAAAAAACGTCTGAATCATTTGTGTATGTGTTCGAATTGAACTTTGATTTGTTGTTTGATATGTGTACTCATATTTTTGATATTTTGTACCAAACATCCAATAATCATCATTTGATATAAAATAAAAACAATCTTGTGATCCTGCCTGCCTGCCTGTATGTGAGTGACCTATATTTTATTCAGAATAAACGACATAAAAGAAAATAATGGATCCAAAATCGATTGAAAACAATGATATTGAACCAACAATCGAAAAAAAAGATGCTAATAATGAAACTGAAGCCGGATTTCCTCTACGATTACCACCTGGTTTTGAACAACAATTAGGAATGTTAAGTTCAATGATGCAACAAAATCATGGTCTATTTGATCAATTAATTGGTGGTAAACAAAATCAACAGAAAAAAGATGCAAATAATAATAATAATCCATCAACATCAGCTGATCATGAACAACGTCCAGATATGGCTGGAAAAATGTTTGAACAATCAATGGGTATGATTAATTCAATGTTTCGTGATCAAGGTGCTGCCGATATGTTTGGGAAATTTTTTGGCCAACGTACACCAACATCTACTGTTGCTGATCAACCAGCAGCTACAAATGTTTATCCGAAATTGGATGATATGGATGATAATAATAAACGTCAACAGCAACAGCAGCAGCCACAACAACCAAAACAACAAGGTCAATTCGATATTGAAACACTTCTTACTCAAGGTATTGATCGTCTTGGTTTAAAAATTACTGATCGAAATGCTGGTGATTTATTGGGACAATTATTGGGTCAGGTTAAAAAACAACAACAACAACCCAGTCAACCTTCGTATCCACCATCAGAAGGAAGGAATTTTTATCCAACATTGGATAACTTGGATATTGATAATAACAAGCCGAAACAATCAGAGCCAACACCACCACCACCAACTTCGAATCAACCAACAAGTCCAATTAATTTAGATAATGTAATTAATCAAGGTATCGATGTTATTGGATCAGCATTGAAAGGCAATGCTGGTAGTATTTTTGGTTCATTTTTGAAAAATTCAATTTCAACTAAAAGTTCGACCAATAGTAGTGGCAATCATCAATATGATGTACTACCATCATCAGTAGCATGTCCATCACAACCAGAACCGAAACCTACCACACAACCATCATTCAAACAGGTGAATGTTGAATTTCCAGATGATGTCGTTGGTAGCGGTGCTGGTAATAATGTTGTTAATCCATCAGCCCCGATACAGATGCCTGAACCAATCAGACCATCAGAACCAAAATCGAATAAAAAAGAAGGTGGTGATGACGATGATGATGATGATAGAAAATCGAATAAAACCAAAGATGGTGAAAAAAAAATTTTGGATTTCATACCAGATGATGCATTTGAAGCGGCATTTGATGCAATGGCTTTTGGCAAAAAATAATTCAAATCACTGCTTTTCTTTTGATGATATTATGAGGAAAAAAAACTACTACTAACCATCTTTGATTGTTTTTGTTTTTTGTTTGTTTTATTGCATTTTTTTTCTATAGCAAAATTTAACAATTTTTATTATTATGAGAAAAAATAATAATAATAAACTTTAAACTGTTTACGAAACAATATCATTGAAATCATTAAAATCAATCAATGGTACAATTTGTTCTTCATCAAGAACATTGAATAGATTACGGAATGGTAAATATCTGTTCAATGTATGACAATTACCAATAATGATTAATTTACGTTTTGCACGTGTTACAGCCACATTTAAACGACGTTCATCTTTTAATAATTCTGAATCAATAATTGGTGTCTGGTTCGAATCATTCGTTTCAACAGATGAACAGTTACTGTTTCTACTTTTTACACATGAATAAATTATAACATCTTTATCACGGCCTTGATATTGATCCACTGTATTTATTTCAAGATGATTTTGTTCCAAAAATTGTTGTCCAAATAGTTCACGAATTTTATTCACTTGACGACGAAATGGTGAAATGATGCCGATATTATCGGTATTGAAATTTGTTGCGTCATTCTTGTTGCCATAAATCAATAGCAATGTTTGTACCACATGTAATATTAATTTTGCTTCAAATAGATTGATAACAAAACTACTTTTTGTATTATCATTTGATGGTGATGAATGGTCATTTGTATCATTATTCTGTGATCGTTGTTGTTGTTGTTGTTGTTGAGGTAAAATATTAAATTCACCATTATCATTATCATATGTTTCAAATGCCAATGGAATTGATGTTGTGTCCAAGAATACAACAGAATCATTAAGATTTGGACTTATAATTTTTGATATAAATGATGATTGATATTCTTCCAGAATATGGCATTTATCATTCGACAATAGATAATCCAATAATGATATTGTTTCCACTTGTTTATTAGCACATTTTAATTTATTACCATATGTTAATTTATTGGCCACTTGCATTATCACGGAATTCATACGATATTGAATGAATAATGGAAATATTCGAATTGATTGACCATATGATGATGATTTATTACTTTGATGATTTGAATCTTTATTTCCAACATCGAATTCATCATTATCAAAATCATCATCATAATGGCCAATATCTTGTTTACCCGATGTATTTAGCAAACGTGAGAATAGACTTTCATCCAGGCCATTTTGTCGTGCATATGAACTTTGAACTACTGGTGGCAGTTGTTTTTGATCACCAACCAATACAAAATTATGACAATTAAATAATGGTCCCAATGATGTGCATAAAAATACTTGACTTGCTTCATCGATGATGCAAAAATCAAATGTTCGTTTCTGAAATAATGGATGATTGAATACAGCTAAACAGGTGGCAGCCACAACCGGTATAGTGGAATAAAAATGATTCAATGCAATGATATTTTCGGTTTCCAGCCATTTTTTCGTTCGATCATGATCTGAATATTTCAATAATTTTGGATTGATTCTTCGTGGCTGTCCCATTCGTACGAAATCCACTTTTTTATCATTTTCATCATTAAAACGAACCAATTTCATTAGAATATTATCCACGGCATTATGTGTATAACTAGTGACTAGTACTGAATATCCATATTCGACAAGAATTTGAACCAATGAAACAATTGTTTGTGTTTTTCCAGAACCAGGACTACCAAACAGTAGAGAACATTTTGTTTTCAATATGCCAAGAATACAACGTTTTTGTTGAATATTCAACTGTGATAATGTTGGTGAATTGTAAAGTTGATTATACGAACCAAATTTGTAACCATTCTGATTGGATTTCGGCACACGGCCATGTATGATGATTTCACGAAGTTCACGGGCTCTAGCATTATCAGCATCATCACCGTCATACATTAATCGTAAAAGATTGGAAAAATTAATCAACATTGGACGATTATTAATATTTTTAAGAAAATCAATACGATACACTGCTTGTGGATTCAACATTGTTGCATCTTTTTCCAAACGAATAGTAATCTCTTTTTGATCATCGGAAAATGATTCAATCTGTCCAATAACAATGCATAATTGGCGGCAAAAATTGCCATAAATTTCAAATGTTTTTGTTGAATTAATCAATTCTTCACTGATGACTGCACGTCGTTCTTCCAATAATGTTAGATTTATTTTCAAATCATTATCTATGGTAAATAATTCCTCTGGTAACATTGTTGCCTTTGGATTACGTTGAAAAACAATGATACGGTCATCTTTATGTTTGATTTTCATTTTACACAGACCAATGCCGGATTTTTCACATTCTTCAGAACGATAATTCCAAAAATCTATCAATTTTTCCGATGACATACAGAATTGTTTTTCAATCTCCAACAGTTCCAACATATTCGAAAAGAATTCCATTTCACGACCTTTAAGATGTGATGTGACTGTGGATGAAAAATGTGAATCATTTGGATTGTCATAAAGATTTTGATCAAAACAACGATAAATCAATGAACAATCAAGATTATGTTCACATTTGCTACAAATTCGTTCGGCATTTAGCGTTTCTGGCCCCTTCATAATTAAATCTTTTTTATTTCGTTCATCGATGGCAACGCCCAATCGATCAAAGTAACGGACAAATCTGTTTCGTAATAGAATTAAATCACGAAATACATTATGATTGGTTTGAATATGCTCGGTTTTGGCCTCGTCTTTCAGATAAAGTAGATAACCACCACAAGATTTATAATTGACATATTTATCGGTCATAATGAACGAATATAGAATAACTTGACCCATATGTGATGGAGAAAATGTATGGCGACCAGTTTTCAATTCCAATGGTATTAAATTCGAATATTTTGCCATATTATTCTTGTCTTCAACAATCACATCGAGACTTAAATCAATTTTACCAATGCAACCATATTTCGTTGACCAAATAGTATTTTCAACATCATGTAAACGTTGAATGGAAAATAGTTTTTACATTCATTATTATTAGTAGTAGTTGATTCATTACCAGCGTATAGTTTGAGCCATTCAGAAATTGGACGAACATATGGTCTCAATTCTGTCATTACATCTTCACGAGTCATATTTAAATTATACAATTCTAATGTAAAATTGGAAATTATTGTATCAAGAAATATTTTCACAATTTGTCCAACATTATATTGTTGACGACGTATACATTCTTGAAACAATTCATGTACAATAGTGCCAATAAACAAAGCTTTATTTGGTTCGCCAAATATTTCAAACATTCGTGATAGCCATGCTTTTCGCATACAAAAACTGGCTGACATTAATGATGTAATCGGTATCAATACATCTGGTCGAACAACAATTAAACCATTTAGATTATCAATAATCAATATGGAATCATTTTCAATTTTTGGGTCATATATATTGACAAATTCTTTGGCGTCTATTGTTAAATTTTTCCAATAATCACGTAAAATACATACGTATTTGTTGACTTTATCATTAATGGAAAATGTTGATTGTAATTGAAGTACAAGTTCATCATTATCATTTTTATCACATTTTGTTACCATAAATCTGGTTGGAATTTTTTTCGGCCTCATTTTGCCACTTTAATATGACCAAAGAATGATGATAAGGAGGATGACGATGAAATATTAAAATGCGCGGTTTTAATATAACCAACACACGATATTAACACACAAAAATCATCGAGAGAAAATCAAAATCATCGACTATTTACACATGAGTGTGATTTATATATTCACACAAGAATCCAACACAATCCACGTGTTTAGTGTTCACTTGAAAATTCTTTTGGATTCTTTCTGTTTCAAATAAATTTGGATCATTTTGTGGATCAAAAATGGCTCGTAATATTAAAGGTAAAAAAGCTTTGAAAAAACGTCCAACAGCTTATATGACACGTAGTGAAGCATTGCAAAAATTGCAATTATCATTAAAAGATTTTCGGTAAGTTTTTTTTTGGATGATGATTCATTTAGAAAATCTTATCGTTTTTGTTGTTGTTGTTGTAGACGTTTATGTATATTAAAAGGAGTGTATCCAGTTGAAGCAAAAAAGACAAAATCACAAAATACTTCACATACTAAAACCTATTATCTTCGAAAAGATATCCTGTACCTTAGCCATGAACCAATCATATGGAGATTCTGGGATTTTAAGGTATGTTTAAGAATGACAAATAAAATTGAAAATTTTAAATTTCAAAATTATTATTTAGATATTCATGAAACGTATGGCCAAAGCAAAAGGTCGTCGAGACAAGGAATGGATACAAAGAATACGTGAGAATAAACCATTCTATAAATTGGATCATATTGTCAAAGAACGTTATCCAACAATAATCGATGCACTTCGTGACATGGACGATGCTTTATCCATGGGTTTTCTATATGCAATGTTTGGCAAATCTAAATCATTGCCATTAGAATTGATTGAATTGAGTCGTCGTTTTACATTGGAATTTATGTATTACGTAATGGAAACGAAATCTTTGCGAAAATGTTTCATCTCTATCAAAGGCTATTATTATGAAGCGAATATTATGGGCCAAACAATACGTTGGATTGTTCCACATCAATTTGTAATGAAACGTGTTCCGGACGTTGATTTTCAAGTGATGAAAACATTCACCGAATTTTACGTAACATTATTAGGTTTTGTCATCTATAAACTTTATGTTTCAAATTCATTCATATATCCACCAAAATTTTTTGAGAACAAAAATATTAAAGAAGATGAAGAGAAATCTGAAGATGAATATGATGATTCGGATGAGATTATTGCTGCATTGAATCATCCATTGATTAATCGAAATGAATCGGATAATCAAATACTTGATGAACAATCGAAAATTGATAATTTTGAAACAGAATTAGCCAATGATGATGATGAGATTAAATTCGGTTCATCAGTGATGACATTTCATCAGCTACAAAAATTGCAGAATTTATTTGCCGGATTAAAATTCTTTATCAATCGTGAAGTACCACGTGAAGCACTTTGTTTTGTTATACGTTCATTTTCCGGACAAGTTTCATGGGATCGAAATCTATTCAACGGTGCTACATTCAATGAAGATGATGAAAGCATTACACATCAGATTGTTGATCGTGAAATTCCTAAACGTTTCGTTAATCGTTATTATATTCAACCACAATGGATTTTTGATTCAATTAATTCCCGTAAATTATTACCGGTTCAAAATTATTTTATCGGTACAAAACTTCCACCACATTTAAGTCCATTTGTTGAGGAAAAAGTAGGTGATTATATTCCACCGGAAAAAGAAATGTTTGAAAATCCTCAACAACAACGTATCAATGACGAAAACGATGATGTTGATAGTCAAATGGATGAAGATGTCGATGATGATGATGATGATGATGAACAAGCAGACGAAATTGACAACGATGACAACGAAGACGAAGAAGAACAACAACAGCAACAAATGATGGTGAAAAAAGGTAAACCAATCGAAATGAATCGATTTAAACAGAGCAAACAGAAACAGGATGAAGAAAAACGTTTACGTGTAATGATGATGCCAAAGAAGAGGAAAAAACTTTATGATTTAATCATTAAAAGCCAGAAAAAACAAAATCGTGAAACAGAAAGATTACAACGTAAACGACAAGACTATGATGAACGTCAACGGCGACAACAAAAATCAGCTGTGAATAATAAAAAAATGAAACAAAATTGATGAATTTTTTTTCTGAATTTTATTTTTCATTAAAAAATTTTTAGTTTCACAAACAAAAAAAAATTGAATTCTGTAAGTAGCGTGTGTTTGTGTATGTGAATGTGAGGTATGTATGTAAAATCAGGGGAAAAAAATGTAAAGAGATCAAATACACCGTTGTTTGATTAATGATGAATGAATTCTGATACAAAAGAAAAAACGAAATAAAATGTTAAAAAATGAGATATTTTTGAACTTTGAATTTTTGTTTTTTTTACAAAATAAAATTATCGATACAATCAACAATCAGTATCGATATCATCAATTTAAAATCAATCATTCGAATCTTTATCAGTAATTTTGGAATCTTTCGGCTGTGAAGTTGTCGTGGTCGTGGTAGTCGATGATGATGATGATGATTTTTTGATGATGACATTAATGCTTCAATTAATGGAGATTCCTTTGGTTTAGCAATAGTCGATATGGTTGTTGTTGTTGTTGTTTGATTTGTCGATGGTGATGATAATGTAGTTGTCGTATTCGAATATTGTTGTTGTTGTTGTTGCTGCTGCTGCTGCTGCTGTGAATCAGCTTGTTTAGCTGCAGCGCTTAGAATTGAACCTAATGTAGCACCGGATGTTTGTGTTGCCGTTGTTATTTTATTCGAAACAATTGGTCTTGGAAATGGTTGTTGTTGATTATTCGAAGCAATAGCCGCAGTATGTTGACCAATATTAATCAATGATACAGCTGTTCCAGAAGTTGTTTGAGCAATTATATTGGAATTCTGTGGATTTGATGATTGCATCAAAACAATTGGTATGGCTTTAGCTGAAACATTTGATGATGCAAGTGTACGTAGAATGGCAGCATTATTTGCTGTCACCGTTGTTGTTCCCGGTTGTTGTTGATGTTGATCACCAATATTCGATGATGATGATGATGATTGTGATAATGCTGCTACTAAAGCGGATGTTTGGCTTGTATTTGGTACGGTAACTTGTTGAATTCCAACACCACCACCACCACCACCACTACTAGTTGTTGTTGTTGATGATGATGATGATGTGGATGGATTCTTCAAAGTTAACGTACTCAAATGGACAGTATTTGATTGCGATGATGATGTTGTTGATGATGATGACGATGTAGATGATGATGATGATAATTGACCAGCAGCACGTATGGCAAATGTTAATGTTTGATTTGGATTTGTTGTCGTTGTTGTTCCAGATTGATTATTGTGGCTAACCACTTGATGTAATAATGTTGGTGTCGTTGAATTAGGGCCAACACCACCACCACCACCACCACTATTACCGCTAATGATGATATGTCCTTTTGGTGTATGAGTTATCTGAGCATTTTGTGAAAGATTAATTGAAGATATAGTTCCTTGATGTTGTCCAGATTGTTGTTGCTGATGCTGATGTTGTTGTTGTTGTTGTTGTTGCTGTATGGCAATGGTACCAGCTGATGTTGGCAGTAATTTTATTGTTGTTGATGAATCATTTGATGAAACGGCAATAAAATGTTGCTGTTGACTTGTACCAGATGTTGTTGTTGTTGTTGTTATTGTCGATGCTGTTGTTGTTGTTGTTGTTGAACCAACAGTAAATGTTTTAATAGTTGTTGGTAAATGTTGTTGATGTGATGTCAATATATAATTTGTTGTTGCCGATTGTCCAGATATATTTGTATTTCCCACCAATCGTGGTCGTCGATAATGACTATATATATTTATTATAAACACATCAATTATGAATGAAACAATAATAACAACAACACACATCAAATAATCAATCAATCAATCAATCATTCAACAATGAATCTTATTGAGAAAAAAATTGATATATCAATCAATCAATCAATCGATAAATCAATCGATTTTTTAAAAACTGTTGCTACATCTGTTGTTGAAAATTGAAAAGATTTTTCTAAATACAGGAAAAAAAATAATAAATAAAAACAGAACCAAATATAGAACATGCGCCCCACACATTGATCAATCAATCATTTGGTGATTTGAAAAAAATTTCATTCTTGTTGTTGTCAATGTTTATCAGCAAAAAAAAAAAAAAAAAAAAAACATTCAAAATCAATCATAAGAGAAGAGGTAGAACGGGGAAGAAAAAAAAAGAAAGAAAACAAAAAAAAAATAAAATAAAATAAAAATGGAAATGAGAAAATGAGAAAATCACCATCACCACGAAAAATTGAAAAAAAAGATAAAGATTTATTTTATCAAAAAAAAAAAAAAAAAATCGGGAAAAAAACCGAAACCAAATCAAATGTAAATGAATCGAATATTTTGTGTTTTGAGTGTGTGTGTGTGTGTGTGTGTGGATGGGTGGTGGGCATTGAAATTGTCATGTTCAATGTGCGTGTTTGTTGGTGATGAAAATCAAATCAATCAATTATCAATAATAAATTATGAATGAATGGAATGAAAATTAAAAAAAAGGATGTTGGATAATAATAATGATGATCAAAATTAAAGATAGAAAACATATGTTGGGTGGTGGTGGTGGTGGTAGTGGTCATATTATTGGTTGTAGCAAACGGATTTTAGGATGTGGATGAATAAAAACAAGGAAGACAAGAAAGAAATAAAGATCATTCATGCATCCACATTCATTCATTCATTCATTCAATCAATTAAATAAACGAAGGGGAAAAAAATTAGTGCAAAAATGCATTACATGCCAAAATTAAAAAAATTTTGCTTTTCAATTCCCATGAACAGCGAAATGGTTTATTATGGCAATATGATCATTAGGTCAAGGCTATTCTTATGATAAATTTTCATCACCATCATCATTGTCATCGTTATTCTCATCTTTTATCTGTTGTTGATACTTTGAAGAACCTTTTGTTACTGATAATAATGATTTTATTGTTGCTGATGATGATAATGATGGATTAATACCGCCACCGCCACCACCACTTTCACTATTATTATCAAATTTTTTTCTAATTAATCTAATTTGTTGAACTTTTGCTGGATAATGGCTATTATTATTATTATTATTTTTATCCGATAATGACGAAGATGATGATGATGAAGCCATTTGTAATTCAATTACATTCATCTTGTTGCATTTACTTACATTGCCACTTTGTTGTTGTTGTTGGGTAGAACTACCGGAACTACTACTTGGTTGTTGTTGCTGCTGTTGCTGTACAATGATCGAACCTTTTAATGGTCCAGATTGTTGTAATGATAATGTTGTTTTATTCTGTTGTTGTTGTTGATGATGTTGTTGTAATAATTGTTGATGTTGAATCGGTGTTAATGTATGTTGTTGATGATGACTACCGTTCGATGATGATGGTGATGATGTAACAAAATTAAAATTTGATTTTGTTGTCAATGTTGTTGATGATGATTGTTGTTGCTGTTGTTGTTGTGATGCAAACATTGGTGTTATAATATTTGCTGTACGTTGATTATTCGATGGTAATTGTTGTTGTTGTTGTTGTTGATGATGATCACCACTACCACCACCAATATTTATCGATTGCTGTTGTGGTTGTGGTTTACCAATTAAATTTGATGGTGGTTTTGAAATATAACGAAGTTGACCACCACTAATTGATGATTGATTTAGAATTTTACTTGCTTGACTTGCTGGTATTGTAAATGTTTGTGTATTACCAGTGAATGGATTAACACCTTGAACAGTTTTGACAATATTTCCAGCCAATGTCAATGATTGTTGTTGCTGTTGTTGTTGTTGTTGTTGTTGAGAAAGCTGTATTTCTTGTTGCTGTTGTTGAACAAAAATCTGTTGTTGTTGTTGTTGTTGTCCACTAGAAGTCATTATGCTAGATGTTGTTAATGTTTGTTGTGGATTCGAGATCGATATTAATGGACTTGGTTTTAAAGATGCAATTGCAATGGTAGCATCTTTACGAATTGTTCGAATATATGGGCCTTGTTGTGGACCACCACCACCACCATTATTACCTGCACTAGTTTTAATCGATGAAACTGGTGTCAATAATTGATTCGATCCAGACAATATACATTGTGGTCCAATTATTGTATTCGTGGTTTGTGAATTTGATGTATTTGTCGAACTATTAGTTATCAATGATGTTGCCAATATTTTATTACCACTGCCAACACCAGAAGTAATCAATGATTGTGAAACTAATTGTAATCGTTGTGCTGTCGGTGGTATTGTTGTTGTCGAAGGATTCACAGTACCACCAACACCACTTGTAGATTGTTGTTGTTGAGGTACAGCAGCACGTACTGATTGCATATGAATATGACGAATACCAGGTGATGATCCAGATTGTAATGTATTGGATGGATGATGTTGAGCAGCAGTAGCAGCAACAACCTGTGGTCGAGCTCCACCTCGAGATACCAATAGATGATGTCTAAACGGTTGTCGATTCATCTGATTTGATGCAATTAATTGTTGTGGTGTAACCTGTGTTAGATTAGCTGTTTGTGGATTCGATGATCCAGCTGGACTGGAGATGGCCAAGAATTTATGTTGTTGTTGCTGACCGGCTATTGAAACATTAACTGGAACTGATTGGCTACTGCCAGTGCTAGATGATTGTTGAATCATGAATTGTTGAGCGGTTGTAGCTTGTTGTTGTTGATTTAATTGATGAGTCAATGAAACGGTATTTGTCGAACTTGTATCAACTTGTTGTGGTGAACTAATCGTTGCTATGGATGCAACACCTTGTGATATAAGACCCATAGATTGTGCTTGTGATAATGATACATGATGTATGGCCGCAGATGATGATTGACCAACACCACTTTGTTGAAGAACTTTAGCCTGAATATTTGCAATTGTTTGATTAGAATCTGAGCTAACTTCACCACTATCACCGCTGCCGGTTGTAACAGCAGCCAGATTCTGAAATTTTGCACCAGCTTTTGTAGCAGCTAAAAATTGTTGAACATGTGGTATGAATTGTGCCGTGTTTGAATGTGCCGATGGAACTGGTGAATTTAAAATAATTTGTTGTTGTTGTGGTTGTGATTGAGGTTGCTGTTGACCAGAAGACAAAGCAATGGCCGTTTGTGGATTTGTTGTATTACCACTAACCGTAACTGTATGATATTGCTGTGGTATTGATTGTTGTTGGACGCCACTTGCATTACTGGCGGCTACCGGTATATTGTATCGCATTTGAGTCGGAAATACTGATTGTTGCTGCTGTTGTTGTTGTTGTTGCTGCTGCTGTTGTTGTTGTTGTTGTTGTTGTCGAAGAGCTAATTTTTCACGATTAATACGTTCGGCACGACGTGCAGCTACTTCTTCGACTGTCAAAGGTCGATCAAAATCGATATTAGTATTAATGACATCACTCTTGAATACTTTAGTCATATCATATTTATTTTGTGGTTTTTTAAACAATGATTTCGATGTTTGTGTTCGCTGTATTACAATCTGTTTGATTGCAGCAAATCTTCGATGCATTTGATTTGTAAATTCACGATTATTATCATTGATTGTTTTTTGCATCATATTCGATACACGATATAATTGTGCTGTCAACATTTGTTGATTTAATGCTTGTGTTTGTTGTTTCGAAGTAGGATTAGCTAATGGATTCGGTAATTGACCAGTTGCCGACATAATCGGTGGCGGTGGTGGCATATTACCCATGGCAATGGGCATTATACCTGATGGAATATGTTGTTGGTGAATCATTTGTTGTTGTTGTAATTGTAATTGTTGTTGTTGTTGATGCTGCTGTTGTTGTTGTTGATTCAGTGCAGCTTGTTTGGCTGATTTTTTCGATGATTTTGTCTGTTTCATTGTTCCAGATCTCATGATCTGAGGATTCATTGAATCGTTAACAGAACCTCCAATCATCATACCGGGAATCAATCCACCACCTGGAACACCAACCATATTACCACCAACTAAACCAGCTGATTGATCATCTTTATCGGTCATCATAGTTTCAAAATGATAACGACAAAGTTTTGAAGATCTTTTAAAACAATTCAATGCATTCACTTGATCAGCGACAAAATCCCAATTAGGTGTATGACCAGGATATATTATGCTTAAATTGAATGGCAATTCTTGCATGAAAAGTAAAACATAGATAATGGAATAATCTTCATTGGTTGTCCATTCGGCCATTCTATTTATCAATGATATATTCTGTTGTGATCTAGATAAAGCTGTCGAAAGATTTTGTATAGGCATTGAATCAATATTCGCTATAGCTTTGTTACTGATCGACACAAGATTCTGACTTCCAGGCCAAAGTTTTGATTTAAATAGAAGAATTTCACGCCGATGACGGCCAACAGAACGATCAAATAATGATTTCGGTATATTGAATAGATCATCAGTACGACGATGTCCACTACCACTGGATTTTGTAATATGAGATGATTGTCCACTAGCTGATAATGAATGATATGATTGTTTACGGGCTATGAAAAAATGAAATTTAAATTTTTTTCCAATAAAAAACAAAACAGAAACAAAAACAAAAACATCATACCATGTAATGGATCAATACGAATACGTTTATGTTCTTTAGGCATATACACTGGTGGTAATTGTGATTCAGACATGAGAGTTTTTTCATATGAAAAACCAAATGAATAATCAATATAAAAATCATTTTCATCTTGTGGTGGTGTTGGTGGTGCCCAGATCTATATTGTTTTGACAAATAAAAATTTACAATCAATGTGTTTTTTAAAAAAAAAACCAGAAATAAATGATGAATAAAGACAAACAGAAAGCTGAGGAAAAAATGGAAAATCAAAACATTGAATTCTTGAATACAAAACGAATGTTGAATTGCGAAAAAAAAGAATTTATTTTAAATTCCATAATAATAATTTATTTGTACATACACACATACACACACAAAATGAATCTGAAGAATGATGAGAAATAAAATTGGAAAATGACCATGCCATAGTCATCATCACACAATAAATCAATCCAATATCCAATAATAATTATAATCAAATTCAAATATAGTACATACACATTTCCATTAATTAATTATATATATTTACAAATTGAAAATATCTTGTGTTGTGTAAATGTCTGTGTTTTTTTTTGTTTGTTTGTATGTAAGATTAGGTAGTGTGTATTTGGATCGATTGATCAAAAATTCGTTTCGATTGATCATTCATCATGGTATTATGACTTCCTAATACTACGTACACACACACACACACACACACTAATCAATACTGTGTAGATAATTAAAACCCTACTACTGGCCCTCAAATCTATCTATACTAATCGAACAAAAATAAAAAATAAAGTCATAGGGATTCAAGGAAAAATCATTATGTAGACAGAACAAAAAAAATAATAATTTGAACGAGTACGGCACTTACCGGCATCGGTTCGGAACAGTTGAACGACATGAACACCTGTTCGAAAAAAGAGAGTAATGAGAGAATAAGAGAGAGAAAAAACAAAAGAAAACGAGAGACAAAAAAAAAAAAGAAATCATGAGAATCAATCAAAACAAGTGAAAGGCATGAATTTTAAATGTGTGTGTGTGTGCGTGGGTGTGTATTGTCTGTCTGACTGTTTATTCAATGGGTTTTTCTACCATCTAAATATCTCTGGAATGTGTTCAGAACAGAACAAAAAATCGCAACTATATATAGAAAATCATAGAGAATTGATTTTTTTTTGATAAATTTTCAAATGATGTAATGATTAGAAGAAAGTAAAAAAAAATTTGACTCGATGATAATCTCATTTCTACTACACATGAATGAATGACAATTTTGTTGGAAAAAAAAAGAACAAGAAAAATCTAAATGGATGTAAAAATGACATGTGTGTGTTGGCGTGGGTGTGTGTGTGTGTGTGCGTCTGTGCTGTGTAATAGGAAATTGTTCTACTTTTAGTATCTGATGATTGATGATGATAAATTATTTGTGATCAATGTAATAATATAGAAACAAAAAAAAAATTCATGCCATTCACAAATAAAATGGAAATTCTCATGTTTTCTAAGTTTTCTTTTGAAAAAAAAATAATTCTCTCATTACTGCTGATGCCGTCTTAAACAAACAAACAAACACTACACACACACACACACACACATAAAGAGAAAAAATGGGAAAAAAAATGTCCTAATTTGAATGAATGAATGAATGAACCGAAACGAAAATTGAAATCAATCAATCACACTTTTGTTAAATGAATGATGATGAGTATATTATATATATATTGATTATTAATTAAAGAATTATTATTTTAAAAAAAAAACTGTTGAGATAGAATCAAAATTTATGTTGTGTATGTGTGTGTGTTCGTTGGTGTATCTATGTGTGTGTGTGTTTAGCTAAGTAAAAAAATTTTTTTCGTTTTTTTTACATTTAACAAGAACGAAGAAAAAAAAAGTAGCAAATGAATATAAAATATGAAAAAAAAGAAATTTCTAAATGGTTCAACATTCATGGTTCGAAATGAGATTCTCGAAAGTCAAATATATAAATTTTCAACATGTTACACACACACAGTAGAAGGCAAACAACAAGCGGATTTTTTCAATGAATAAAAAAATATTCAATCAATACACACATGGATCGGTCAATGATGATTTTGATTTCTAGGACTTTTCGATGATGATGATGATGATGATGATGATTGTAATAAATTATGAGAATTATTTCGTAGAATCCTACCACTAGTAATAGTTGTATTATTACGTAAAGCACGTTTTGGTGATGATAATATATTACTATTATAAACATCACCATTTCTTTGTTCAATTCTTGTTGTTGTTGTTGTTGATGATGATGATAATGTTCGACGTCGTGTACGAACATTAACAGCATCCATATCATCATTAGTATTATTGATTGTTGAACATCGTTTCGTTGAAAATCGATTATTATTTGTTATTGAATTATTTGATTTCGATCCAGATATTATTCGTTTATCATTCAAACGATTTGTTGTAGTAGATTGTTTTATTGATGTGGATCGATTATTATTATTATTATTCATACGATTCCTATTTTTATTCACAGATTTTGATGATCGTTGAATTTGACTACTGTCGATTGAATCATCATCACTAATAGAATCACTATCCATTTCGGAATTTGAATCGTCGTTTTCATCATCATCATCATCATCATCATCATCGTTGTCCGAAACATTTGCCACAGTTTGCTGTCTGCGACGGTTTTTCTGGTTATTACTATTCTTATGATTACTACTATTATCAACAAGATTCTTTCGTTGATTTCGATTATTGTTGTTGTTGTTTGACCTTCGTGTTGCGATTTTACGTGAGAGATTATTATTATTATCACTATTATTTCGCCTATTCATAACAGTATTATCATTGTGATTGTGAGTGTTTTATGAATTAATTGTAATCGTGAATGTTGACTACTATTGTGGTTAACCTTTGAAATGGAACCATCCACTCGTGAACATGTCATAATGGAATCTTCTAATTCTTCCAATTCACGTTTACGTAATTCTTCTTGATCTTTTTTCCACTCATTTATCGATTTTTGCCATTGTTTTTTCGTTTCTTCCATCTCCTCCTGTTGAATATAAAAATTTATATTAGACTTATCCGATAAGAAAAACAAGTAAAAAAAAACAACATTACCTCTGCTTGTTTCAATTCAAGGAAATCTTGTGAACTTTCCAAAAATTTCAATGCATAACGTTCTACTGGTGTAAGCTTTTAGGAAAAAGAAAGAAAAACATATTTGAAAATCTGATCAAAACACAACACACAACGTACCTGGCAGATTAATTCTTCAATCTGTTCTTCTTCGGGACTCTTTTCATCTGGGATCTCCTCAATCGGAATGTTTTCATCAAATTCATCCAATTCGGCTGCAACTTCAGCACGAACAATTTTGGCTGCTGTAACATCGTTTTCTTCTTCGGCCGTACACAACGCTTGTTCGAATGCAGCATTTTGTATCGTTGATGAACTATTGTTGTTTGTAGGTGGTGATGGGGTTGCAGGCGCCGAATCCACAACAGAATTATCTTCAGTTTCAATAATTTCGACAGGTTCACTAATGGTAGGTTCTTCATTCATCTCTTGTTCACCAACATCAAATAATTCTTTGATGGCAGTTTGTTTAAAGAATGCGGTGGTAAAATTGCCCTCTTCAATAGCTAAATCGCCCAACATTTTCTTTTGTTTAGCTTTTTTCAATATATTCTCTTCAACCGTCCTTTCGCTGACCAAACGATAAATATGTACATCACGTGTTTGACCAATACGATGGCAACGATCTTGAGCCTGTGCATCCATCGTTGGATTCCAATCACTATCATAGAATATCACAGTATCGGCACCAGTCAAATTAACACCAATGCCTCCGGATCGTGTGGATAGAATGAAACAAAAAATTCGTTGATCAGCATTGAAACGTTCCATCAATGCTTGTCGTTGATCGATTTTGGTTGTACCGTCCAAACGTAGATATGTATGGCCATGATAATTAAGAAATTGTTCTAATATGTCCAACATTCGTGACATTTGAGTAAATATCAGAATACGATGACGTCCAGATTTTAATTGCCATAAAAGTTTGTCAAGTATTTGTAATTTACCACAATCATATTGTATTAATCTTGTTTCAGGCAATTGAAGACTAAATTGAACTCGAGGAATGGTGAGAACATCAAATTTATCAGAGGAGAATTTTCGTTCCAAATTTTCTATCCAATTTGATCGATCAATTTTTTTGTATGATTTAACATTTGACAAATTGAGCCTGGTAGCTGGTGATAAAATACCAGGAACGGCAAAAATGAACCGTTTCATTAGCTCTTCAAGATTTTTGGTCAATGAATTCGGTGAATCAACCAATTGAATCAGGTTTTGCGTAGTATAATAAAGATCATTTCGATCAAATTCTTCACCATCTTTGAGGCGTTGACTTCGACGAACCAACGTCAAACCGTTGATGAATGATGTACCATATAGCATTTTTGAATCTTTGTTTTTCTCATCTTTATCATTATTATTATTTTTTCATTATTAATTTTATTCCATGGAATAAAATTAACTATTCCTTTGTAGCCGAAAAAATCGAACAATTCAAAAAAATCCGTACAATATCGTGCAAAACCTTGACAACGTGATTTATTATTCAATGCAAGACGTCTTAATTTATCATTGAATAATGTTTTCAATCGTAGAACGGTTTCTTCACGAGCAAATTTTCCATTACCAAATAATTTATTCCGGTTTTCTTTGGATTCTTCATCACATTTACGAATTTCAATGCTAACATTATCACGATCAATTTTTGGAGATTCATTTGATCCTTGATTAATAAAGATATGTGCTAATTTATTGGAAAAGCGGAAAACAAAATCAATTTTTTAAAAAAATGATTAAAATAGAATTCTAGAACACACTTACAATAAAAATTGATAATTTTTTTGTCCGATAAATTTACATTGATCTGTGGTGATTTTGTCAGTGTTTGATTATTGTTATTACTATTATTATTATTATTAATCGACGGTGGAATGACTTGAATAAAAAAAATGAAATTAGTGAATTATAAGAGTTCAAAAGACATGAAAGAAGAGATTTACTTACTTTTTGAACTTTCAAGACTTTTAATTCGAATCTGATTGTTTGTCGAACGAATCAATTGTTGTTTATTACTAGGATTGTTATTATTATTAGTAACTGGAAGTATTTGATTGGAAAGGGTCAATTGTGGTCTCAAATGATTCGGAGTGTTTGATGATGAATTCACCATACGAATATTTCTCATAAAACGATGAAAATCTTTATAATCACTGAGGCGAACATAAATCTGATCCTCTTGTTTGTTGATCACATCTTTCATTTTGAATGCATCATAATATCGTTTCATTATTTGTGTTTGTTTATAGGAATCATAATGTAGATGAGAAAATATTAGATTCAAATGTGAATAAAGATTGATTTGTTTTAGTGGATCATGGTCCATGATGCTGGTAATTATTCCGGGCAAATCTATTCGTAGGCCATCATCGATAAACGGTGAGATCGTTTTACGTACTTCAAACAGATTAGGATGATTACAAACTTTACGCAATTGCATCAATATGTTGATCACACTAAGAAAATTGCCACTTGCCAACGTTTCTTTTGTGCTGTAATAAAAAAAACGGATTACAAATCTCATTAAGTGAGAAAAACAAATCTAAACAACTTACTTTGCCAACGACATATATTCCTCGTAAAGGAATCGTTGTCGTTTCGACAATGGACATCGAACAATATGTTCATATTTTTTCGGCAATTGTTTCTCAACATCACGTTTTAATCGTCGTAGAAGAAATGGCCGTAATACTCGATGTAATCGCCGTATCAGATCTTCATTATAATCATTTTGACCTTCAATCATACCGGTCATTGGTTTGTCAAACCATGTTTTGAATTCACGATGTGATTGAAATTCTTTGGGCATCAAAAAATGCATCAATGACCATAATTCCATAAGGTTATTTTGTAACGGTGTTCCAGTCAAGAGGAGACGATTGTTTGAATTGAAATTCAATAACATTTGCCACCGTTGTGATTTAAAATTTTTAATATTATGAGCTTCATCCAATATAAAATAGACCCATTTTTGGCGTCGAAATGATTGATGATCCTGTATCACAAGTTTATATGAAGTAATGCATACATGAAACGTATCTGGTTTGGTCCAGCCTTTTCGTTTTAGACGACGTTCTTTTGGATTACCAAAATAGGTCATTATCTTTAATGCTGGACACCATTTCTTGAATTCCATTTCCCAATTGAGCATAACACTTGTTGGCACAACAATCAAATGTGGTCCCCAGATGCCTTTTTCGCATGCTAAATGTGCAATTAAAGCGATAGTTTGTATCGTTTTACCTAGGCCCATTTCATCGGCAAGAATTCCATTCAAATTTTTCTCATACATAGCCACCAGCCAATCAAGACCAATATGTTGATATTCACGTAGCTGATATTTGAGCAGAAATGGTACCTTATTGATCACTTGTACTGATGAAAATGTATTGCCTTTTGGCTGAATACTTTGAGCACCGGCAGCAATATCATTCAATTCATCATCTGTTGTTTCATTATTCTTTTTGTTTAAAGAAAATAGAATTAGATTTAAAAAAAAACTTAAAATTGTCAATTTTATACAAACCTTTTTGTCATCTCGTTGAATCAAGAAACTACTATCAACATTATCTTCATCTTCATCATCATTTAAATCTGAATCATCATCTGAATCATCTGTATCTGCCTCTTCTTCTGGCCGATCATCATCAACTTCAGATATCATTGATTCATCAACTACTGGCTGTTGTTTTGTCGTAACACTAGTTGTTTCATCTTCAGAATCAGCTGTCTCAAGATCATCATCATCATCATTGTTTTCCGTTTCATCATCCATCGTTGTCGTATCATCATCTTTTTGCTGTTCATCATTTTTGGCTTCAGACTTTTCATTCGTCTTTTGATGCTGTTGTTTTTGTAATTGTGAGAGATCAAGTTCATCAGCATCAATATTATAATACTTGGCCAATAATTGTTCAATTGGCATTTCAGATTCATTCGATAGTGCATTGATTTCATCCGTATAATCAGCCTGTTGACAATCTTTTTCCTCTTTGGCAATGGTTTCTTCATCATCATCCGAACAAATGCTACCTTGTTCAAATTCATCATCTTGATCATCAACATCTGATCGTTTTTCATTTTTTGATTTGTTGGTAGAATCGATTTTCATCATTGTACCCGATTCAGATGGATCAGCATCCGAACATGTGGATGAAGCTTTGGATGTTTTCTGAGGTACAATAAGTTCTTGCGCTAATTTTTCCGTCAACAAATCTGCCTTATCAACAATGAATCGTAATTGCATATCATGAATCTTTTTACGTTTCTCATTTAGCTGCACTTCTTGTTTAGCTTCAACAACTTTTTCAATTTCTGACCAAAATTGTTTAATCATTTTGGCCATATTCGATGCTATACGTTTCAATTTTAATTGTTCTTCACGTTCAATACGTTCTGCTTGACATTCTTTTGATGCATGAAATTTCAATGCTAACCGGGCACATTTTTTTGCAGAATTTCTTTTCCATTTACGTTCCTGAAAAAAATCAGCTGCCAGCCATTGCATCTCTTCCAGTAGATAATCCCAATGTGTTTTACAACGTTGTGGTTCATGTACTTTAGGCAATCGTCGTATTGACCATACACCATTTTTTCTAAGTTCAGCAATACGTTTCATTACATAGGCTTCTTTTTTAGCACGTTCAACCATTTGTTCCGTACTGGATTCATTATCCAATGATGACGAGATCGAAAACTTTTTAGCTACTGTCAATGATGTTTTATTGTTTGTGCTATCGCTAATATCGTTAGCAATTATGGCCATATTATTATTATTCGGATCATTGACGATCGTGCTAGACACATCATTTATATTCGATATGCTTTTAGGACTAGCCGCTTGAGAATTATTATCTATTAAATTTGATGATGATACTGTTGGATGTGATTGATTATTACCAGAAGAATCATTCGATGTCATTGTCGAAACAATTGATAATTGAGGATGAATTGGTTCGGATTTTATTAACGTCGCTGTTGTTGTTGTTGTTGATATTTGATTCGTTGATAATGCTGTTGATGATGATGGAGGTTCATTAACACTTACAGCACTAATAATGTTTGATGATGATGATGATGTTTGTTGTTGTTGTTGACATTTACCGGCACCAATTGAACCAAAAGCTGATGGCGTAAGTGGTGGTGTTATCGTAGTTACAGATGCATCAGTGACAGTGGTTAAATGTTCAATCATTGGCAACACATTATCATAACATAATTCCGGATTTATTCTTTCCAATAGACGAATTGCATTCGGTTTTATATGTTCAATAATGTCATTATTGTCATCATCATTATGTTGATAAGATTCACAAATATAAACCAATTGTTTACCAAGACCATTTGAATCAAGACGTTTTTTCATAATTGAAAAATCAAAATAGATTCCAACATTATTAAACATATAATAATATTCTTTCATTTCTTCAATCCATTCTTGTTCAATTTGATCCTGAAGTTTGTCATAATAATCATATATTTGAGCATCATCATATTCTTGATCATTATCCATATTATCGATAACAATACTTTTGTTGGCATCCACTTTGATCATCGACAATGAATCCTGTTGAACGTCGATATCATTATCATTATTATTATCACAACCAATTTTCATGTCGATTTTAGTGACATTATTATTTGATGAAATAGATGATGCCGCAGTCATTGTATCATCATAATCATTTTCGATTTTTATTCTCTTATTTGATGACGATGATGATGAAGGGTTGGCCATTGAAATTTGTTGTCGATCATCATCATCATCGGAAATTGGTTTCCGTTTTTGACATGATGATGATTCTAATGTTTGATTCTGATCAACTAGTACAATTCCATCATCCACCATATGTTTATCATCATTGTGGATTTTTGAAACGGATTGTTGACGAGATGATGATGTACAACTACTATCACCGGTCAATGTGGATGATTCTTTTTTTATCGAATCACATGAATCAACCATTTTGTCGTTTTTATTATTGGTCGTCGATACAGATGATGATGATGATGATGGTTGATCATGACAAATTGTTTGCGATTTGGCCACATCCGTTACTGCTGTGATGTTTGTTTCTTTTTGTGGCTGTGCCATTTGTTTGGCCGTAGCCAATGTTATCGTCGATTATCGACGGGCCACAATCGGGCCTATGAAATATTGATATTTGAATGATTGATGGTTGCGTGCAATGATTTTCAAAATTTCAAAATAAATTTTTTTTATCTGTTCGGTTTGAATCTAATTTTAAAAATGAATATAAATAAAAACAAAGAAAAAAAAGAATATTTCTCTGATCGATTATCAATCACATGAAAATTATAATAAAAAAAAAAAAAAAATTCAACTTGATTCGAAAAATTAATTCCTAACCTAACCATGCTCTCAAAAAACCAATAATTATCAAGATTCCATGATTCTAATTCACGGGCATCATTTTTTTTGTTAGAATCATGCGGCTTGAGAATTCTTTATTACATAAAAATGATATAATTCAATGAGAAAAAAAGATGGCGGGTCTATTGGCTGCTATGCATGTCATCAATGAGCGGCTCATGCTTTAGGTTTGCTCCAACACACACACATACAATGCTGCTGCAGCAAACATAGCATCACGAATCATCGAACACAAAAGGACACGCCGAACCACACCAACAACATTTTTTTTACATATACAAAGCTAAAATTTGGCCATTTTTTTTTCTCTTGAAATATATAAAGGACAACAAATCTTTTTTTTTTTATTTGACACACACACACAAAAAAGAATTGAAAAAGATTCTTACCACTATTATTATATTCTTATGATGATGATGAAAATATAATTACAGATTAATAATAATTGAATATATGATTTGAAAAAATTTCTGATCGGAATATGACAATATTAACTAAATTAAAATTATTGATGATGATGATGATGATGGTTGATTTCAAACAGAAAAAATTTTTGATTTTTTTTTCCCAATTTTTTCCCATTCGCTCATCACATACACATACACTGTGTATATATTTTCGATGAGATTTTCTTCTTTTCTCTATTTTTTTTCGCTGCTCACAAGACAAAAAAAAATGGAGGGAGAGGTTAGAATCTTTTTTTTCACAAATGAAATAATTATAAAAAAATGGTCTGAGAAAAAGAAAGTGAAATGTGGTTGATACACGACCACCACCACCACTACCATCAAAAAAAATGGTAAAATTTCTGGAAGTGGTACCGATTAAAACAAGAAAAAGGTGTGTTCTGTTCGATTCGGATCCAGTGGTATTCATCAAAGTTGGATCAAGACTCTGGACAAAGAAAAAAAAATTCCAACAATAGTTTTCCATAACAATCTAATGCCACTACCTTGGATTCATGAATTCACAAGCGGCTATATACACCTTGATGGATTCAATTAGGTGTATTGAGATTTTTGAAAAAAAAAATTCAGAATTTCAAATTAAAAATATGATATAATTTTCTTTATTTTGTCATTTATATTCCTAAGAATTAATTGATTAATTATTCTATTTAATTAAAATGGTTACATTTTTATCAATATCGTTGGATTTTTTCAAACGTAATGGTTTGGTATAATATTTTTGTTGATTGGATGTTGTTGTTGTTGTTGCTGTTGGTGATGATTTTGGACAAACATTCGAATGAATTGTCATGGCATTAAAGATATGTTCAAGTGATTCATGACATGATATATAGGATGATGATTGATTTTCACAATGATTTCGATCATTCATGTTCATCATTATTTGATCGGTATTTTTATGACTAAATCTATTGGATATTTGTTGATGACAATTAGCCATCATTATTGATGATGATCTTCCATTACTGTTTAAATTAAAATTTGACTTTCGCTGCTGCTGCTGCTGCTTTCTTCTGTTGTTGTTGTTGTTGTACACTTATATTGAACAATTCTTCACGACGTAAATCACGTAATTTTCGTTGATTAAAAGCTCCTTTACATATTAAACGACGTAATGCTTGACGAAAATCTTTCATATGGAATGCATATAGAAATGGTGATCCAGCCGAATTGATATGTGATAAAATGATTAAAAAATCCAATATACTGGCAGGTAATTTTGGACATTGTGGACAGAATGCTTCAAATGCATTCGATGTATATAATGGAATCCAACAAATCATGAAAAACAAGACAATGATGAATAATTTTTGTGCTTTTTTCACTTCACGGCGGCTATAGTTTAATTTATTATTATTGTTGTTGTTGTTGTTGTTACGTTGTTGTTGTTGTTGCAAATGACAATGATAATCAATACTTTCGATTGAATCATTTGGACTAGGAAATTTTGAATGATCATCATTTCTATATTTCATAATGGCTAAAATTGAACGCCATTTAAATTTCGAATATTTCATATCGGTACAATCGATAATCGATGTAGGATGATTCATATATCGATTATTATCAATCGATATTGTACTTGTTTTACGGCTACTTGGTTCCGATTTTGTTTGACCATCATCATCATGATCATGATTAATTTGTAATTGATTATGATGATGAAATCTATTACTATTAATTAGATGTGGTAATGAATTTTTTTTAAATACATGGCTACTACCAATACTAATATTTTGTTCATTTCGATGTCCATGTTTTTGTTTATCAACACTATTGTTACTAGAACCACCGGTTTCACATTCTTCAACAATCACATCGGATATGTAATTTTGTTTTGAAGAAGAAAATTTCTTTTTTGCCATCAATAATGTAGGAACTTTATATTGATTCGTTGACGATATGAAACTAGATTCCTGATGACTAATACTTAGATGGCGAACCTGATTGTTTTTCAATGGAGAGAGAGAGAGAAAATCGTTAGAATTTGAATTACTATATTATTACCGATATCCCGCAACACACTATAGTACAATACCGCAGGATATCGGTAATGTTTGTTTACACATACTTTATTCATACTAAGTTGTTGTTTAACAACAATATAGATACGAATATAAAAAATGGCCATTATAATTGCAGGGAACACAATTGTGGCAAAATAAAGAAACATTAGAAAATTATAATTCATTGTTGGTATGAAATAACAACGGTCATTATATTCATTGTGCCATCCAAATAATGGTAACAATCCGATTAATGAACCAATAAGCCAACAAGCACAAATTATAGCTAATGCTGTTTTCTCTATATAGTTGATGATGATTAATTGATTAATTGAAAAAAGGGGAAAGAAATTGGAAACAAAATTTTTAAAAAAAAATAGAGATATACAGGATACATACCGGAAATCCGTTTATGATAATCCAATGGATGTAAAATAGCCCAATATCGATCCAATGATACGGCAACCAAATTCATTATGGAAATTGTACACAGGATGATTAATAAACTAAGCATAATTATACATAATCTCATTGAACCACGTGGTGAACCGATTTTTGTCATTATAGCCGATGGTATACCGATAGATCCAACCAATAGATCGGCAAATGAAAGGCTAATTATATAAAAATTTGTTACTTTACGTAAACGACGATCCTGTATGAATACAAGAATGACCAATAGATTTCCAATGATGGCAATGAATGCAACAAATGCTTCCATGCCAACATAAACGATTGGTAATTCACCATCATTATCATCATTATTATTATTATCATCATCACCATTATCATTATTGATCATTGATGTTGGTGTCATATTTTTTGTTGTTGTTGTTGTTGTCTGATCGTATGTTTATTTTCGTGGAATTTTTCAACAAATTCACGCATAAATCATAATGATTGATTGGTTGATTGATTGTCTTTCGGAATTTAATATTCTCAAATTCTATACGGTGATGGAAAATTGAAAAAAAGTGGAAATTTTGAAAAATGAAACGAAACGAAGAATAAATTGGAAACTTGGTAGTCATTTGCATTTATTCATGAAATATAATTATTATAATATTAAATTGCACCTATGAATTCATATTGTTTTTTTTAACAGAAATGTGAAATGATCCATTTCATTTGGGATCTGGTTGTAACCAACAAAAAAAAACGAATGAATGAATGAATGAATGAATGACAACCACTATTTAGAATTGAATTCTTTTGGTTACCAGGCATTTGTAATGTTTCTGGTATCTCACCATTGAAATTGTTTGTGGGTTTTGTTTGGGCGGTATGAAAAAAAAACACAGAAATAATATTTGGTGACCACAATTGGAAAATAAGAAGAAAGAAAACAAAAACAAAAAAAAAAACAATCAAACAAGATCAACTTGTCAATATTGGATTTATAATAAACTCATGTACGCACATGTGTGTGTGTGTGTGTGTGTGTGTGAATTTAATCTAATTCTGATCACAAAAACAAAATATTCAAGGTTACCATTTCTCTATATCATCAAATGATGATATGTCATTTTGAATTTAGAAATTAATTCAAACACATCAATATAAAATGGAAAATCCAAATGGCATGATAATCAACATATGTAGAATGAATAAACTGGGAAAACAAAAAAAACTTTCTGGTGGTGTAATCATCATCATCATCATCATCATTTTAAGCTCAATTATGGCATTATGTTTTACGAGCGAAAATTATAGAATGAGAAACAAAAAAAAAAATTTTCTGGTAATGGTCATCATCATCAATTAAATGATGATGTGCTCGTGTGTGTGTGATAAAATTGGATTAAATTTGCATATTTTATAAGCATCACACCACTAAAAAAAAAACTTTTATCATGCTGGTTAGAATATTGTCTGGTTAGAAACAATATGGATACTGTTGTTTGAAATTCTATACGAAACGATTAAAAAAAAGGGAGGAATGGAAAAATAATGACCACAACAGCAGCAGTCATCATTGTTGGAAACAAAATATGTTTTCGATGCAAAAAAAAAAAATATTCTAATGAATTGGATATGGAATTTTGGAATGAAGAGATAAAAAAAAACTTACCCAAAATTCAACAACAACAACAACTATTTGGACGCATAAACAACAACAAAAAAAATTGGTAGATGAAATTTTATCGTTTTTTTTCAGTCAAAATCACCAATAATAATGATTTTTATTATTATGGCTGGACAGAATTTATTTTTTATAAATTCGAGATGATTATGTACCGAGTTTGTTTGAATCGAATGAAAGAATGGACAAAATTTTTTCCAGAATACCCGGGTTTGTTTTAGTTCGATCGACCGATGCGTTCGAATTCTGTTCTGTACCACGCATGCGTAAATGGAAGCAACACATGCTCATTCATTCATTTATTTCATCCGTTTCTGGTCCAAGGACCATGAAACATTATTTATCAATTTCCAGGCTGGAATGTGAGAGAGAGAGAAGAAAAATTCCAAAAAGTAACGAAATCCGTAAAGTAAACAATGATGATGAAGAAAGAAATTAGAAAATTTTTCTATAGAAACAAATCGAATCCAAATGATAAATGGTGCCAAATACCAATGTATTTTCTATAAATATATCTATACCCGCTGGTTGGATGTTTGCCGAATATATCGTTATCCGGACCGGATATTGGATGGCTTAGAAATTCAACAGAAAAAAACAAAGACAAAGACAAAACAAAAAGAATTGGAACGTATGGGTATTGAAATATTATCATTCACAATTAAAGATGTTTATGATAATGTTAATTATCTGGAATCATTGGGCAAAGCAAAATTGCCGAAATCAAACGAAATGCAGCCATTGGTGTTGCCAATGCTGAACGTGATGCAGGCATCAAAACGGAATGTCAAAAGCAGCAATGGATGTAAAATATTCGGCTGATGCTAAAATCGAAGACGCTACACGTGATTATCTAACGCAGAAAGCAATGTTTGAAGCCGAAGTTAATGCAAAAAAAGCAGAAGCTAATCTAGCGTTTGATTTACGTTCAACACATCTACAACAGGAAATATCGAAACAGCAAAAATTCATTGAACTAATTGAACGAAAAAAATTGACTGAATTACAGGACCAGGAAATTGTTTTGGCTGAAAATGATCTAAAAGCTAAAGTTAATTTATTAGCCGATGCTCAATTATATGAAATATGTCAATTAACTGAAGGTAAAACGACAAATATTAGCGGCAGCTGAAGCCGATGCTGAACGTATCAAATTGATTGGACAAGCAGAATCAGATGCGGCAGAAATACGTGGCCGTGCTGAAGCGCATGGAATGTTGACTAAAGCTTCAGCATTAAAACAATTTGGTGAAGCTGCCATATTATCATTAACGTTGGAAAATCTACCAAAAGTATGTATCATTGATTGATTGAATAACAAATAATTGACAATTGTACAACGAAAAAACAAATGACAACAACAATAATCATTAGTATTAGTATAACAGTGAAACTAATAATCAGAACAAAACAAATAATCCTCATTTTTTCCAACTAATTTCAGATTGCAGCAGAAATATCGGCACCATTATCGAAAACTGATGAAATTGTTTTACTTAGTGGTGATACTGGTAATCTAACAAAAGTTGTTTCACAAATTCCACCTACATTACAAGCGATGACCGGTATCGATGTGAAAAGGTAATAAAAAATCTTGTTTTCCATTTGTACAATTCATTTTTTCTTTTGATTTAGACATTATCAAAAATAACCGGTGCCCATTGAATATGCACACACACACAAAATGAATTTTGCTGGGACTTTAAATTCATTTGTATACACCTACCATATGCATCGAATCATTATCATCATTTCATTTTCATTCATCCAATGTCCACAATAATATCGCTGAACAACAATCACCCTCCAAAAAAGAACCAAACCATAAATTCAGATTCACAAACACAAGTCTAGTCTTCGGAAAAAAATCATCATCACATTTTTTTATTTATATCTTCATTTCTAATTGAATAAATTTTATCCGGAAAAATTTTTTTTTATTGAAAAATAAATAAATAAAATCCAGTTTAATCTGGAATTTACAACCAACCAACAACAACAACAAAAAATCTATTGATTTGATTGACATTTGTATATGTGTGCACTGGGTGAGAGCAGTCATCATCATCAGTTTTTTTTCGTTTCTCTTATCAATCAATCAAAATTTGATATCACCAAAATTGCGGACTCACACACACACCGAAATGGTGATCGATATCATTTGACCGATATAATTTATCATAACAAAAAAAAATTTTTTTTTGTTGTTGTCTCTATTCAACACACACACAAAAGATGTGCCGATACTCATGTCAAAATCATTGAAATTGAAATCAATTCCAGTGAATTTTTGTTTTATTTGAAAATTATTCATTTTTTTTATTCATATTTACACACACACACACAAGCACACGTACAAACCAAAAGACAAATATTTATCACATACAATGTACAACAAGAAATGAAAGTGATAATTAGAGATAAAGCGAAAATTTTCCAAAGAAAAAAAAACATCATCAATTGATCTGACGATCGAAAATCCACTACTTATTGAATTTCGATCATTAATTTTTCTTGTCATCTATCCAAAATTGGATTCTAACAACAACGAAAAGAAAAAAATTAAAATAAAAGATGAAAAAATGACCAATCAACGATTCAAGGAAGCATCAAATCGATTAGAATCGATCATTGACTATATAATAATCAGCTAATTTGGCATTGATTAATTGATGATGATTTATTATTGTTATTCAATTGGAGCATTTTGTTGCTGTTGTTGCGATTGCTGTGGTTGTTGTCGTTGTTTATTATCTTTCCAGCCAATAATGAAACCAGTTTGACATAGACGATATTCTTTCAATGATAATTCCATTATTGAATTGAACGATTGTTCCATTGAATTATCAAATGTTTGCAAAGAAAATTGCAATTATTCATCATTACAATTGGATCCATTTGATTGGATTCAGTACGTAAATGTTTTCAAACATATTCAATAAATCTTGTTTAGTTTGTTTATGTTTCAATTTCAATTCAAACGATGTTGGCGGTAAATGTGGTTGCTGATAAATGTATGATACCATACGTTCTTCATAATATTTAAGAAAATTATCCATTAAAGTGGCTGCATCCATTATGATCGATGATGATGATGATGATGTTGTTGCTGTTGTTGTTGTTGTTGATCCAACAACATTATTACCGATATTATCAGCAGTTTGTTGATTATTACCATCCATCATTGTAGTTGTCGTCGTTGTCGCCATCATCATTGTATTGTAATTACGATTAATTATCATTATTTATTGTTTTTTTTTGTTCGAAAAGTGAAGAATATTTAGCCAAATTACAAAATTAGTGATTGATTTACATGTACATCAAATCGAACAATGAAAAAAAATTGCTGATGCAACTGAACGTTTATGGAACAAAATAAATTCACCAAAGAAAAACAAAACAAAACATTCGATATTCAAATCGATTGAATGATGGTGACGACCAAGTTCTTATGTATTGTGTTTTTATTTATTTATTGATGATCATTGATGAGAAATGTGCAAAAGAAAAACCATTTACATTCTGATATGATTCAAAACAAAAACGTCGTCATATGGGTTGTCTTGGTTGTTGTTGTTGTTGTCGTTGTAATCGTCGTCGTAATATTACGGAGTTACAATCGAATTAAAAAATTCAATTCAGCTGTTTATGTGTGTGAAATTGAAGTGTTTATTTTTCTTTCTTCTATGGCCATTTTATATATAGCACGAGAAACCAATAAACAAACAATCATCATCATCATCAATTTATATCAGTTTGAAAATGAGAACAACCGCGTTACATGTATTTATATATAGAATATCGAGAAAAAACTACAGCAAATAAAATACTGCTAGCTTTTCTATATACTGATGATGATGATGATGATGATGATAGTGATTTGAAGATTCTCGAATTACAAAACGAACAAACAAATGCACCCACCAAATATAAACACACATGAGATGAGATTAAAAAACGATAAACGCGTGTTTGAATTTCTTTTTCTGCATTATTTGAATGTGTACACGTTTTGTGTGTATGTATGTGCATGTATTCGCGAAACATTGTATCATTTGTTTTGTTTTTTTTGAAAAATTGATTCGGGCGTGTATCCATCAATTTCAACCAAAACAGACAACTGTAAATATTGTTTACACTGAATATATCTACCTCCTTCGCAAACGTACACATACATGCAATGAATGAATGGATGAATTTCATAAATGTGAATTTTTTGAAGCCAAGTCATATGATCAAACACATTCAGCATATTTTTTTTCTCCCATTATAATCATCATCATCGACATTATAAAGTCACGTCGACAAGTTCTAATGATGATGATGATGAAAATGATGAATGCAGCTGTTGCCGTTGTATACATTTGCATCGCAACATTTTTCGTTCTTAATAATTATCATTCAAAGACATAAAATCATTCATTCACTTCGTGATATTTGTCATCATCATCATAATCGACAGCAACAACGGGATTTTTTCCCTATTATCAACGGAAAAATTTTCGAAATTAAACCCTGAAAAATTCATCGGAATTGCGTTTTTGCCCTGAAAAAATTGATAATTTTTGATTTGTTTCATCAGAAAAATAAGAAAAAACCAGCATACACACACATACAGAATCATTGAACTATCCATTCAAAATCGCATCGATTTGATCAATCAGTCGATCGATCAATCGATCGAATCAAAGCCAAAAATAGCATCTAAATATTGTGAAACAACCCTTTTTTTCAAAAAATAAATCAATTTATTTTTGATTGATTGATTGATTGGCTGCAAGATAAAAGTTAAAGTGAAACAAAAAACGTCTGAATCATTTGTGTATGTGTTCGAATTGAACTTTGATTTGTTGTTTGATGTGCTCATATTTTGATATTTTGTACCAAACATCCAATAATCATCATTTGATATAAAATAAAAACAATCTTGTGATCCTGCCTGCCTGTGTATGTGAGTGACCTATATTTTATTCAGAATAAACGACATAAAAGAAAATAATGGATCAAAAATCGATTGAAAACAATGATATTGAACCAACAATCGAAAAAAAAGATGCTAATAATGAAACTGAAGCCGGATTTCCTCTACGATTACCATCTGGTTTTGAACAACAATTAGGAATGTTAAGTTCAATGATGCAACAAAATCATGGTCTATTTGATCAATTAATTGGTGGTAAACAAAATCAACAGAAAAAAGATGCAAATAATAATAATAATCCATCAACATCAGCTGATCATGAACAACGTCCAGATATGGCTGGAAAAATGTTTGAACAATCAATGGGTATGATTAATTCAATGTTTCGTGATCAAGGTGCTGCCGATATGTTTGGGAAATTTTTTGGCCAACGTACACCAACATCTACTGTTGCTGATCAACCAGCAGCTACAAATGTTTATCCGAAATTGGATGATATGGATGATAATAATAAACGTCAACAGCAACAGCAGCAGCCACAACAACCAAAACAACAAGGTCAATTCGATATTGAAACACTTCTTACTCAAGGTATTGATCGTCTTGGTTTAAAATTACTGATCGAAATGCTGGTGATTTATTGGGACAATTATTGGGTCAGGTTAAAAACAACAACAACAACCCAGTCAACCTTCGTATCCACCATCAGAAGGAAGGAATTTTTATCCAACATTGGATAACTTGGATATTGATAATAACAAGCCGAAACAATCAGAGCCAACACCACCACCACCAACTTCGAATCAACCAACAAGTCCAATTAATTTAGATAATGTAATTAATCAAGGTATCGATGTTATTGGATCAGCATTGAAAGGCAATGCTGGTAGTATTTTTGGTTCATTTTTGAAAAATTCAATTTCAACTAAAAGTTCGACCAATAGTAGTGGCAATCATCAATATGATGTACCACCATCATCAGTAGCACGTCCATCACAACCAGAACCGAAATCTTCCACACAACCATCATTCAAACAGGTGAATGTTGAATTTCCAGATGATGTCGTTGGTACCGGTGCTGGTAATAATGTTGTTAATCCACCAGCAACACCATCAGCGCCAATACAAATGCCTGAACCAATCAGATCATCAAAACCAAAATCGAATAAAGATGATGATGACGATGATGATGATGGAAAATCGAATAAAACCAAAGATGGTGAAAAAATTTTGGATTTCATCCCTGATGATGCATTTGAAGCGGCATTTGATGCAATGGCTTTTGGCAAAAAATAATCCAAATCACTGCTTTTCTTTTGATGATATTATGAGGAAAAAAAACTACTACTAACCATCTTTGATTGTTTTTGTTTTTTGTTTGTTTTATTGCATTTTTTTTCTATAGCAAAATTTAACAATTTTTATTATTATGAGAAAAAAATAATAAACTTTAAATGACAATATCATTGAAATCATTAAAATCAATCAATGGTACAATTTGTTCTTCATCAAGAACATTGAATAGATTACGGAATGGTAAATATCTGTTCAATGTATGACAATTACCAATAATGATTAATTTACGTTTTGCACGTGTTACAGCCACATTTAAACGACGTTCATCTTTCAATAATTCTGAATCAATAATTGGTGTCTGGTTCGAATCATTCGTTTCAACAGATGAACAGTTACTGTTTCTACTTTTTACACATGAATAAATTATAACATCTTTATCACGGCCTTGATATTGATCCACTGTATTTATTTCAAGATGATTTTGTTCCAAAAATTGTTGTCCAAATAGTTCACGAATTTTATTCACTTGACGACGAAATGGTGAAATGATGCCGATATTATCGGTATTGAAATTTGTTGCGTCATTCTTGTTGCCATAAATCAATAACAATGTTTGTACCACATAATATTAATTTTGCTTCAAATAGATTGATAACAAAACTTTTTGTATTATCATTTGATGGTGATGAATGGTCATTTGTATCATTATTCTGTGATCGTTGTTGTTGTTGTTGTTGAGGTAAAATATTAAATTCACCATTATCATTATCATATGTTTCAAATGCCAATGGAATTGATGTTGTGTCCAAGAATACAACAGAATCATTAAGATTTGGACTTATAATTTTTGATATAAATGATGATTGATATTCTTCCAGAATATGGCATTTATCATTCGGCAATAGATAATCCAATAATGATATTGTTTCCACTTGTTTATTAGCACATTTTAATTTATTACCATATGTTAATTTATTGGCCACTTGCATTATCACAGAATTCATACGATATTGAATGAATAATGGAAATATTCGAATTGATTGACCATATGATGATGATGATTTATTATTTTGATGATTGGAATCTTTATTTCCAACATCGAATTCATCATTATCAAAATCATCATCATAATGGCCAATATCTTGTTTACCCGATGTATTTAGCAAACGTGAGAATAGACTTTCATCCAGGCCATTTTGTCGTGCATATGAACTTTGAACTACTGGTGGCAGTTGTTTTTGATCACCAACCAATACAAAATTATGACAATTAAATAATGGTCCCAACGATGTGCATAGAAATACTTGACTTGCTTCATCCATGATGCAAAAATCAAATGTTCGTTTCTGAAATAATGGATGATTGAATACAGCTAAACAGGTGGCAGCCACAACCGGTATAGTGGAATAAAAATGATTCAATGCAATGATATTTTCGGTTTCCAGCCATTTTTTCGTTCGATCATGATCTGAATATTTCAATAATTTTGGATTGATTCTTCGTGGCTGTCCCATTCGTACGAAATCCACTTTTTTATCATTTTCATCATTAAAACGAACCAATTTCATTAGAATATTATCGACGGCATTATGTGTATAACTAGTGACTAGTACTGAATATCCATATTCGACAAGAATTTGAACCAATGAAACAATTGTTTGTGTTTTTCCAGAACCAGGACTACCAAACAGTAGAGAACATTTTGTTTTCAATATGCCAAGAATACAACGTTTTGTTGAATATTCAACTGTGATAATGTTGGTGAATTGTAAAGTTGATTATACGAACCAAATTTGTAACCATTCTGATTGGATTTCGGCACACGGCCATGTATGATGATTTCACGAAGTTCACGGGCTCTAGCATTATCAGCATCATCACCGTCATACATTAATCGTAAAAGATTGGAAAAATTAATCAACATTGGACGATTATTAATATTTTTAAGAAAATCAATACGATACGTGGATTCAACATTGTTGCATCTTTTCCAAACGAATAGTAATCTCTTTTTGATCATCGGAAAATGATTCAATCTGTCCAATAACAATGCATAATTGGCGGCAAAAATTGCCATAAATTTCAAATGTTTTTGTTGAATTAATCAATTCTTCACTGATGACTGCACGTCGTTCTTCCAATAATGTTAGATTAATTTTCAAATCATTATCTATGGTGAACAATTCTTCTGGTAACATTGTTGCCTTTGGATTACGTTGAAAAACAATGATACGGTCATCTTTATGTTTGATTTTCATTTTACACAGACCAATGCCGGATTTTTCACATTCTTCAGAACGATAATTCCAAAAATCTATCAATTTTTCCGATGACATACAGAATTGTTTTTCAATCTCCAACAGTTCCAACATATTCGAAAAGAATTCCATTTCACGACCTTTAAGATGTGATGTGACAGTGGATGAAAATGTGAATCATTTGGATTGTCATAAAGATTTTGATCAAAACAACGATAAATCAATGAACAATCAAGATTATGTTCACATTTGTGTTGTTGTCGTTCGATCCAATTCCAATCACTCACTATTTTAGGATGACAGGAAAAAAAATTGGGAGAAAATTCATTTAAACTGAATGTTTTGGTTGTTCATACATACACAAATTTATTCTATATTTTTATCCGTCCATCTGTCCATGATTCAATGAATTGTTGTGAAACATCACCCAATAGGATCCCATAAAATTCTTGGATAATAAACATGTACAGTATACTGAGTTGATTTTTATGATTCGATTATCATGCGCCGATATGACCAGAATCAAGAAGAAAACGTCATCAAGATATATGAAGATTGATCCAGAAACCTTTGGAGACACCAACAACATATATATTCTTGTTTGATAACCACCGAACTAGAATATTAGCCACCAACTACCACCACCACCACTACTATTACTACCATCATTGCCATAATCGACAAAGACAAATTATGTTAGTACGTATGTGTGTGTGTGTTAGTAAGTGTTGTCACTTGTTACCACCATTAACCAAATAAATATATGGTATGTATACGTAAAAATTAAATTCCAGAATTGCGAATTTTTTTTTTCGTTTTCCTGAATGCTGGAACCTGAAATAAAAAAAAATTTTTTTTTTTTGTATAGAATTAAAGTAATCAACAAAAGAAAAGAATAAAATTTTCATACATGTCAAATATTTTGGAACAATTCAATTTTTGTTTGTTTTTGGAGCAAATATGAAATTTTTTGACGCATCAAGGCCAAATAAATGATGATGATGGTGAAAAAAGGTGCAGAACAATACAAATACAAGTTTGTTTTTTCGTTGTTTCGTTGTTATTGTAATTCTTCTTCTTCAATAAAAATAATGAGCACACACTATTTTTGAATTCTGCATGTGTAAAATGAAACTTGAAATCAAGTTCTGTTTTCAACATCAGCAGCAACAGCAATAATGAATGAATTCGTAAGGATGATGTTCCAGAAACCAGAATTTGAATGAATAAATAAATGAAACGAAACGAAACGAAACGAAAAAACAAAGAATGTTGTAAATATTCTGGTTGAAAGAATTCGTCCAGCATAGAATATAATACAAAACAGCAGCACATTCTGTTGAAATTAATGAACAAAAAAAAATAGAATAAATAAATGTGAAAAAAAACCAGAATCAAAAAGTGTTACCGAATTTTTTCGAATAGGAATATGGAAAACTGAAACCAAGAAAAACTTTATACACGGTGTGTGTGTGTACCATTGTGACTGGAAAAGAATATTCTGGCCGATTCGATAATTATTGTTGTTGTTGTCATCGTCGTCGTTGTTGTTGTTGTTGTTGTTGTTATCGTCGAATGTGATATGATTGTAATAATAATAATAATAAATATAATCAGATTAAAGTATTTTTTTTTTCTTTGCTTTCAACTTTCGGCTTTTCGGCTTTTCTATGAACGAAATAGTGAAAAAAAATCAAAAGTAGAAAAATTATTTTCATTCCAAAAGCGATTATTTAATGATGAACAATTGACTTTGCTGCTGCTGTTGCTGCTGTTTTATTTTTCGTTCACTCATCTCATCTTGGTAACATATGGTTTTTATATAAAAAATCGAATCAATTTCTTGGAAAATTTTTTTTTATTTTCTCGTTGACGATGATGATGTTAATGGAAAAAAAAGGAACCAGAAAAATTTTTTTTTTTTCGGGCTCTTGGTTGTTTGGATCATAATCATCACTGGACAGTAGCAGCAGCAGCAGCAGCAGCAGATTTGGTTCGAATATAATGAGAATATTTTTTGGGAAAAAAATTTTTTTCTTTCTTTCCACCCGGTAGGAAATATTTCCGGCAAAAAAATAGGTTTTTCATCTCTGTGTGTGTGTGTGTAGTGATGATGATGATGATGAACAAAATTATTTTTTGAAAATTAGATTAGTCGACGAATAATGATTGTTAGTGAATAAAATGATGATGATAATAATTGAAAATGAACCCAACAAGAGAATCAAATTTATTCTTCATCAATTCACGATATACCAATTATCATTGTGTGTGTGTGTGTGTATAGAAATTCAACACTATCATCATCATCATCATCAATCATCAATCAATCGATATGAAAGAAAAAAAAATATTCTCAAATTACCAGTATCAAAATTCTGTATTTATTTATTAAATTATAAGATAAGAAACTTTCTGAAAAAAACAACAACTTTTGAGGACAATTTTTTTTAAAATTCTGGCTCGCCAACAAACAAACATTCGAATCGAACGGCAAAAATTCTTTTTGGGCGCTATTCCTTCCGAAAACAACAACATGAACATCCATTGCCCATTCATTGTGAATATTCATGCAAAAAAAATGAAAAAAATGAAAAAATGTTACCATCATCAGAAGCAAACAACAACAAAAATTAATGAAATGGTGAATTACATGAACCAGGAAATTATTACCATCATCATCTATCTATAATTCAGCCCACCGAAAATAAAATAACCGAATCGAAATCGAATGTTGAATGTTGTGATATGTACCGAAAACAAACAAAACGAGAAAAAAGTAAAGAGAGAATATGAATGAATGAATGAAATTTCAAACATTCATTTCGATCCAAAATAAAAAAAAAATACCGCAAATATATGTGATCATCATCATCATCATCATCACCATTTCATTCATGAATGACAGTGGTATTCAAATGTTTCTTTCCGCCTTTTTTCATATTGAGAAAAATGAAAATTTTTTTTTTTGCTACTGTTGTTGCCCGTTATTGATCCAAACTCGGCACCCGATAATTCAACCATTCAATATAGTTGGCCACTCATTATGATTGTTCAAATAAATCATTGAGATTGTATGTAATATATATGCAAATATAGAGATACTTTGCAATCTCTTTTCCGATGTCTCTGTGTGATGTGTGTGTTTGTTTTTTGTAATGTTTGTTTGTCCATATATAATTCATTTCTGGTGATTGTTTTTTTTTCTCTTTCTTTCTCTCTGTAGTTGGTAATCATTCGGCATCGAAAATATAAAACTGAATTGATTGATTGGATTGAGCCAGCCAGCCAACAATGAATGTGGTGATTTTTTTTTTTTTTTTTTTGATCTTGTTGTCGTTCTAATTCATTGATTCTGTGTTTGTTTGTTTTTTTTTGTCTGATGGCGACGTGTTCGATTTTTTTTTCGAACCAAGAAAAAAAATATATAGAATTTTTTTTGTATGCACACACACACACACAAGATGATGATGATGATAAAAAAAACCCTATATGTATGTGTGTGTGTTGTTCATCTTTGGCTTGGTTCGGTTTTTTGTTGTTTGAGAAAAACTCACAAACTTCGCTTTCAAATTCATTTATAGATGGTTTATCGATTATAGATTACACAATTACAACAGGTAATTTGTATACAACAACGTGTAACAAAAAAAAATTCAATTTTTATTCATGTTAATCATGTAAAAATGTATATAATACAATCAAAATGTGATTGATCGATTTATCGATCATCAAAAGTGTATGAATTATTGATTATTATTTTACAGACATCATTAGAAAAAAAGAAAGCGAAAAAAAAATTCTACTTTTTTTTTGGTTTTCTATTCCATTGGTTGATCTTGTGATGATGATGATTGATAATATAATCGTGGTTCAATCTGATGATTATCTGTTTCCAATATGACAACACCATAATCATCATTATCATTATCATCATCAAACATTTGATCATCATCATTTTCCAATGGTTCTTCAATACGAATATCATCATTTTGTTTTAAATCATCATCATCATTGTCATCGTCATTGCTATCAATTTCTTGACGATTATGATTTGATACTATCAAATTCGTTAAATCATTCGATTGCCAAACAACTAATGCTTTAGACATTTTATCCTTTTCCGCTTGTATTAATTTATCCATTATGGATGATGATGATGATTGTTGTTGTTGTTGATTAGCGAATGCATCACGTAATTCTGGTGATAATTCCAATATTTGTACATCATCATTTGTTATTATAATTTTCAATGTTATTATTTGCATCAATTTCTTCAATATGAACACTATGATTATTTATTATTATTATTATTGCTATTTTGATTTTGATTATTAATATCAAATTGATGATGATCAGCATCTTCGACAATATAATTTTCACCTTCACGTATATGCATACGATCAAATATTTCCAATACTTTATCTTCACCAATATATTTTTTGATTGGTCGATTATTATCAAAATCATAATTGGATTCATCTTCATAATCAGACATTAGATGGCTAAAATGTCTTTTATTATTCTTATTAAAGCTGAAATTCTGATGAATATCGATTGATTGTTGTTGGTTAATCATATTCAATTGTTGTTGTTGTTGTTGTTGTTGCGGTATCTGTGGTGATTGTTGCGTGTTTGTTGATGGCTGTGTCATAATACCAAATGAAAATCTATCATTCATAATCCATTGTTGACAATTATTGAGCTGATTTGACCATGGCATCACTGAAGGTATCTGTTGAGACCATGATTGTTGTTGTTGCTGTGTTGATATCGATGAATTGACCGTAGGAAGATTATTATTGTTTATGATAAATGGCAATGTTGTTGATGATGGTGGTGGTGGTGTCGGTGATGATAATGGTAATTGAAATGAAGATGAAGATGGATAATTATAAAATTGTTGCTGCTGTTGAAAAGGATTCATCATCGTCATCGTTGATGATGTTGATAAATTCGGTACGGCAAATATATTTGTCATTGTTGTTGTTGTTGTTGTTGGAATTCTGATTGGAAAAAAAAATATTAATCTTAAAAATTCATACACACGATGAAAAAAGATGAATTTCAAGTGCAAAACTTACTTTTTATTCTTATCGAATAAATTATTCGACATGAAGATTGACAAATCATATGAAGGCACAAAAAGGAATTGATTTGAATAATATAAAGTTTTTATATAATCAAAAAAATTGTGGAGAAATCTTCAAAAAAAAAATCACCGAATTGAAAACAACTTGCGAGCCAAAATGAGTCTTGTGATTATCATCATCATCATCATGATTCATATACACAACATTTGAAAAAAAAATCATCACAGAAGCTCCACCTATTCGAGAAAAATCATAACATTCGATATTTCGGGAATTTTCTCGAAATCATCATCATCATCGTCGATCGATGAGAGAAAGAATTCTGGTTTCCTTTTTTTTCCTTCTCATTTTTTTCGTTTTTTGTTCAATTTTTTTTCCGAATCAAACATGATAATTTCAAGTTTGTTTAAAAATTTTTTTTTTGTGGCCAGTATTATCAATTATAAACAATGGGATATTCCAACCAAACATCGGGTTCATCAATTTGTCATCACAAAGTTTACACACATGCACAGGCATCACGATTTTGATTTTTTTTTTTTTTTGCCATTCGCTTTGGTAAGTATTATTTCAATGATGATGATATGATCCTCTATGCTACACTACATATATATTGTGCCGTTTTCTGCTCTATATAGAATAGAATGATATATCCAGACACCATGGATACAACCAGAAAACCAAGATGGATATAGATCTATTCTATATATATATATAGAATTGTAGCTAGGTTGTGTGTGTGTGTATAGAGGTGTGGCTGGTGCGCTACCCGATTCGTGAGCAATGTAGCATTTCCACTATTTTATTATGTATGTGTGTGTGTGTATGAACAATGAACAGAAAAAAAATCTGGATCATCATTCTGGAATGATGAACAAATGTGTATGAGAAGTTGAGAGGGGAAAGGAAGTCAAGTGAAAAAAAAGAAGAAGAAAAAAAAAGAATAACCTCATTTCGAAAAATCCATTCTTGTGTAAATTGTTTGGAATCGTGTTTGTTTTTTTTTGTTTGTTTGTGTGCGACCTTTGCCATTTGATTACTGTTTTTGAGTGGAAAAAATTATTGTTGTTTCAGTTATCATCAAATAAATAACTGTTCAAGAACAGAACGAAAATGGATAAAGAAACATTGAGAAAACAGATTGAAAATATGCGATATCAAGCAATGATGGAACGATGGCCATTGTCAAAATCGATTCAAGCGTATGTGTTATTATTATTATTATTTCTTGATTATGATTTTTTGATTTTAATTTCATTTTGTTTTTTATCATTTTACATGAAAAGTCTTCGTGAATATATCGAAGAGAATGAACCACAGGATCCGTTGATCCATACACCGGATAAAAAGAATAATCCATGGGCTGAAAAAGGCAAATGTACAATTTTCTAGTCAAATTTTTTCTCAAAAAAAAAACTTTTATCATCATTCATCCATTCATCGTATTGCAAAAAAAAAATATCACCGCCAACATTATTCTAATGAATTGGATTCGACAACAACAACAACAAACGAATCGTTTCAGGATAACCATCAACCATACCCGTATTTTGTCATTTAATCATCACTTGTCATTATCTTTTTTTTTTTTTTTTTTGAGCAGCTTTATCTTTTTCTCTTACCATCATCATCATCATCATCACCATCATCAGCACGACCACAGCAAACACCACACACAAATCTATCTTACAAATGATTATTATTCAAATTATTCATCATTATAATAATGGTATTATATAAATTACATATTACAAATTCTGCCGTAAATGAAAAATCCTCATCATCATAACCCAAATACAATTTCAATTTCAATTTCAATTTTTTTTTTTGGTGGTTGTTCCGGTGTGGTGCAATCTTCTTTTTTTTCTATCATTTACCGCAACACATACAAAGACAAGACATTGTAGCCATTAGCCATGTCCTTTTCCATTTTCCGTTTACGTTATAAATACGGGAAAAAAAATTTCAATTTCATAATGAAACGTATTGACACACACACACACATGTACACGCACACACAAACGTTCGATTTTCATTTTTTTAGTTTTAAAAAATATCAAGCTTTTTTACAGCTTGATATTCAACACAATCCACCTATTATAATCCATTATTATTGATGGACAACAAATAAACATCTGAAACTGACCGCGCCGACACCATCCCTCAGCGATTTTTTGTTTTGTTTTGTTTTGATTCACATGAAACATCGGAAAAACAACCACAAAAAAAAATTTAAAATTTTCAACCAAAAACCAATTAATTAATTAATTAATTAACAAATTCACACAATATGTATTTGAAATGAATAAATAAATAAATAAATAAACAAATTGTCAACAATTTTTTTTTTGCCAATTAATCAGTAGCTGTAGTGGTATCCGATGGTTCATTACGACAAATAATCGATATTCGACGATCACGTTTTATTTGTTGTCCTTTGAATAATGAATTTTCATCATCAAGAATTTCATGTGCATAAAGATAACGTGAATCGCCACTAAAATAAAAACATTCCAATTTTAATTCATGAATGATGATGATGGTGGTTAATGGTGAATGACTTACGTCATAATATATAATGATCGACGATTAAGTAAAATATCGACATAAATATCACGATTCGATTCAAGACGCATACGCATTACTGAATCTGAAAGTAATGATATTCCGGCTATTGTGTCACCACAAAACTATAGAGAGAGAGAGAGAGAAAAAAAACATTAAAATTAATCAGTGATTTAATACAAAAACAAAATATTTACCCGAACACTATCGACATGTGGTTTGATGAAACCATTGGCTTTAATCTCCAGTATATGTACGAATTTAATGTGATTAGCATTATCACTGAATGCAAGTTGTCGAATACGATCAATAATTTTTACATTTTCTTGTTGCCATCGTAAATGTTCGGTTTCACGATAATTTTGTATAGCATCATCCCAATGTGTTTGTTCATAACGTATTCGTCGTGTTTTGAATACATTTTCCACTTCATCCATTAATGATTGTTCTTCATGTGGATCAATAAAATCCGGTATGATAAACATTGAGTTTTGAATTTGTTTTAAATTTTCGCCATATTTTGAATCAAAATAATCATCATGAACTTTTAATTTGAAATGTTGTTTATCTGGTTGAATGGATTCAGTATGAAATAATAGTGTTGATGGTGATGATGATGGTGGCTGGAATCGGAATTTATTTTTTATCACATTAATAATCATCAAACGTTGTCCTAAATGGAACATTTTCATTTTCATTTTTTTTTTTTTTTTTTTTTGAATGAATTCGAATCTAAATTCAGCTGATCATTTCATTTCATTGTCTGATTTTGACCACCAGATGGTGTGGTTAAAAAAAATGTTTGAATTTTTTTTTTTAATTTTCAACAAAGAAAAATGATAACGGCATTAGTAACAAGCAAAAAAAAAAAAATGTATGGCACAAGTGCAAAAAAAAATCGAAAATATGGCTAACAATCAGATTGAAATTCAAATGTTTGATCAATGACATTTGACGATGATGATGATGATGATGATGTGGCCGATGACATCGATGATCTCACTCTGCCGCCAATCGGTCTAAGTTGTTTACGTAATTCTTCCAATGATATTGGATTATTCGATGATTGTGACAAAGCAAATGAAGATGAACGATATGGTAACCTATTGATTATATGACTATCACAATAATTTTGACTATGACAATAATTCATTGATGATGATGATGATTGTTTTTCTTTACGAACATCACGAACATCATGGCGAAGCATTCGAAATGCAAGATCATCATTGATTAGATGTGGTGATGATTCTCTTGTACGATATCGTTGTTTACGTGATTCTGTTTGATCAAGTTCAACGTTCGAATATCCAGTTGTTTGTAAACCCATTGTGATCGGTGTATTTGGTATACCAAATGGTAATGGTGGCACTACTGGTGAACGTGATGCTGTTGATTGTTTTAAACGACGATTCAATAGATCATCCTGTATGAGATCAGGATTTTTTTGTAATAATTTTCCCGTAATATATTCGTTATCATAATCATTATCATCATGATGATGATGATGAATGGCAGTTGTATTGTCCGAATTGTGTGAATCATTAAGCCAATCTTCATAATTATCAAGAAACATATAACAAATTGAATCAGATTGTTTTTGTTGTTGTTGTTGCTGCTGTTGAGATCTATTATGATGATTTTGAGATTTTCCAGATTTTTCTGGCCACAATGGTAATGCTTTTTGTTGACGATTTTTATCATAACGACGATAGGCAACATCATCCTTTATAATGTTTGGCATTGCTGAACGACGAACCGGAATTGTTTTGGGTTTTGTTGCAGGCCTATTGGACAAAATATGAAAGTGTGAATTTAAAATTCTTTATTCACTAGAATCATCAAACCTTTTCATCACAGATGATGATTGATCCAGATGATAAACATGTTGTCGTTGTTGTTGATATGGCCGATTATTTTGACGATATGATTGTTGAAATTTTGCCGGTAAATCACGACGTTCGGCACGATCCAATAATTCATCATCATCATTTAGATTTAATTGATTGAAAAGATTTTCAAAATCATCCAACGGATGTTTTGGTTGTTGATGACGATATTTTAATTGATTTTTTTCAACAAACATTCGTAGTTCATCCGATGCAGCCGTTGGATTAGCAGTACGTATTGTTGTTGATTGTGTACGTCTTCGTTCGATTAATTGCCAATGAATTTTTTTCTTCACTACCGGTTGTTTATCATTATCATCGGACATTTTTTTTTGTTCATTTAATAAATATTGATATTATCATTGGCCATTCGAGCATAATGCAATTAATAATTTTTTTTTTTCTGCTACAAATAGTCAAATTTTCGTTGACTAGAATCATTTGAGAGAGAGAGAGAAAAAAGCCGGATTTTCAGTTGTCACATACGATGATCTGATCACGAAACCGCATACTCTGTGTGTGTGTCAACAACAAAAACACACTGAGAGATATTGAGGAACACTTGTTGCTTGTGTCGAAATTTTTTTTTTTTTTTTGATTGACAAGAACTATTAATAGGTGGAAAATGAAAAAAAAACATAAACAAATATGGCAAAAATGTAGTCGATGATGATGAAGAGGTGGAAAAAAAAGGAGAGCAGACACGGATGTTTGCGTTACACATACATATACAGTTTTTTTGATGACGATGATGAGAAACCAAAAAAATTATAATGTATTCATTTCAATGACATGTCCTGTGTGTGTGTGTGTGGTAAAATGTTGATCAGGCCAGGTTGTATTTCGAATTACAACAAACACCAAAACTTGGACACAGGTATTGATATTGGTTGGTTGTATCAATAAGAAATTTTTTTTTTTTGCATCAAGTACACATACACATACACACACACACATTGACATCGAAAGATGAAAATTTTGTTGCTGCTTCTGCTTGCGATGATGATGATGTTGATGTTGATGACCATGAAATGTCCAAATATTCAAACTAACAAATGATGATGATGATGAGATTTAGCCGAAGGTGATTTTTTTTTTGTTGCTGTGTTTGTGTCATCACTGGATCCGTATTTGATTTTGATGATGATGATTATAATGTAATCTTTTTTTGAATGGATGCTAAAAACGATGAATAGCAAAATGGATTATTAATTGATGATTTAAATTTAAAATTTTAAATGATGATGAGTTTATCATTAAAATTTTCAAAATTTCTTACTTTAAATTTCAAAATGGCAATGTTGAATTTTTTTTTCACTAGATACAAACCGATTGGCCATTGCTTCAAATGTGTCTGAATGTAATGAAATGGACTAGTTTTTTTTCGATTTTTGCTGTTTGTATTCAATGTGTTGTATGTCATATACACACACAATCATGATTGGCCACAATTTTTACAGGTGCAATGATGATATTATCATCATTTGTTATTTTAGTTTGTCGACCATCAATAAATGATATTCACCGTTTGAAGGAAAATTGAAGCCAACAAAACAAAACAAAACAAAAAAAAAAAACAAAAACATCAAACGGCAGATGTATAGACAAGTAGACAAGAAATTTTTCCAATCACAGAAATTGTTACAAAGTTCATTATTTCCAATACTTGAATGTTGTGGTTGTATAAGTTGTATGGCCGTTTGTTTTGTTGTTGTTTTGATGATGATGAGGAGAAAAAAAACACGCGGCACAATCGATTCGAGAGAAACAAAAAAAGAAAAAGAAAATTCATAACAATTTGATGAAATTGAACAACAAATTTCGACTTTGAATTACAGATATAATTGAATTAATTGATGGATGGATTTGTTTGTCGATCGATCGATCGATCAATCAATCAATTGATTGGTTTTATCATGTTTTTTATTCATGACATGAAATTTTTTTTTTCGATGTCAAACATTGTGAATGTTAGTGTGTAAATATATACAATTAGAACAAATTCGAATAATGATCAAATGATGATGATGATTGACAACATCGATACTATCGATGTATTTATATATGATGATGATGATGATAATAATTTTATGCGAAACATTCGATTCGATCGAATTTCACAACTCTTTCAATTTCTTTGTGATTTTGAAAATCAATCATTATAATAAATGATAATCAATTTTTTTTCCCATTTATTCAAAAATATGATGATATCGACATGAATGTTTTGCCGTTGTTGTTGTATACGTACATCATTATCATGGATTAAATTATCTTTGATAGTCATGTGAAATCATTTATTGGCTACACTAATTGTGAATGAGAAAAAAAATAATGTCAACCATTCAATTGGGATTCAATTTCATTCCATCATCATGATCATATCATCAATTTATTCGATATATTCGATTATAAATCTCCAATAACCACAAGGTCAGAATTGTTGTTGTTGAAAACTTTTTTTTCTGTTAATTTGTTTTTGGTTTTGCTGTTTTTTTTCTTTGTATTTCAAAACAAACAATGTTCATTTGATCCAAGATTATTATTATTGGTAAAAACAAGAAAATTCTGATGAAAAAATTTTTTTTTTTTTTTGAAAATCATAAATACGCGTGCGCGTTCTCTTTCATTCGAATATCGCGGTATTATTACTCTTTTTTTTCGTTCTCATTTTCAAAGACAATTTTTATCCGTCGATAATCGTCGATTTTATATGTAAGAATTATCAATACATTCACAGAGACACACACACACACACAGCATCAAATCCATTTTGTTTCATTTTTATATTCAAGTTATGATGAAAAAAATGAAAACAAATGATTTGTGTGTGTGTGTAAAACAAAAATTTAGACAAAAAAACAACGAACGTGAATTTTTGTTTCATCATTCAAACGGTTTGTTTATCTACTACAACTGTACTACAGCTGCAGCAGTATTGCTGTTCCATGATGAAATCCTCAAAGACACGCCTTTAGATTATCATATCAAGTAAATAGTGATATTGATCCAAAAACAAAAAACAACCGTCAAAATACCGTACATGTGTGATTGACATATAACCGACATTGTGCATGTGTGTGTCTGTGTCTGTGATCCAAAATGTAATTTTTTTTTATAGAATAGATCTTAAATGTTGAAAAACATCTTTTTCTTTCCACCGATTGCCCAGGTAATTCGTAAATATACCTGGTGTATGTGTGTATGTGGGTATATTATACCTGCATTTATATATAGAGTGTAAATGATAATGATATAGTTTGAAATTTTTGATCATTAACGTCCGTTTTGTGTTTATATGTTTTTCGGGTTGTTGTTGTTGTTGTTTGTTATTGTGGTGGTGGTGGTGGTGGTGGTTGCACCAATTGATCATCATCATCATCATCATCATTGAGCGCGTGAGCAATAATAATTTTTATTCTTCTTTTCTCACTTGTTTTTCATTCTATCTATCTACTTAATATATTGTCTGTCTGTTTGTGTGTGTGTGTGTTTGTTGATCTTGTTTTGGTGCGGTATATTATCATCACCGTGGATTGAAATTATCTCGTATTTTATTTGACAAAATTACCCACATAAACACACACACACAAACACAAACATCAATTTGGTATCATTTAGATGCAATGATTATGTTTTTTGATTATCACATGATCCATAAAAAGCATCTAATTAAACTATGATGATGATGATGATGATGATGGCATTAAATATCATCATTAAACAACATTATCATCGCTGGATCATTCGATAATTTGAATGAGTTTGCAACTGTGTCTGTGTGTGTGTGTGTGTGTGTTATTCCATTGTGTCTTGTGTGCGAGCATTCTGTTTGCCAAAAAAAAAATATACCAAAAGAAAAAAAAGGTAAATTGGAATTTTGTTCATTTTAACGAATTTTCATTATTGTTTTTCTCCATTTTTGATTTGCATAGAATTTCAACCATCCAAGAATAACTAAGATTTCACTGGTCATATTAATCATAAACAACACAAGATGAAAAATTGTAATCACCATCATCATCAGCTGATTTAAATACAAAAAATGGATGATAATAATAGCGAAATGAAATCAAATATTATGAATCGTATTCAAACGATTAATAATCAATTAATGAACAAATCAAATCATCAACAATCAAAAATTATGAAAATAATATCCAGAATCGACGTTGGAGCTATGCCAATACAAATGTTAATCGAACAATAGGACAACAAAAATCTTCATGCCAAATTGTTGAATCATTGAATGAATCAAAAGTGAATATGGCAACAATCAATTCGGATTCATTGAATAATGATAATGGTAGTTGTAATCAAGAAATTTCAACTAAAGTGAAGAATGAAGAAATTTCATCATCATCATCATCGTCGTCGTCGTCGTCGTCATCGTCGTCGTTATCATTGAAGGATGGTGAAAATTGCAACGATAATTATCGTGTAGATGGTGGTGAAACAATTAATAATAAAAATATATTACCATCTAACAATGACGAGACAACTGATTCATCATCACCAGCATTTTATACAATAACAAAACCAATGATGATGATGACAAATTTTTCATTCGATCAATCAACAACCGTTACGACAACGACAAATACAAATCTCAAACCAATACTGAAACGTAAAGATTCATTGGATAAATTGATGGGTGGTATATCGAAAAATCATCATCAGGATCCGAATTTACCACCACCGATATTGAAAAAACGTGATAGTTTATGTTCAACATTGAATACGGATTCCACCGGTGGAAATATTGATTTATCATCATCATCATCATCATCTCCATCAGGTTCGAATATTAATCCAAACAACGGTAAGTGATATAAATATCTATTAATACATTCAACATTACTGATTTTTTTTCTCACAAAATATACAGGTATGGCAGCATTGTCTTTACAACAACCACCACCTTCTATATTGAAAAATCGTCATCAACAACAGCCAAGAGGTTCATATTCTTTTGATGAAACGTTGAACAATCACCGTACCGATGGAATTAGATCACCATCAGATGATTCCCAATATCATCATCAACAACAACAACCGTATCAATTGAAACCAATTTTAAAGAAAAAATCCTGGAGTACTGAAAGTGGTACTGATCATTTTGGTCATTCAACGATTGGATCAAATTCTACGAATGAATATCAAGTGAAAGGAATATTGAAATCAACATCGATTGATCGTTCACCACCACAACAATCATCATTATCATCATCACCAACTGGTGGTTCATCATTATTGACAACAATAAAAATGATTTCATCAAAAATTGATGATCATGATCCAGAAACAACAACAGTGTCTTATTTATATTCTAATTCACATGTAACAACAAGTGCGCAATCTACAACCACCATTACTACATTATCATCAAATACAACAGCCGGACTAAAAAGTATCCTTAAACCATCATCAACAACGAATCGACAACGGAATCGTTTACGTTCAACATCATTATCACCAACAGCATCAACGGATTCATTATCATTATTATCATCAAATACTGATGAATCAGAGGAATCATCATCATCATCTATTATTAGAAATAATAATCGTAAAAGTGCATTTCGTAAACGTACCTCATTGGATGGTAATTCAGTTGTAAATATTATTCGTGGTACTAGTGGTGGTGATGATGATGATGGTTATTCAACAACAACAACAACAATAAAACCGTTATTTCGATTATTTAATAAAAATAAATTCAATGAAATATCTGTGATCAATAATAATCAATCAACAATACAATCATGTTCATCTGGGGCAGCAGCGACAATTATTAAACCAATTTTAAAATCAAATAATTGCCAACAACAACATCAATGTTCAACTACAATAACAGCATCGAATGAATCAGATAATGATAATGAATCTGCTCAATCATCATCATTTTTAAATTCGAATGATAATGATGATGATAATAGTATGTCATCATCATCATCATCATCATCATCATCATCATCATTGGCAGCAACAAGTTTGATGGAAACATTACCACCACCAGATAATAAAAACGACGATGATGATGATGAACAATCATCATCATCATCATCACCATCATCATTATCAGCTATGAGGTAAATTTTCAAACCATGATAATCCAAATTTATAAAAAATTGGATTCATCACCAAACAAAATTATTTCCACTCAACATCTTTATTCTATCCACTTTCATTCAAACCGATAATGTTTTCTTAATTCCAAAACGAAAATTTCTTCAAATACTCATCATCATTTTTCCTTTTTGTTTCGATTTCACAATCATTCAATCAATTTGAAATTCAATTTATGGATGCCTTTTTTTCTCTGTCATTATTTTCATTTTTTTTCAAATGTAATGCAAAAAAAACCACTGCTTTCTAAATTCTGTTTTTCTTAATTTTTCAATTTTTAATGAATGAATGAAAATCTATCCTTTATATATGCTTTATACTCTGTGTGTATGTGTGTGTGTGTCTTGATTTGATTTGATTTTTTTTTCGTTTGTTTGTTTTCATTCAAACTGTTGAGCTTTCAAAAACACAAAAACACAAACACAAGAATATTCTCTGTCTTTCATCATACTTTTATTCTTTTCTTTTCTTTGATTCTTACAATTCTTGATTGTATGTGAATATATTCCGGGGGTCAATCAATACAAAAACTTTTTTCTCTTTTCTTTTTTTCTTATGACTTTTTTAAAAAAAAAAAATTTTGATTAAATATGACTTGTTTTTTTTCCAAAAAATTCTGTTACTTTTTCTCTTTCTCTTTCTCATCAAAATTTATCACTTGACAATATAAACATACACACACACACACACACACACACACACACACACACACGGTTACAATTGACATCACAACAACAACAACAACAAAAAATTTTTTGACGACATTAATGGTGGATCCAATTTTTCCATCATTGCGATAGATCATTATTTTGATATTTTCCATTGAATCATTTGAGATTTTTTTTGTCGTTGTTGTTGTTGTTGTTCATATTCAAAATCTTTGTATATTTGAATCTAGTTCACATCATTATATTCTATGAACATCATGAATTATTACATTTGACGAATAAGTGTCAGTTTTTGTTTGTCAAAATCAAAAAAATTTTTTTTCATTTTTCTCTGTTTTTCTCATTATTTTATTCAACAATTGTCCTTTTTTTTCGCCAGTTGTTTAATTCAAAATCGAATGCAATGAATAATAGTTTATCATCATCATCATCATTATTTATGATGATGATGGTGGTGGTTTGTTTGTTTGCTTGCTTGCTTGATTGATGTGGATAGTAGGAGCAATAATCCACTATAGTCTATCAAAAATGGATGAATATTTCGATTTCTGTATCATCATCATCATCATCATTATCATGAGCCATTTTGAATGTATATGATTTGTGTGTGTGTGTGTGTGTACAGCTGTTGATTTTCGTTATTTTTTTTTTTGATTTCAAATTTTGTGAAAAAAAATTTAAATTCATTTCCTATCATTGTGTGTGTGTGTGTAAGTTGAGATTATCGAAATCGGCTCCATTGTTTTTTTTTAAATTCTGGCTGTTTATTGATTGATTGATGTGATGTGATGACATTTTTTTTTATGTAGATTATGACCGAGTGAGAGATGCAACAAATTTTTTTTTTTAAAACACGATATCTCATCAATCAATCAATCATCGCTGTTTTTTTGTTGTTGCTTATAGTTATTGGTGTGTTTGTCAACCAGAGAACAAAAAAAAAAAAAAAAAAAATCCATAAATTTATTTTCTGGTTCCATTTGTTTTTCTCATTATAGACATCATAAGGTTTTCTTTCCACTGATTAATCACTGTATATTTGTGTGTGTGTGTGGTTGATATATATGCAAAAGAAAAACATTTTTTTTCCATTCAAACATAGAACAACAACGATTACGACGACGACGACGACGACGACAACGGATTGTTGTCATTTCCTGCTTGTAAAATTTCAACTATATGGAGATTTGAAAAACCATCATCATTATCATTATCATCATTGAATGTGTGGAAGTTCAAAGCACTTGTTGCTGCTGCTGATGTTGTTGTTGTGTGTGTGTGACACTTTTTTTTGGCACTTTCAATTCAATTCGCTTGTAGACACACACACACACACACAAGCAAATTCTTTTCCTATATTCATTTTTCCTTCCTTTTTCATTTTCTTTTTTTTTATTCTTTTACTGCTACTTTTTCTAATTTTTTTTTATGAATTCTTGGCTTTTAAAATCATCATATCATCATCTTTTTTTTTGTTGTTTTTTTATATTTGAAAAACAAATCCTTTCACATTGATTTTGTGTGTGTGTGATCTGTTTTTAGAATAATGTCGACATTGCCAACAACGATGATGATGACGACGACGACAACAACATCATCATCATTGGATACGGTTATTGCATCACGCGTTCAAGCATCACCATCATCATCAGCTAATAGAATAAATAATAGAAACAATAATGAAAAAATGGTTCGTAAAGTTCGTCCAAAGAGTTGTTTTGTGATAGGTGTGGCCGATGATTATAATGATGATGATGATGGTTGTGGTGGTGGTGGTGGTGGTGGTGGTGGCAATAATTTTGTTGCTGATGGTAGTAATGCCACAATTAGTATTAGTGAACGTTTAGCAAAATTAAAACAGAATGGTGAAAATGGATGGCGACAACGAATTGTTCATCGTGATCATCGACAATCAACAACGACAACGACAAAGTCAATGTTGACGGCAACAAATAGTTTAAGATTGGATAATAATAATACAAACGAATCAAAGATTGCTAATCGTTTATCAGCATTGATGGATTCACAATCACAATGGCGTTCACGAGTGCCGGAAAAGGATGCACAAAAATTTACGGTTGCATCGAAATTATCCAACAACACAGCAACAATACAACACCGACGACTAATGATGATAAAGGAATGGATAAAGTTGTATTACGTGAAACACCAAAACGTCATGGTCTACGTGGATCAACATTAAGTGAACGAAAACTTGGTGCCATTAGTTCAAAATTGAACACAGTATTGGGTAAAGATAAAAATCCATTTTCTGGCCCATCACCATTACGATCACCGAAACCGATGGAAAAAACCAAATCCAATGACGATGGGGATGGTGATGATAAAAATGATCAACCACCACCACCACCAGAACAACAATGTGAACGATCCATTATTATAACGAAAAAGACAACCAAACCAGAATCGATCACCATTCTAAAACCAGATGATGAAGAAAGTTTTGGTTCATTCTATGGTTTCAATGCAAATACTATGGATGAATTATTGAAACCATCATCATCATCATCATCAACAACAACAACATTACAATCATCATCATCAGATAATGAACAGTCACATAGTTTATCAACACTAGATACTACTACAACATCGTCGATAAAATTGTAAGTAAAAATTTTACAAATACATTACCATTGAATAGAACCAGCATTGCATATTATTATTATTATTTGTTTCATTTTCCTTTCCTTTTCACTTGTTGTTGTTGTTTAGATTTAGTAATCATAATGATGAAATATCCTGTTGATTTAATATTTTAACAGCATGATGACAATTTTCAGGCTTAGATTTGTTGATGTTTGTTCTGTTCTGTATTTTCATTATCTTTCTGTATCTATCTATCTTTCTATTTTTCTATTTATATTATAAATATCTAGACTTACGGAAAGAAAATTATCACGTATACAGGCGCCTAAACAACGCCGAAAAACAACGGCAAAAAATCCGGCAAAATTACTTGCACATACATCGATTACGGTCGATTCATATGTCAACAGATGAATGTGAAATGTGTGTGTGTGTGTGTGTGCGTGCGCGTGTGTCCGTCCATGTGAATCGAATGATTCAAATTAGAAAATCTTTGTTTATGTTGTTGTTGTTGTTTTGTTTTTCAAAATTTCATTTCCTGTTAATTTGATTTCTATTCTATTTATCTATCTGAAAAAAATAATACTTGAAATAATACAACTTTTTTTTGTCAATTTTTTTCTGGTTTTGTTTTGTTTTGTTTTGATATCTAAATTTTTTTTTCTCTCTCTCTCTCCATATAAATAGACTATCGGAGAGTAAAAAAACACGTGTTCAAGCACCAAAACGAAGGCGGCAAGCAAAGGAAAAAAATCCATTAGCACGAACATTGATTGCTATTGATTCATATCAAACATCATCCAACAACAATGATATACCAACATCAAATGAAACTAATCATATGGATGATGTAAAGATTTCATCGACAACGATCTCATCATCATCATCATCATCAACACCGCAAACACCAAGTACTCCGACAACAACAACGACGACGATAACGAAAGATGATTCAAAATTTGCATTATCTGCATTGGCCGGTTTGGCTAGTGTTGAAGATTTTAAATCCGTTGCAAATAAACTTCGTAGTAATAATGCTGTTGTACGTAATGATTCATGGCGTACAATGGATTTAAAAAATTCATTACAATCAAAAATGTTGATACAAATAAAAGGCCGTAGAAAAGCTCAAACACGTTTAATTGAACCACGATGGCAATCATTGAATCAAATGGATAGTTTTATTCTTGTTACAAAGAATGAAATTATTGCCTATATTGGCCGATACTCAAACATTATTGAACGTACTAAATGTATGGAAATTGCCGATTTAATTCGTAAACGTAAAGATCTTTGTTTTCGTTCATCATCCAATGGTGTTGTACGATTGTTGGATTGTCAAAATGATATTACAACAAATCTATCGATGAATAATGCGTTACTTGTGGAAAAATTACTACCACTACTACAGGAATTGAATTTTATCCAAGAAAATGATTTTGATGAATTTGAAAAATCCATTTGCTCACCAATAATGGATTTGGATCTGGATGAAGATGATGAATTTTATGAAGAATTTATTAATCATAGTAATCTTGTATATCAAGTTTTGTATGATGAAAAATCCGATTCAGATAAAGCTGAATTATTACCATTGGAAAATAATTGTGGCCGTCAACCACGACATGCTATACTGCAGCCAGATAAAGCATTAGTATTTGATTTTGGTAGCGAAATGTATGTTTGGCTGGGTAAAACCGTATCCAATGCCATACGTAAAAAAGCTGTTGAAGCAGCCAAAGATTTATGGTATCAAGGTTATGATTATACTGAATTTGATTGTTGTCCATTGGGCAATGGCAACAATACGACAATAATCAAATCTGATCGACGTCCAGATTGGACATGGTTCATACGTGTCAATCAAAATATGGAACCTATTTTATTCAAAGATAAATTCTTCAATTGGCCAGCATTTACATTGACACGTGCAGAAAAGAAATATCAGCCAAGAAAATCATCGTTTTCGGCGATAACAACATCGACCATTGAACCAAAGAAACATAAATGTTGTAAAAAAGATCTTTCAGCTGAATTGAATCTATTTCCAGTGGATGTTGATGCCGATATGATTCATAATGTACCAAAAGAACATGAACTTATATTGGAATGTATATCATTAGGACGTGGTGCTGGTGACACTATTCGCGATGAAGATGGTTTGCCAGTAAAAGTCCTTACATTGGATGTTCAATGTTTTTTCATCGATGAATATGGTGATCGTATTGAATTGAATGAAATGGATAGAAATTTTTTATGTAGTTCAGAATCTTATTACATCAGATGGAAATATCGTCTTGCACGTATAAGTAGATGTTTGAAAACTGGTGGTGAATCTCGTTATTCTGTCGAACAACATGGTGGCCGTGATCGTGTCTGTTATTTTGTTTGGCAAGGTAAAGATGCTCGTAATACACAACGTGGTATAACGGCATTGAATGCAATCGAAAAACTTCGTGTTGAAGGTGCCTCACAAACCTATGTTGAACATGGACACGAAGATCCGATATTTTTACGAATATTTCAAGGTTCATTGGTCATACAGAGTGGTAAACGACGACGACAAAATCATCCAATGAACGAATTAAGCAATCGATATCGAATGTTCATGTTACAGGATACATTACCTGAAGAACAATTTATGATTGAATTAGAATGTAGTTTTAAAAATCTTCGTAGCCGCATTTCATACCTGTTCGTGAATCCGGGCCATTCATCAAAAGTTTATTTATGGCATGGATGTAAAACCACCGGCGCAAAACGTCAAGAAATACGTACATTTTTTCATAAAAATATACTTGAAAATCGATCTCAAGAATTTGGATTTCCAGTCAACGATCCAATCACGGTGTATCAGCTGATTGATGTGGATGAAGCTCATGAAAGTCGAGAATTTATGAACATTTTTCAACAACAAAATCAACAACAGATTAGATCACCAGATTCAACGTTGACACGGCGACAATCTAAATCGAATTTACATCGTGATGTTTATTTTTCACTAATCGATGATCAACGTTCATATTGTTTTACACCACGTTTATTTCATTTTCAAACATCATCGGATCGAATATTTGAAGCAACGGAAATAACCACATCATATTATTCATCACCGAAATCATCATCATCGTCGTCGATGATCATCGTTAATTATCCATTTGTACAGGATGATATTTATGAACGAGCCAAAACAAAGCCAACATTTTTTCTTTTCGATGCTGAATATGAAGTTTATCTTTGGGAATCGAAATATCCATTTTTTATTAGCTCTAATCATGCCACTTTGGTCAAAGATGACCAACAACAACAACAACAACAACAGCAACAGAAACGAAAAAAATCAATTGATGATGATGATGAAAGAAAACAAATGCCAAAAATGATTGATATTGAAGAAGAAATTCAATCAGAATGTAATATGACTACGGGTTTTGCTACACAACTTTGGCTTGCCGAACGTAAATGTGCATTGGAAACTACACTTGCATATTGTCATGGTATTTATATATCAACATTTGAATGAAATTTTTAAATTTTTTTCTTTGCATCTCAACTTTAGCAAAAAATTCTGCCGAACCACCGAAATCATATGTAATATCAGCCGGACTGGAACCGGATTCATTTTGCGGCCTATTTCCAACATGGACCTATTATGATAATGTTGCCAAATTACATATTCAGGTTTGTGGTGATTTTTTTTGTTGTCAAAAAAAAAAAATAAAATTTAAAAATATACACACACAGGATGGACGAAAACCAGGCGAACAGATACTGGTACAAGAAGTTCTGTCACAAATGGAAGATATCAATCAATCCACATATGGTTACGATGAATTAAAACGACGTCCATTGCCTGAAGGTATCAATATTCTTTGTTTGGAATCCTATTTGGATGATGAAGAATTTGAGGTAATAATTTTTTATTATTCTTGATTTTCCCCCATGTTGAATCTAATTTTATTATTATTATTATTAATATACTCACACATGCAGAAAGTATTCGCCATGAATCGTGAAGAATTTTGTTCATTACCAACATGGAAACAGAAATTAATCAAACAGGACAAGGAATTATTTTAATTGCGATTTAATTGATTTGAATTGAAACATTTTTTTTAAACATATGCTTTTACGATTTTTGAATGTGATTTTTTTGGTGGCTCATGTCCACACTTTTTTTATTTATTGTATTTTTATAATAATTTGATTTTACAAGAAAAAAAATGAAATAAAAAAAAATTTTTTTCGAATTCAAAAACAATCGATACTTGAACAGTAATCGATAGTTTATCGATGCAGACAAGACAAGACTAAACACAACTTGCAGCTGATTTTTGATAGCTTTACTTTTTGAATTTTTAAATTTTTAATATTTTTTTCTTCATTTTTAAATTTGTGATTTTTGTCGTAAGAAATTTTTATTCACCAATGAAAGAAATAAAAAATGAATCATCATTATCCAGTAAGTTGGTTTTTTGCTCATCGATCGATGTGTTTGGAATATGATTGTAAAAAAATTTTATCTAGAACCACCGAATGATTCAAGTTTATTGGAATATATTCGATGTGAACTAAAACGTGGCTATCTACTACAGAATGATGAACAAAGATATCGTGAACGGAGAGAAAAATTTTACATTTTCCTTAAAATTCCATACAAATTGGAAACTGTAAGTTGAATTTGAAATTTTTTTTTTCGAATGATAATTTTTTTTTTTGTTTTACTTTTCATTCATTCAACAAGTTTTTATTCTATGGATTTTTTCAATGTGTTGACGCCTTTCTATTTGTACTTACATTTCTACCATTTCGTTTAATATTGGCCTTATTGTCATGTTTATTTCGTATGACGCATATGATAATCAGATTTTTTTATACATTCAATTTGAAAAAAAGCTTTCAAACAGTATCCATATTGAATGCTGCCGAAACCTGTGATATACTCAAAGGAATCATTCTATTTGTTTCATTCTATATGATTGATAATATTGAAATTTCAATATTTTATCATCAAATTAAAAGTCAATCAATTATAAAATTGTACATATTTTTCAATATGCTCGAAGTTGCCGATAAATTATTGTCATCATTCGGTCAGGATATATTGGATACATTGTATTGGACGGCCACTGAACCACAGACCAAAAAACGGCATTATATTTTTATATTTTTTCACCTTTTATTGGCCATTTTTTATGTTTGTAAGTTTGTCATCCAGTTGTGTGATGTGAATTTCAATTTAATTTAAAACCGAATTTTGTTTTTTTAGTTGCCCACACCATATTAGTGCTACTACAAGCGACAACATTGAATGTTGCTATAAATTCAAAAAACAAGGCTCTCATTACGATTATGATGTCCAATAATGTAAGTTTCAATTGATATATGATAATTGTGCTGCATAATTTGCTAATTTTTTTTGTTTTGTTTTTAGTTTGTCGAACTTAAAAGTATGGTTTTTAAAAAATTTGAAAAAAACAATCTATTCCACATGTCATGTAGTGATGTACGTGAACGGTTACATTATATTGTATTGTTGGCCGTGGTCATCATACAAACAATGAAAGAATATAATTGGTCTGATCGTCAATTATGGATTCTATTGCCCGATTGTTTAATGGTTTTAATGGTGGAAATTTTTGTCGATTGGTTCAAACATGCATTCGTAACAAGATTTAATGAAATTTCCTACGATGTTTATGAATATTATTCACTTTCATTAGCATATGATTTAGTTGGTAGTAAACTTAAAAGTGTAAGTCATGCCATTCTTGTTCTAAAGATTTTGAAAATAACTTTTTCATTCATTCATTTAGGCTTTTTCCGATCATTCGGATATTGTATCCAGACGTATGGGTTTCATTCCATTACCGCTTAGCGTTTTAGTGATGAAAATTTTTTTCAGTTCATTTCATTTCAACGATATTTATTCCTGTCTTTGTCTTTTGTTCCTATTTTTAAGTATCATAACATTTAAATTGGTTGTTAATATTGTACTACTTGGACTTTCTTGTAAATGGGTGGAAGAACATCAAAAATCGTTAGAAGAAAAAGTGGCAAAAGCATTAGGTGGCCATTCGGCTAGTTTACCAGCATCACGTCACAATAGTGTATCGGATTTAACCATTTTAAATGAAGAAAGTGCATTACATGTCATTCGTAATAAATTGGAACAAGAACATCAACAACAACAACAACTACAGCAACAGCAGCTGCAGCAGCAATCACCAATGAAAACGGCGACGATGACGACTACAAGAAGTACACCACATTCACCATTGAATGGTAGTCCAAGAAATAGCCTGGAAGATATATCTGAACAGGTTGCCATTGTACAGAAATCATTAGAATCATCGATAATATTATCCGATTCAACGGTTTCATTAATATCAATGAATGATGGACGTAATGTTCGATTGCCAAAAAAATCGACAATTCCATCATTAACAACACAACATCCAGAAGAAGAGAATGATGAAAATGAAATAAAAATTATAGCTGATGATGATGATGATGATAATAATCAAACAAAATCGACATCAATAAAAACAACTATAATGACAACATTGGCTAAAAAACGAGCCAATATTTTACGTCGTGTATCATTACAAGAATTGCCGACAAATATTCATCATGGTGGTAATCGGATTGATAATTCTGAGAATTTGCAATCATCATCATCATCATCGACAACAACAGCAGCAGCAACAACAACGACAACAACAACTTTATCATCCCAAATGAAAAAACCGAAAATGTCTTGAAGACAAAAAAAAATTTTTTTTCCACCGTTATCCGTGTTTTTCTCTATTTATTTGTTTCGCATCTAAAAATATAATTTGTGACAAAATGTAAAAAAAAAAAATAATTGAACATGATCCAAAATTGATAAATGTTAACAATCAACAACATCGTGGGGAAGAAAAGTGTATGGGGATATATCATCAACATTTAATCCATCTAGGAAATGAATGGGATGAAAAAAACAATGATGATGATGATGATGATGATGATGATAATCATTGGAAAGCCATCAAAAAAAAAAAACGAAATTGTATCTCATCACATCAAATAAACAACAACAATATATATGACGATGTCTTTTTCATTTCATTAGTTTTTGAATCAGAAAAAACTTTTTCTTCATTTTGCTTGTTGTTTCATTAACCTTGTTTGTTGTTGTTTTTTTTCAATCAATTTTTGATCTGTCTGCATGTAAATTGTTTTTTTGAGGGTTTTTTTTCGTTGAGCTTTTGATTCATTTCATTTCATTCAGATTCCAATCAGTCTTTGTGGCCATGATCATGATAATTTTTTTTCTCTCTTGCTTTCTCTTGATTTAATCGTTGTTTTTTCTTCTCGATGATGATTATATTCGTCGAAGAGAAAATTTATTTTTTTTTTCAAAATTTGGAAACTGGGACAAAATTAAGAAAATGATGATCCAACAACAACAACAAAAAAAAGAATCATTTTGAAATTCTGTATACAAACAAAAAAAAAATAATTCAAATTTCGAATGAATATAAAAATCTGTAATACAAATTTTTTTCCCCTTCCTTAAATTCAAAAGGCGGAGCATCATCATCAAAATGTTTACATTTTTATTTGCTTCTACTTTTTGTGTGTGTGTGTGTATGTGTACAAGTGGGAGGACAGTCAAAATTTACATGCGTTTTTTTTTCGTTAATTAATTCATTTGAACATGTTGGCCCACATGTGTGTAGATGTAGTCAAAAAAAAAAAAACACACACAAAAGTAGAAAAAAATTGTAGTAGGAACTTTTAATTTTCTGAATTGCCAAAAAAAAAAAATATCAAGCCGGAATAAAATGAAGAGAGAGAGAGAGAGATGGAGAAATTTTTTTTCAATTTAACGAAATTGTGAGAATTTTTCTTCATTCTTCATTATTCATTTCAATCATGAATGATCAACGTTATATATGGTGGTTGTGTAGTCACAATTAAATGTCTTAGGTTATGTTCTACTGGGTAGTGGTATACAAAATGAAACATTTGAAATGATTAAAACTGCTAGATGTGATACATAAAGTTTTTCATTGTGACCATATAGATATAGTTTTTTGTTTCGTTTGTTTGTTGATGATGATGCTGTTGCTCGGTATATGTTCGATTTTATATGTGTATGTGTGTGTTGTGTGTGTGTGTTACATTTGTACTGATGATGTATATGTGTGCTGCATTTTTTTTTTTTTTTTTTTTTTTTTAAGATCTTAAAAAATTAAGATTAAGATTTTTTTCATCAAAATCTTTACGATAAATTAATTACCAACTAATTTTTCCCAAATTTATGGTTATGATTGTCGATTTATTGAGAAGAAAAAAAATAAAATGAAATTCTGACATTGTGTTGATTTTGCTGATCTGATAATGTGTTAATGAATGACCAAATCAATCATCATCTTAAAAAATTGCATCTGTAAATCATCAAATTGTGTCCGAAAATTTTTGTTTCTTTGAAACAAAAATCATTCGATTTTTTTTCATTTGTTGTGTTAATGATCAATACAGTGTTGTTTTTTCAATCAATTTTTGGTCTGCCTGCATGTAAATTTTTTTTCGAGGGTTTTTTTTTGTTGAGCTTTTGATTCATTTCATTTCATTCAGATTCCAATCAGTCTGTGTGGCCATGATCATGATAATTTTTTTTCTCTCTCTTGCTATCTCTTGATTTAATCGTTGTTGTTTTTTCTTCATGATGATGATGATGATGATTATATTCGTCGAAGAGAAAATTTATTTTTTTTCAAAATTTGGAAACTGGGACAAAATTAAGAAACTGATGATCCAACAACAACAACAACAACAACAAAAAAAGAATCATTTTGAAATTCTGTATACAAACAAAAAAAAAATAATTCAAATTTCGAATGAATATAAAAATCTGTAATACAAATTTTTTTCCCCTTCCTTAAATTCAAAAGGCGGAGCATCATCATCAAAATGTTTACATTTTTATTTGCTTCTACTTTTTGTGTGTGTGTGTGCAAGTGGGAGGACAGTCAAAATTTACATGCGTTTTTTTTTCGTTAATTAATTCATTTGAACATGTTGGCCCACATGTGTGTAGATGTAGTCAAAAAAAAAAACACACACAAAAGTAGAAAAAAATTGTAGTAGGAACTTTTAATTTTCTGAATTGCCAAAAAAAAAAAAAAAAATATCAAGCCGGAATAAAATGAAGAGAGAGAGAGAGAGATGGAGAAATTTTTTTTCAATTTAACGAAATTGTGAGAATTTTTCTTCATTCTTCATTATTCATTTCAATCATGAATGATCAACGTTATATATGGTGGTTGTGTAGTCACAATTAAATGTCTTAGGTTATGTTCTACTGGGTAGTGGTATACAAAAATGAAACATTTGAAATGATTAAAACTGCTAGATGTGATACATAAAGTTTTTCATTGTGACCATATAGATATAGTTTTTATATGTTTCGTTTGTTGATGATGATGCTGTTGCTCGGTATATGTTCGATTTTATATGTGTATGTGTGTGTGTGTGTGTGTGTGTGTTACATTTGTACTGATGATGTATATGTGTGCTGCATTTTTTTTTTTTTTTGATTTTTAAGATCTTAAAAATTAAGATTAAGATTTTTTTTCATCAAAATCTTTACGATAAATTAATTACCAACTAATTTTTCCCAAATTTATGGTTATGATTGTCGATTTATTGAGAAGAAAAAAAGAATAAAAATGAAATTCTGACATTGTGTTGATTTTGCTGATCTGATAATGTGTTAATGAATGACCAAATCAATCATCATCTTAAAAATTGCATCTGTAAATCATCAAATTGTGTCCGAAAATTTTTTTGTTTCTGAAGACAAATTTTTTTTACAACGATATGGTTGTGTATTAGCCATTTAGATTGAAAATCGATTGAAACAAAAAATCATTCGATTTTTTTTTCATTTGTTGTGTTAATGATCAATACAGTGTTGTTTTTTTTCCAATTCAACTGCTACTGATAACTACTGTTGTTGGCCTCGATATATAAAAAACATTTATTTCGTATATCTATTATTGCAAAAAAAAAAAAAAACAAAATTGACTTTATTCAATCAATCTGTTGCTTAATGTGACAATGTGTCTTCATCTTTGATTGATCTTTAATCATTTTTCAAAGATTCTTTTCCATATTCTTGCATCATTGAGTAACAAGGCACCAGAAAAAAAAATCAAATTACTAATACAAACCATTCAATCAGCGCCCAAAAATGCGACCAAATATTGTTTCATTTCTATTTGACAATCGCTTCTTTTGTTGTCTGTCATCATCATCATCATCAATAAAGTATTTGTCAATAGTAAATTTGAATTCAACAAAAATTACAGAATTATTGATTGAATAAAGAAAAAATTTGATTCAAAAAAAGGGAACAATCCAATTCAAATCAATTATAATCAATGACGAAGATTATCGAAAGTCCATATTATCAAAATCTCATTTTTGCTATATATGTGTGTTATCATCATCGAATAGTCTCGAGTCAGTTTTCTGATTGATTTTCGAATCAAAGTCAACATTGTATTAGTTTGTACATTGTGTCTTTGTATGTGTGTGTGTGTGTGATGTATTTGGATTTTGTTGGCCAAATGATAATGTCATCTTGATTATTGTTTTCATCATCATCATCATTGAATGAACGCAATATTTTTGCTTGAACATTTTTTTTCTGCTTTGTCGTTGTGACATGAACAAATTGTTGTTGTTTTTTTTCTAATTGTTTTCAAGAATCTACTGTATCTGTGTGTGTGTGTGTGTGTATGTTTGTACTGGACAGATTTATTTTTTATTTGTCTGTTTTTGACATTGTCATTTTGTTTGATTAGTAATCATCATCATCATTTTCGTCGTCGTCCTCGTCGTTGTTGTTGTATAATTGATAATAAAAATTTTTTTGTTTGTCATAAAAAAAACACCAAATGTCTATACTTCGTGGAACGAAAAAACTTTTATTGGCCGCCGGTCTAGCTGGTTGTGGTGCAGCTGCAGCCGTATTATTTACCGGTCTACATAAAGATACTGAAAGTTTTAAAGCACATGCATCATCTGCCTCATTATTATTACCTGATTATAAATTTATAAATCTACATAATTATATAGCAACAAAATGGGATTATAATTGGGATAGACGTGAACCGAATTCATTAATAGCACCAATAAAAGGTGATTTTGGTTCATTACCTGAATGTGATCAAGATGATTATAATCGTCGTTTAGAAAAGGCAAAATCAACAGCAACAAGACATCTATTATTAATACGACATGGCCAATATCGTATGGATGCCGATACTGATGAATTACGGCAGCTAACATCATTAGGCCGTGATCAGGCTAATCGTATTGGTGAAAGATTAAAAGAATTAGATCTACCATATACACGTATTATAAAATCAACAATGACACGTGCAACCGAAACGGCAGAAATTATACATACACATCTACCGGATATACCGATGACTGCATGTGATTTTATTCGTGAAGGTTCACCAATCGTACCGGAGCCACCAATTTCAAATTGGAAACCTGAACCAAAGGTATCAACATTATTTGTATATATTATGTTATTATATTATTTACACCGGAAAATGTTTTATTTTTCTCAATTTAACTTTTGACATTTTTATTCATTCATGACAATGCAAGTAATTCTTTGTAATTTGTTTTTGATTGCTGAAAATATTCGATTTTTGGTTTTGGGTTTTTTTTTCTACAAAAGAAAAAAGTTTTGTTAAATTCTCTAACACAAAATCTTAAATTTTTTTTTTTTTTTTCATTGAAACAAAATTCTAACCGTTATTTTTATAGGAATGTAGTTGTAGTAAAAAAAAATTTAAAGATTATGGATATTCTTAGATGTGTTTTCAAGGTCTTTCTTTCAAAATAAGAATTGTGAATCTTCAAAACGAAATTCTTTTAACATATTCATTTAGGTTTTATATAGCAATCATTAATGGATTATTTAATTTTTTTTTTTTTTGAAACAAAAAAAACCATATTCATCATTCAAACAGCTAATGATGAGCTATACGCATTTTCTTTGTTTTGTGTTTAGATTCATTTGAACAAAACAAAGCTAAAGTGCAGAAAAAAAATGTCAATTCCTTGTTATTTCCCACGCTGCTTGTTTCCACATTGGTTTGATTTTTTTTTTCATTTATTTATCTTTTTTCCCCTTAACCACAATTAGGTTGTTTCTGTTTTTTTTTTGTTTGTTTGTCTCAAAAGGGGATTTATATCGATGGTTAGGATATTTGTTTCTCCTTCTTTTCCATCATCATCATCATCAACATCATGTAAATTATCTTCTGTCAATTTTTTTTTCATTCAAAACCATTATTATCATTTTAATACAACTGTATGTATTTGAAAATCTCGTGATGATGATGATGATGGTGGTATGAACATGGTTAATAATGTGTGTGTGTGTTTGTGTTTGTTTGGTTTTCTGAATTTGATTATTTCATTCAAAATGAATTAATCAAATGATGATGATGATGATGAAAAATCTGATTGATTATTATCTAATCATTTGCAATCAATCGATCGATTAAATCAATTAATTTAACAGAAAAAAAATATTAAATAAATTTTCATCATCATTTTTTTTTCTCTTGAATGTTGAAATAATAATTTAGTCTATAATATATAGAGAGTTTATTATCACATAGACTTTATTGGAGAAAAAACCAAAATCAAAATTTTTTTTCATTTTCCATTCGATCAATCGTCATTGATAATTTTTCATATAGATTTTATATTCAGGGTATTACCATAATTATGAATGATGAATGATTAGGATTAGGATTTTATATTTGGCCTATTTGAGAGCTAAAAAAAGATAAGGCAAATCATCATCCCTTTCGTTCTTTGGAATTAAATCTGAATGGAGAATGTTTGCAACAACAACAACAACAACAACGGCGAAAAAATGGAAAATTTCCTTGATCAAAATCCATTCAATTCTTTTTTTTTTCTTGTTGATTATTTTGACATTGCGACATTATGACAAAGTGTTAGATTTTTTTTTCTTTCTCTCTCTCTCTGTTTATTGACAACAAATATGATTTGGTTTTCCTGTTTATATACACACAAACAATGATGTGTCCTCGCCACTGGCATTTTCTGTTGTCATTGAATGATAATTTTTTTTTGCTGTTTTTTAATTTAAATTTTTCAATTACTAATTTTTTTTTGTTTACTTTTCATTTGTTTGATTTTTTGTTGTGAAAAAAAATTTCTATAGCAGTTTTTCCAGGATGGTGCCCGTATTGAAAGTGCATTTCGAAAATATTTTCATCGTGCTGATCCATCACAGAAACAAGATAGCTACGATATACTTGTCTGTCATGGAAATGTGATTCGTTATTTTGTTTGTCGTGCATTACAATTTCCACCGGAAGGATGGCTAAGATTTTCATTATATAATTGTAGTATGACATGGGTTGCCATCAAACCAAGTGGACGTGTTATTGTCTATACGGTTGGTGATACTGGCCATTTATCTCGTGCTCAAATGACGACCAATTAGTAGTAATAATAATCAGTGAAAATACTAAAAAAAAGTGCCGATAATAAGTAAAAAAAAAAAAAAATATTAGAAGAATTTTATCATTTGATAAACATATATAATACGTGTATGGATTTATTCATTTTGTAATTTTTAAATCAATCATCGAATTTTCAATATTGCCATCCTCATCATCATCATCATCATCGATCTTTGATAGTCTGGATCATGTTGCCATATGAAAAAAAAACGATTTCATCATAAAAAACAAGAAAAAAAAATTCAATCATCGTCATCATCATCATCATATTTATTCGTATCGATTTTTAAAAAAAACAAATCTCAAAACACTTTCAATACAGATATATACACACACACACATCTACATTATATATTTTTTATATGAATCTACTACCACTCTACTACTGTTATTTTTCTCAACAAATTGATACGAACATTCAAATTCATATAAACAATTTACATACACTCATACACACATACCGGAAACAAATTTTCACATCAAATGTTTATTGTTGGCTTTTTTTCGTTATAGAATTCTTCTTTTCTTCAATAATTGATTTCAATTCAATCAGAATGGAATCAATTGAAAAATTCTCTTCAATTTTTTTTTCATATATTGTAATCATTTCAATCAATTTTTTCTCTTCTTTTCATTTGAAAATTATCTTTTGATTTCAATTTTCATTGTTATAATCACTTATATAATCTCAACATTGTCATAATCATTATGTGTAAATTATAAATAATAATATAGTCATTATTATTTTGATCATCGATTTATTGATGATCAAATTATTTTTTTTGTTTGTTTGTTTGTTCATTAGGATCATTATTATTTTTTTCAGATTTTCAATTTTTTTTTTTTTTCTCAAATCTGATTTTCTTCATTCATTCATTTATTCATTCTTTTTTGCCATTTAAAATTAAACTTATCATCAACAACTTTGTGTTGTTGTTATTGTTGTTGAATTTTGAAATTTATTTGTTTTGTATGAACAAGAAAAAAAAGAAAAAAAAATTTCGCGCGCGCTTTTCTCGTTTTTTGATTGTTTCGAAATTTAAACCCGTGCAAAAAAATTATATTCGAATTATTTAAAAAAAAACGTGCACGTTTTTCTATTTTAACATAATGAAAACCAATCATGTTGAAATGGTCGAATATTAATGAACACACACACACACACAATGAGTGTTGGATGATGATGAGTGTGTGTGTGTGTGTGTGGTGTGTGTGGTTGAAATCTGGAGCTACTTTTATATTTGCTACTACTTTTTTTGTTTTAGCTGTTCGAGCAACAATATTGTGTGTGTATGAATGCTGATGCTGATGCTGATACTGCTGCTGGTGATGATGATTATGATCACGATTTTCGAATGAACAAAAAAAAAAAATTTTTCTGATATTGGAATCTTTCATTGTAAAACAAAAAGTTTTTTTTTTTGTGTGTGTGTGTGTGTGAAAAGAAAATCCAAGTTTTCGAATTTCTCAATATATAATTTATCATTGTTTATTTGTTTGTATTGAAACATTGTCATCATAATCATTTTTGTTATTGCTTTTTTTTCGAATTAATCTTGACCAACGCGCCAAACGTTTTTTCCGTTTCGTTTCGTTTCGTTTCGTTTCTGGATTCAATTGAATTGATCAATTCATTCATTTGTAATGTATGTATTTTGGATTTATTTTTGATTATAATCAATAGATGAGTCACTAGATATTGTTGTGATAAAAATTCGAAATTAAAATATCTGAAATTTGTGAAAATTTTTGTTTTTCAATTTTTATTGAACAAACGAAAACAATTGTCATGACAATTGAAACATTGATTTTTGAACGATTAATCAGACAATACAATTTTGTCAAACATAAAACTGACTCTATTATGATGATGATTGTCGATGATGAAATTCGAATCAAATTGCCATAACCATCATTGTTGTCATTCGAATCTTGTTTTGGGTTGAAAAAAATTAACTTTTTATCCTTTTGTTTTTGTTTTTTTTTCATTAAAATAGTTACCAAAACAACAACAACAACAACGAAATAAAAAAAACGAGATCAAATCGAATCAAATCATTCGACATTTTATTGTCGTATATTGAGTTGAATGAGATTTCAATTACAATCAAATTAAATGCATCATTGGAATCATCATAAAAATCAATTCCATCATCAAAACAACCATCATTGTCATCATATTTATCATAATAATAATCAGCATAAATAATAATCATAATGGCGGATAGAAGAAAATTATTAGGTATGTTTTTGTGGAACGATTCTTTCGATATACTCATATATGATTTGATTTAAATTTTTTTCATTGTTTCGCTGACACACAAACAGCTGAAATTGATAGATGTTTGAAAAAAGTGAATGAAGGTGTCGAAACATTCGAAGAGATTTGGCTTAAAGTTCATAATGCCACCAATGCTAATCAAAAAGAAAAATATGAAGCTGATCTCAAAAAAGAGATTAAAAAATTACAGGTATTTAATTGATAATTATAATTTTATCGTTAATTTAACATTTGAATCATTTTTTTCCCAAAATTCATAGAGACAACGTGATCAAATAAAAACATGGTTAGCATCCAGTGAAGTGAAAGATAAAAGAGATCTAAGTAATTATCGGCGATTAATTGAAATGCAAATGGAACGTTTTAAAGTGGTTGAACGTGAAACCAAAACAAAAGCTTATTCAAAAGAAGGACTAGGTGCAGCACAGAAATTAGATCCGGCACAAAAGAAAAGATGAAATCACTAATTGGCTATCGAATTCGATTGAAAAATTATCCGAACAAGTTGAACTATTTGAAAGTGAATTAGAAAATCTACAAACAACGCAGAAGAAAAGTAAAAAAGATCGTGAAAAACAGGAACGACATGATTGCGTTAAGAATCGTGTGGAAAAACATCGTTATCATATCAAACAATTGGAAACATTAATGCGAATGTTAGATAATGAAACCGTAGAAGTGGAACAGATCAAAAAAATCAAAGATGATATTGAATATTATATTGAATCATCACAAGATACGGAATTTCAAGATAATGAATATATCTATGATGATCTTGATCTTGAAGATATGCAAGCATTCCGTGCAAATAATGTAGTAGATTTAACCAATGTACTAGCTGGTGCTGCTGGTAAAAATTCAACAGGATCTTCATCAACCAAATCAAATAATGATAATTCAACAACGTCATCAACAGCGAATAATAATAATAGTACGACAACGGCTAATATGGAAAATGTTGATAGTAATTCATCATCTGAGAATAATAACAATAACCAAAATGCCTATTCAAATTCATCGTCAGCGAATGAATCGCCGGCACCAAGTCCTGGTCTTCAACAACAACAACAACAACAACATAGTAATAATAGTCATCATTCCACCAATACGACATCAACGGCAACAACGACATCTTCATCTACATTGTCGAAATCGGCAATGAATATTCAGAATAACAACAACAATAATAATCCATTGTCAGCAAACAATATTAATAATAATAATTCAACAGAATTTTCATTCATTACGAATAGTGTATCATCCAATCATCATAACAATAGTACACTAACGCCTACATCGTCAATTACATCTGTGACAAATCAATCGTCTTCAGGTAATAATAATAATAAGATCACAACAACCGTATGGGCTAATTCATCTGTGAAAAATATTCTGAGCAACAATACTTCCACAACGCAATCAGGTTTGTTTTTTTTTTTTTTTTTTTTTTCATTTTTTGATTTCAATTATTTTGTTTATCGATAAAATAGTTACAACAACACCTTATGCTGCCGCAGTTGCCTCATCAGTTACCGGTTCTGGAACATCATTATCATCGTCATCATCGTTGTCGTCAACAGCAACAAAAATCTCATCAACATCTTCGGTCACAACGGCGACGAATGATTCGAATTTACAACAATCGAATGATTCATCATCAATTAATAATAATAATCATCCATCAACATCAACAGTGGTAACATTATATAGTGCAGCAGCTGCCGCTGCATCAACGATAACATCGGCACCAACCGCTGTTGTAAATAATACGAATCCTAATCAAACAAATCCATGGAATACATCCAATCTTGCGGCAATCGTATCAAATAATGCAAATTCGACTCAACAACAACAACAACAACCTCCTCCGATTCAATTGACGCCTCAACAACAACAATATTTGCTACAAAATAATCACTTACTAAATGGTTATAAAGGAATAACGAATGTTGAAAATCTTAAGGGTTTAGCAGCAGCAGCAGCAGCTGTAGCTCAAGGAATGTTACCACCATCGGTAACGAATACTGCACCGAGTAACATAGATAGTGATCTTATTGGTGGCGATACACCTCAAGCAAATGCTTTATTATCTCCAGCATTAATGGCTAATGCCGCTGGACAAAGTGCCGTTCTGAATAATCAATTATCAGCTGCTCATTTAAATGATCTAGCAGCGAATCAACCAAATTCGAATCAACAGCAACAATCATTTCAACATCTTGATCATCTTAATCATGCAAATTTATTGAAAAATAATGTATGTATTTAATCATCATTTTCTATAATTTTATCCCCATTTTTTATTTAATCATGATAAATCATCATTTCTATAGCTAATGATGCATCAGCGACAAATGCAGACAGCAAATGTGCCAGTTTCATCTGTTTCACCACCAACTAATATGGCAACAACTGTTAACCAACAAAACAAACCACAACAACAGCAGCAGCCACAACCACCACCATCACAACAGCCGCCGAATCAAATGAACATATCACAGCAACAAGTCGATGTGACCAAAAATGCAAATATTCAAAATCAATTGAATAATCTTGTTAATCAACAACAACAACAACTACAGCAACAAACACAGCCGAATCAGCCACCACAATCACAGAATTTTTATTCATCGACAATGTTGTCAAGTCAACCAAACAAGCCAACCATTACAAAGCAAACATTATTTAATATGCATTTACTTGATGCAGCGTTTCGTCAACCTATTATTCCGATCGATTCGTATCGATTAAGGTTTGTTTGATTAATTATCCATTTGTAATAATGATATTTAATTGATTATTTTTTAATTGAAAATAGACCATTGCATATAAAACTACCACAAAATAATACATATTCACAGATGTCTAGTATGTCTAGTTTTCCTAATCAACCGTTGCCTCAATTCCACAATATTGATTTCTATGATCGTCTAACACCGGAAACATTATTTTTCATCTTTTATTATATGGAGGTAATTTTTTTTTTTTTTTAATCATGTGAAAAAAAATCATTTTTGTTTCATTTATATAAAAAAAGGGAACAAAAGCACAATATATGGCAGCTAAAACATTGAAGAATAAATCCTGGCGTTTTCATACAAAACATATGATGTGGTTTCAAAGACTCGAAGAACCAAAATTAATAACCGATGATTATGAACAGGTATGTTGTGGGTCTCGAAGATTTTTTTTTCTAATTAATATTTTGTTTTATCAACCAGGGAACCTATATTTATTTTGATTTCGAAAAATGGATTCAACGTAAAAAAGACAACTTTACATTTGAATACAGATATCTCGAAGATAAAGAATTGAATTGAAGCGGAAAAATTCTAAAATTTCATATTCTTTGTTCTATTTTCATGTTTATATCTCTTATGTTCAAGAGAAGAAGAAAAATCATTTCACAGTAATTATAATTCATTTCACATCACTACCAACATTATCACCACTATCACATTCAATTTTGGATTTCTATTTCAATGTCAAAAATAAAATAAAATAAAATTGAAATGATTCTTTGTGTGTATCTCTATTTCATTCTATATATATATATGATGATTAAAAATCACTAAGAGAATATTCTTTATTAATTTTTGTTGAATCAAACAAACAAACAAAAAATATAAATTACTTGTAATGTGTCTGTCATGTAATTTTTTTTTAATATATATAAATTTGCTTGAGCCAATCACAATTGGTGTGATGCCGATTTAATGATGATGATGATGATGATGATTCTTTGTTACTTATTATTATTATTATTATTATATTAAATTATCATTATTTTAAATATATGCAAATCATTAACAATTTAAATTGAAAAGTAAATTTCAATTCTGGCAATTCCTAAATGATGAATCGAATTTTTATTTATTAATTAAATTTCAATGTGTGTGTGTGTGTGTGGTTTGTTTGTTGGTTGTTTATCAATTTATTAACGTTCAATGTCTTGTTGATGCTAGATCTATTGGATTGATGACCTTTGTTTCCATTCATGTAGTTTGTAATTGAATTTTTCTTTTTCTCGTTTTTGTTTTGTTTTGTTTTGTTTTGTTTTGCTTCAATGTAAAACACCATCATTTTTTTTTTTTTTCGTTATGTTTGTATATTTGTTGTGTTTGATATTGACGATGATAATGATGTTGTTGTTCATGATGATCATGATGGTCTTGGTCATCGACATCTTTACGTTGTTGCTGTTATTGCCTTGGAGCATATCTTTTTTTTCTACTGCGTGTTTTTAATTTTTCCTTTACTGTTTTGCCTTTATATAAACAATTCAGAATTTGATAAAATAACAAAAAATTCTCTTTAAAATTGCACAAATTCAATGTCGTCATCATTTGAAATGGAAATAATGATGAAAAAAAAATTGGATGTTAAAAAAAAATCTAAAACAATTAAATGAGGAAATAAAATGGAGCTGAACAAATCCATGAAATGATGTGTATGATAAATTTAAACATAAAATTGTCATTTGTCAAGTGAGAAAAAAAATCCACAAAGTCATCATGATAATGATAATATAATAAAGGAGAGAAGGGTTGCACGTGTCAGACGAAAAAAAACAATGCACGTGTATATAACAAGATACAAGTCATATCCTGTTTCAAATTTATGATTAAATCAAATCTGATTTTTTTCCCTCTTAATTTCATACATTTATTTATAAACACTTTTGTTATTTGAATTTTGTCCAGATTCGAACGTTGTATCTGAGCATATATATTTTTTTTCTGCCAATTCATGTTGCTGACCAAAGTTGAAATTGAAATTGAAATAATTACATTTTTCGAAGGTCAACATTATTATCATCATCATCATCATAATCATGATCATTATTCATTAACAATTACCTTAGTAGCAGAACAACGGCATCGGCAAACAAAATGAAAATCACTTTCTTTTTATTTTTTATTTTTGCTTTATTAATTGCTATTTTTTTCCACTTTTCCTCGTGATATATTTATAGTTACAATTACAATCACAAAATTTGTAATAATTATGATGATGATAATGGTGTTAGATTGATTGAAGGTTTTTTTCCAAAAATCCAAAAGTCCATAAATCGAAAACAAGGTTTCAAAAAAAAAAAAAAAAATGTTTCCAGAACTTTGAAAAAATAATTTGACGATAAATGGAATGAAAAAAAAACAAATTTAATCGATTCAATAAAATTAATTTCCTCATCATCTAATGCCATTATTTCACAAATTGATCGATAATAATAATAATAAAATGTGTTTGGAACAAATTTCTTTGCCATTTACATATCTATTTATCATCCAATTTTCCGGATAGGCTCCAATCATCTTTCATTGTAAATGGACGGGAAATGTTTCAAAATTGGTTTTCTTATCAATTCAAAATTTGATTTTGATTGAATTTGATTCATGAATTGATGAAATCATGAAATTTACCAATTTTGATTATTATGCCTCACAATTTAGCGATTTCCTTTCTTATTCTTCTTCTTCTTAAACTTTCTTTTTATAAATAATGAGATGAATAATGAAAAAAAGAGGTTTTTCCTCTTTGTATACAAAGGCCAAATGTTTTTTATGTACATAGTATTGTGGATGAGAATATTATTATTATGATCGATTCATCATCATAATCATCATCATCATTTTTGTTAATTTATTCAGAAAAAATTAACTTGAATCTTTGTGAATGAATGGAATGAATGAAACACCACAACACAAAATGCAATGTGACAATGCCAAGGTATCCGTATATATGAATGATTATCATTGAAAATTTTCAAAGTTCAAATCAAGATTTACTGAAAAGGAAATGAGATGAAGAGAAAAAAAAGGAAAATCATCATCATCATCATCTCAATGACAATTACTTGTATTCAATGTGGTGGTTCTCACCATCATCATCATGATCATTGTTAGCCATTTAAAGTCCAATGTTCATCATCATGATCATTGCCAGTGCCACTACATTAGTGTAGTGTACCATACTTTTTTTTCATTCATTTCTTCATTTTATTGCTACATATGTACAAATAGGTTCCAAGAAGAAGAAAAAAAATCGATGTTGAATCCATCATGGAACACGTTTTTAATGGATGTGGATGATATTAAAGTGATAAAAATAAAGATGTTTAGAAAACAAAAACCCCACCTCTTTTTTTTCATTTCATACATATTGAAACATACGGTAATAAGAAAACCGTTTATCTCTAACTAATGTGTCTGTCTGTTGTCAATGTACAACAAATATTGCATATTGTTCACAAAGGTAAAGTAATTTCTTTTTTTTCTGAAACATTCATTCAGGGTATAAAAAGCCCAGTGGCCGAACATTCAAAAATCATCATCAAACACACAAACAAACAAACAAACAAACAAGCAAACCAACAAACAACTGTTGTTGAAATATTACGAATCATAAAAAATGAAATTCACCGTAAGTTTATTGAAATATGAAAAATTTACATTTACCGGTTTTTTTCATATATAGATTATTTTCGCTCTTATAATCGCCGCCATGATGGCTGTTGTTTCCGCTCGTGGTTATGGTGGCCACGGTGGTGGTATCCGAAAACATGGTGGTGGCGGTGGTGGTGGTTATCGTAAACACGGTGGTGGTGGTGGTGGTCACCGTAGCTATGGTGGTGGTCATGGTAAACGAGGTGGTGGTGGTGGTGGTTATCGTGGCGGTCATGGTGGTGGACGAGGCAAAGGCAAACATTGGGGTTAAAACCAAAACAATATCAATCAAACATCAAACATCAAATAATCATCATCAGTATGGCGAAGAATGATGGTCTAGTCATTTGTTGAATAATGGCTACAAAAGTGCTAAAAAAAATGTTTTCAAAAACATTCGTAGAACGAATATATATCTTGATTTTTTTTGAAAATAAAAGTGATTTTGTGTGCTCATAAAATTTTTGTTTTTGAAAATATCCATTCATTGATATAGCCATTGAAATAAATGCAATACAGTGAAGCCTGCGTTCAATCCCAAAAACAACCTGTTGCTGTTTCATTACAAATTAATTAATTTATTCATTATCATCATCATTATTATTATTAATGTGAAAAAAAAGAATTTATAAAAATAATCTTAACCAGGGTCTAAATCATGCGTGTGTGGGTGGGTGGGTGTGTGTGTGTTGTGAGTGTAACATGACATTGATTGTTAACATGAATAACCGAGAGTGAGAAAAAAAGGGATTTCCATTTGTCGTGTGTGTGTGTGTGTATATGGATCACAATAATTTTAAAAAAGAAAAAAAAAAGAATGACAAATAGAAACAAAAAGATTTGAATCAAAATCGATATTGAATAATCAAAAAGAAAAAAAAATTATTCAATTTTTCTCCATACAAATCAATTGGTTAGTTTAAATAAAAATTGTGAAAATTCGCCCTACAAAACATGTGTGTGTGTGTGTATCAGTAATAAGTAGTTTATGCATGTCTTGTGATTGTGTTTGTGTGTGTGTGTGCAAATAGTCGAATCATCATATCATCATAAATTCATTAATTTAATTAATGTCGACATGAACAACACTAAAATAATATAATAACGAAACGTGGATTGAAACACCGACAAAAACAGAGACACACAAATATATGACCAAACGGTTTTGAATGAATGAAAAGAAAAGAATTCAAATACAATTACAAACAGAATTGAACAATAATAATAATGGTGAAAATACTAAACGAATTGTGGGGTGAAAAAAAAAGAATGACAGATAGAAAAATGTCAAAAAAAAAAAAAATTGATTTCTGTGTGTGTGTGTGTTGTGTTATGTTTTGTTATTTGAAAATGCATGACATATTTTTTTTCATAATGATGAATTGAATTTGAAAATGAAAATTTGAATCCCATGATGGATGGTGAAAAACATACAAAAATGTGTGTGTGTGATGATCAATAATAAAATTTGATAAGAAAAAAAAATTGAAATGTAACTCAAAGTGTGAGACAAAGAGAGATAGACAAGAGATCGTTTCCAGATTAATTGATTGCTCAAATGAGTTTTGTTGGTGTGTGTGTGTATGTGGTATATGGTTCATTGAATATTTAGGGTTGTTTGTTGTTGCTGTTGTTGTTATGAATGATTTTTATCTATCGTCTAATATGGCCATTTGAATTATTACCACTATTATTATTGTTATTGTTGTTATTATTATTATTACCGGATTTATTATCCAAATTTTTTTCCTGTTGTTGTTGTTGTTTTTTGTTTCTCTAATTCAGCTAATGATTTTTTTGTTAACAATTCCAATTCAGCTACAATAGGAAAATGATCAGATGGTATATAATGATGTGGACATCCAGGTATACGATGTTTACTAAACCAGCTAGTATCTAATGGACCAAGAACACCTAAAACAGAGAATAATCGTCGTGAACAGAATATGTAATCGATGACACCACGAAAATCAAATCTGTATTGAAATAAAATGAATGAGATTATGTTATATAGAAAAAAAGAAAAACAACTTACGTATAATTTGTGAATGGTAATACACCATCGGCATATGCTTTGACAATATCGAATGAGTGGGTGTATTCTTTTTCATTTTGATCAACTATTGGACAAACTTTACGTAGACATAGTTTGTAAGCTAATTTTTTAAAATCTGGATGTTCCACAGAAATTCTACCACGTGAAAGATATTCGACAACACCTGAATCAGGCAATGAATTTAAATCTCCACATAGAATCAATGGTATTGAATTTGGATCAATTTGTTGTTGTGGTTTCTCATTATTGCTACTTATATTGAACATGGTAGCCGATTGATCGATAAATTTTTGCAATTCACGCATCATTAACATTGTTTGAATTAATTTAACATCACAATATTCTGGATCCCAATGGATATGTGCTGTACAAACTACCAATGGTTGACTTTCGAATGGTTGCATATTTTCAAATTCTGATGGTTTTTCTGCCATATCTAAAATAAATTTTAATCGATTAATCAATCAAAATTGAATGTAAAAAAAAAACCAATTTCCACTTTTTTAGTTTTCAACAAGGCCACTAAACCAATATTATCTTTTGGCATAACACGATTAAGCATCTCTTCGGAACCTTCGCCATCTGCTGTTTGTGCAGCTAAAAACGTAAATTCCATTAAATGTTCATTGACCAATTCAAATCTAACAGACAGAAACAAAAAAAACATTGATGAGTATTGATTGATCGAATCAAATATTGATGGAAAAAAAACATACTTTTTTGTTTTGAAAAAGATGGCACAACCATCAACACGTTTACGTTCCTGTTCATTCATTGTTTTGGCACGACTTTTCGGTGAAAATATTCCATAATAATGTGCCGTTTTCAATTCAGGTAGAAAAAATGATTCAAATTGTCCAGATTCAACTTCTTGCAAGCAAATAATATCGGCATCATATTGTTTAATCTCTTTCATGATGACATTTTTACGAAAATCCCATGATAATGCCCATGAAGGACAATATGAATATAATTGCCTGGAGGCTAATTTATCGCAAAGAACATTATAACACATTACAGTGAAAACATTCGATACATGATGTATTGGCGTTGGTTCGGCCATTGTTAACCATGGACGAGTTGGTGGTTGCATATCTGGTACTATAAATTTGGAAAGAAAATAAATTTAGAAATTGAAAAATTCAAAGAAAAGTCCAAACATCATCATTATATCAATTTAGGTATTGAAAAAAACAACAATAATCTCATATTGTGATCTGATTTTTAAAAACTCCCAAGCGACCACTATTTTCCAACACTCACATGCACTCAAACCAAATTTTACCAATTCACATGAACAACTTAATAATGATGATGATGATGATAACGATAACGATTGAACTAGATACGTTGGAAAAGAAAAAAATGACCAAATTTTCTCTTAGAAATCAGTGAAAATTCATAGCAACAACAACAACAACAACGAAAAATTCACATCCGAAAACAAAACAAAAAAACCAACTACTAGTCACACACAAAACCCAGATATAGAAAGATAAGAATTTCGTTTTTTTTCTCTTGCTGCTTACATTTGTAAATCTGATTACCAGTTTGATTTTGATCAATATTTTTACTGTTAAATGTCCAATTTGATAAATATTTCATCATTGTTGATTGATTATTGTGATGATGACGATGATAATAATCATCAAAATCGAATAACAATGATGATGATGAATTCGTTGTTTGTGTCAACAATTGATTTTGATCATTTGCTGAAAAATGATGATTTGTAATGACAGAAGAAGCAGAAGTGGTTGTAGTAGCAGCCACAACTCCAGTTGTTTTTCGACGACGTTTTCTTGGTTTCAACATTCTTGGTACAGATAAACGTTTAGGTTGTTGATCTGCCATCATCATCATCATCATCATTGTATTATGAGGATCATCATGAGAATTCAATAACAATGATGAAGACGAAGATGATGATGATGATGATGAAATAGTGGATGCAGAATCGGAACATTGAGATTGAAGTAAAAGATGTTGTTGATTACCATCATCATTATTATTGCCATTTTTCTTCACATTATCATCAATATGATGATGATTAGAATTTTCAATAAAACAATTAACAATATCTGATTCTTGATGATAAAATGAAGATGAACAACATGATGATGTTGTGGTTGTTGTTAGATCTGCTGATGATGAACACGATGATGATTCAAGATGATGATCTGAACAAGATGTATTAGATTCTTCAAGAATTGAATCAACTAATGCTAATTGTTCTGGATCAAAATTCTTCATCGATGATGATGACGACGATGATGATGGTGATGTAGACATTATTAATGGTGATAATTGTTGTTGTTGTTGTTGCTGATGCTCTTGATTGATCATTGTATTCAATGTTGTTGTTGCTTCAGATGTTTGAAAACAATTGGTATTAGATATCACAGTTTGATAATGAGATTCTTCAAGTGGAATTAAATTCTGTTGTTGGTGGTGATGATTCATATTAATTCGATGTAAATTATTTCTTGCTATCATATGGCTATTATTATTCAACTGTTGCTGCTGCTGAATATGATGACCATTCGTTGATGATGGAAATCTTATCAAATCATCACCTTTGACAAAATTCACTCTTGACATTGTTTGCTGCTGCTGGTGTTGCTGATGTTGTTGAAGATTATAGAGATCCAATATTGATACCATTTTAAGATCAGTTTCATCATGATGAAATGTGCTTCCATTTTCATCATGATAAGATGGTTCGTGTTGTTGTTGATGATCATCATTAGCTATTGAACATGATTGATTTTGATTAATTAAATTACCATTACTATTACAACTGCCATTATTATTAATTAATGAAATATTATTATCTTCAATCATAACATTATTTAAACGTTGTGATAACGATTGTGGTTGCAAATGATGATGATAATGATAATGATGATGATGATGATGAAAAAAATAAGACGATGATGATTTTGTTGTTGTTGCCGTTGCTGATGATCCACCATTCATAGATGATGATAATTGAATTGAATTATCACCATTATTATTTGATAATATTAATTCTTGTTGTTGCTGTTGAGTGATATAATTTCCATTATTTCCCATAATATTCCCATGATGATTTTGATGTTGATGATAGGCTAGATTACGATAAGCAAAATTATTTCGAATCGTCTGCAGCTGTTGCTGTTGTTGTTGTTGTTGTTCAGCTTCAGCAGCATGCGTAGCAGCTAAATGATGAAAATAATATTGTGCTGGCAATGGAAGTAACGGTGTTGTTGGTGGTGGTGGTGGATGTAAAATCCTATATGAACGTCTTCGTAAACTACCACCACCATTTCCATTACGTGATTGTAATCCACCAACACCATTGGAATATCTTAATGATTTAGATGAACCATTTGTAATCGAAATTGGTAAATAATCATCACAAACAATTAATGGTGCACCTTCAGCATGTAATGCTAATTTTGCCAATGATATACCTAATTCGGAAAGTTCAGCTTGAAATGAAGATACTTGTGTTGATCCAGATGATGATGGAACAATCGATGGAGGTGATGATGCTGTTGAGGATGATGATGATGATGAACCATCAGCTGTAAATCGGCCATTACTTATAACACTATCATCCGATGATAATGATCCAGATGATGATGGTGATGATGATAATAATGAATTAAAACATAGTGAATGTGTTAATCGTTGAGTCGTAGTGGCAGAATTTGATATCGATTCAGAAACGTTTGTTGTTGTGGTGATTGTTTTTGTTGTTGAAGTAGGAGGTGGTTTAGGCAATGGTCTTGGTGTTGATGATGATGGTAGCCAATGATTTTGTAGCAATGGATTATCATTAGAATATTTATTAAATGAAAGTAATGGATCCAATGATGATGAGCCGGTGGATCCGGAACAGGATGATGGTGAACCATCATTACTATTAACAACACCATTATCCAGAATCAACGATGATGTTGATACATGATTTTCAACATTGTTATCATTGCTATTGGAATGGCCGAGCATCGGTGTAGGCGGTGTATATGTGGCCGCCGCCATCGACAATTTGAATATTGGAATAACAACGAAAATAATAATCACAATCGATTGTTGATATCATAATAAATTTTTTTTACGAAAAAAAAAAACAAACATAAACATAACAACAACAACAACAACAATGGAAAAAAACGCTCCAAAAACAAATCAACCAACGAAACAACAACAACAATAATAAAATGATGACCGTTGTCGTCGTCGTCGTCATCGGACACGGACACACACACACACAAAAAAACTAATGTACTACTTCACCAATGTAAACCAGAACCAAGATTATTTTAATTCACATCAGTAAGTAAAAAAAAAACAAGTCTCTTTTTTTTTTTTGCTTCATCAATTTGAAAAATTCATCGTGTCCCACATATAAATTTTTTTTTTTTGATCATGGTTAGACCAGAAAAAAAACGAGAGAGAGAAGAAAAAAAATCTTCAACCAAAAAAATCTTTTCACACACACACAGATAACATAATTCATGATGTGAATTTTTTTTTTTTTTTTTTACTGGAAAAAAAAGTCTAGGTCAAGGTGTTTTTTTTCTGTTTTGGTGATGAATTCCTACACCTATTCACGATCGGGTTTTCTCTTTATTTTTTGAAACCTAGAAAAAAAAGTGATGTGATTCATGAGTAGTGGATATTGAATTGAATTTTCTGCATGTTCCTATTTTTTTTGACTATTCTCTCCCCTTTTTTTAATCATTTTCATTTACCCAATATTTGCCTGGTTTTAAAATGCCTGGTTCTGTCTCTTCTGATCGATTTTTCAATGATGAATAAGATGGTAAGAGAAAAAAAATAGAAACCAAGAAACGAGGGTAAAGCTCATGATGATGATGATGATGATGATGATGATAAAGATAAAAGACAAGAAAATCTTTGATATCGAGGTCGGTCGGTCATCCATCATGTATAAAACTGGTTTCTTTGGGCAAGAATTCTCTCTCTCTCTCTCTTTCTTAACGGTAACTATATTTTTTTTAATTGGTTTTTTCTCTATTACGCCTAATAATAATAATAAAATAAAAATGACGCCAATAAAATAGATCTACCTGTTGCATATGAACGTATGAAATATGAGTATTTTTTTCATCATCATCATCATCATCAACATATAAGTAAGTTTAATCATGCATAAGAATGAATTTAGGGTAAAAACAACAACAACAGTAACATGCAGTAACAGAAGCAAAAAAAAAAAAACAAAACAAAAATTCAATTTAATTTAATTTCTTTTCCTCCAACACAAAAATTTCCATCTGTAGAAAAAAAAATCTTTTCCACTGAATTTTGTTTTGCTCGCTTGTTTTACTCGATTGTTTCCACAGATCGGATATTATGGAAGAACAAATCATTTAAACATCATCATCATCATCATCAATGGTTCCAAATTAACAACAAAAACAATGTGTCCACGTTTTATTATCATCATCATCATCATCGACAACAGCAACAGGTCAAAAGGAAATCAAAAAAATAAAAAAAAAGATAAAATAAGAAACTAGTTCATCATCATCATCATCATCATCATCACGATAAAAATCATCAAATAAAGTAAATAACAACAGAAAAAAAACAGTAGATAATTTTAGAAATGACCAGTGGACAAAAAAAAGAATACAATACATCAATATAATGATGCGACAAATATAATACATTCAAAAAAAAGGAGAATAAAAAAAATTGTCGTGCATTGGTCATTTACTGATACTGGAAAAAAAATGGATATATAGAAAAAATATTCAATCATCATCAATCTCGGATGAATAATGTGTTATACCCCGAGTACGAATGACAATTTCCATCTATTTTCATCGGATTCATTTTATCGATGTCATGAACAGAACACACACACACACACACACATCAGATTCATTCGATAGAGACATCTCGGTATGGTGTCGTAGTTGTATTGATCGAAACGTCCAACAAATGATGATGTCATTCATTATGTATATGTATATATGAATCGGTTGGTCGTACCAGGTGCATCATACACACAAATATATGACCGGTTATTATTATAAACCAAAAAAAAATCATCACCATTCATAATGATCAAGAGAAAAAAAATAATTTATGATATTTTCATCGCATCCACTATTTCTCTCTCTCTCTCTCTCTCTTTCTATCTCAAACACACCAAAGTTGTAAAATTTTAATGATAGAACAACAATCGATGATTTTTTGCTCTTTGCACATTTTTTTTTTTTAATTTCTTTCCTTCCCTTTTTTCTCCAATAACCGATGGATGATGATAAAAATAAAAATGTTGGCAACGTACACACACACACACCACCACCACCACCATATAGTTTCCTGATGAACTTGACATTGAAAACAACATCAAAAAAAAAAAAGAAAGAAAGAAAATACCAACATGTATCATATTCTTGCATCTGATTTGTATATCACTTACTCACTTGTTTGTTTGTTTATTTTCTCACATTTCAATTTCCTCTTGTTGGTTCCAAAACACACGCACACACACACGCCAAAAAAACTAATACCATAAAAATAGCCAAATGATTATCATCATCATCATCATTGAATTGTGTGCTATATTGATTTCATACAAGTGTATCTGTGTGTATAAATATAGAAAATGATGATCATCATCAATCAAAAAAGGGAAACACTGAACATGAATGAATGAATAAAAAATGGGGGTGTGTCGCAATGATAATAGGCGTGTGTACGGTTTTTTTCTGCTGATGATAATAATAATCAGGTCAAAACACTCAAAAATAAATGAAGACGAAAAAAAAATTAACCAACGACGACGTACTACTTTTTTTTCCTTTGTCTTTTGCTTTGAATTGATGGTGGTTGAACAGAAATAAAAAAAAGAGAATGGAAAAAAATAAGTAGATTTTTTTTTCGTTTACCATTGATTTTGTAAGATACGGACATATAACAATAACAACAACAACAACGAAAAACAACAAAACGACAACCACATCCTTTAACAGACACACACACACACACAAACAATCAACAGGTTGCCATCATAATATTTTGGTTAAATGTTGGCCATTCTTTTTTCTACCTCTCTCTCTCTATCTCATATACTCATTCTGATGATTATAATGAATGGGGTCGTCATCGTCATTCATAATTATTATGGTGGGGGATAGAGAAAGAGAAAAAAAAATCATCATCATCATAATCGATAAGTCAATTGCTTGAAAGAAATATTCAATTTGAATCCAATCCAATCAATCAATCAATCGATAATGATTGATAAATCGATTTTAAAATTTTGAATCAATATATATCATATATTATTATCATTATTATATTGGTCAGCTATATAATATGGACAGTTTTTTTGCTGCAATTGAAGCGGAAAATAGATTATTATTAAATTGAACGACTGAATGAACAAAACTAACAAAAAAAACAACAGGTTTAAAATGGATTGTCAATCAATCAATTTTTTTCCATTCAAAAAAAATCGATCATCAATATTGATCTTGAACTTGGAAAAAAAAGAAATTCGTTTTCAAATGTCTATGTCTAAACACACACACACACACAAATTGAATAAAGAAAATCATCCAAAACGAACACCTACCTTGTAAATTATCAAGTAGATATGTAAGCAATTTTTGTACACCATTTTGTTCATTATAAATGACCAATAATTCTTGTGTTAATGGATTTCCTTTTAATGCTATAAAAAAAAAAAAAATTGAATTTTACAATTTTAAATTGAAACAATTATCAATTGTAGTAAATATATATACCTAGCTGCTGTAATTGAAATAAACGTCCCAATTCATATGGTAATTGGCGAAGATTATTATGATTAAGATAAAGCTCATGTAACATTATTAATTCACCAATTTCAGCTGGCAATGATCGAAGTTTATTATTGGATAAATCCAATAATAATAGATGTTGAAGTTTAGCAATTTCTGGTGATAATTTTGTTAAATTATTATCATTCAAATAAAGACAGGTCAAATGTGTGAATGACCATAATTGTGGACTAAGATTACGTACAAGACCTTAAATGAAAATGAAAACAAAAAAAAATTAAATCTAAGTTTAATGATTTTTATATCAACAAAATAATACATACCGGTAATTTCTAATTCACTCCAATATGATTCTTTGCCCTGTGCAATATCTTCAGCGGTCAATATGATTGGTGCACGACGATTATTCGATGTTTGTTCATATTTATTTTCACGATCACGATGTCCAGGACGTGTCATCTTTTTGTGTTTATTGTTATTTTAATCAAATCTGATCAATGATGATCTGAAAACAAAGAAAAATTTAATACGCATCAAAATGAGTAAAAATGATAATCATCAAATATTACATACATTGATGATGATGATGATGATGGTGGTGATATATAGATGGTGGAAACAAAACAATTGAAATATATGAATGATTGAAGCTTTTTGTCAAGACCTAGCAGTAGATAGATGAAATTCAAGATTCATTCTTTCCTTGTTTTTTTTTTTGGTATTCGTAGTTTATGATTGTCGAATTCTTTTTTTGTTGTTTTGATTTCACACAACGTATGAATTTTTGTCGTTTCGAATTTATTTATTATTTATTTTTGATTATGTCATACCACATTTGACGTAATAGTAGTTAATGTCAATGTTCGTTTTATTATCATTTGATTTTTTTTTCGTTCTTCTTGTTTCGTGAATTTTGAAATTTGATTGTTCGATCGAAAACGTGGTTGATGATGATCGATTTCGTTTTTTAAATATGATCAATTGAAATGATGATTCGATCTTGTCTTGGATTTAATGTATTTGGATGGTGTTGAAGTATTGTTGTTGGTTCTTTTTTTCGGTTTCGTTCTTTTGGTTATTTTTGGTTGTTGATGCGCGATATTATCATCTCAATTTTTTCTCATACACACACACACACAAGAGACACACGATGATGTTGAGAAAAAAAAAGAAAATTTTACAACAATGAACTTGATGAACGACATCTATCGATAGTCGATAGTTGTCAATGATTCGATATGTCTGCGTGCACATTTTTGAATTGTCGTCCATCACCAAAACAAATTCGGATTTTCGAATGTTGTATTCTGAAATTGAAGTTTTTTTTATGAAATTCATTCATTTCCAATTCGATCATTGGTAAGTTTTTTTTTGTCTCAAGAGAATTTTATAATTATTGAGAAATTTTCTTCGATTTTTTACCCAATTAGATCTAGTCGAAGCAACCAGATCCAATGAATACTTCAACAATCGATAATTTGAATGATGATATTTTAGCCAATGATTATCATACGATTGTGGAACATAAAAAAGGAAAAATGGAATCATATGCTGCTGATAACGATAATAATGATAATGTGAATAATGAAACATCAACAGTCACCGATAAAAATGGAATGGCAAATAAAATTCATTTTCGCCATATAATGTTATACTATTTTCGAAAAGGTAAACGTGTTGGCGAGACAAAAAATAAAATCTGTTCAGTTTATGGTGATGATGCTATTGCACAGCGAACTGTTGGTAGATGGTTCAATCGTTTTAAGGAAGGTAAATTCAATCTTGAAGATGAAGAACGTAGTGGCCGTCCAGGATCAGCTGATGATGAAAAAATTAAAGCTTTATTATATGAAAATCCACGATTTTCCACGAGAGAATTGGGTTTATTTTTAGGATTATCAAGAAGTACTGTTCATGAACATTTGGTGAAATGTGGCTTTACTAATCGTAATGATTATTGGGTGCCAAAAAATCCTAATAAAACGTGTTTAAATGAAAGATTGGAAATTTGTCAAGAATTATTGAAACGTCATAAAACTGAACCATTTTTACATCGAGTAATTGTTGGCGGTGAAAAATGGATCTTATTTAATGAACAAGTAAAATCGAAAAAGAAAAAATCACTTAAACGTCAACGACAAAATTCTGATTCTCAAAATGATGAACAACAACAACAACAAAAAATACAACGTTGCAAAGATCAAAAAGCATTATTATCCGTTTGGTGGGATATTAAAGGTTTAATTTATTGGGAATTAATGGAATATCAACAACAATTAACGCCAGAACATTATTGTTCACAATTGGATATTGTACGTTATCATGTACAAAATAAACGGCCAGAATTATTATCATCATTGAATAATAATAATAATTATAATTATATACATCATCATCATCATCATCAACAACAACAACAACAACAACCAATATCGAATGTCATTTATCATCATGATAATGTTCGTGCACATAAATCTGAAATGACAAGAGAAAAATTATTAAAACATTTCGAATGGGAAATATTAACACATCCACCATTTTCACCGGATATATCGCCATCAGATTTTCATTTATTTCGTTCATTAAAATCATCATTTAGTGGTAAACATTTCCATAAACTAGAACATATAAGTGAACATTTACAAAAATTTTTCAATGAACAACCGGAAAAATTCTGGCATGATGGTCTGACACAATTGCCCGAACGTTGGGATAAAGTGATTAAACGTAATGGTGCCTATCTTAAGTGAATGACAAAAAAAATGTAAACTTCAAAGAAATTTTCCTGTAAACTTTATACATATAAATTCTTTTCAGTTTATTTTTTCAATTTTTTCATTAAAATTTTACAAATTAACAATCAAAATCGATTGGATGTTGTGTAATTTTTTTGTTCTGTTCTCGGAGGCAATATCATTGGAAAAAAAAATTTCGGTACAAATCAATTGTAAATAATTGACATTCACCATTGATATTTGATGATTGAAATCAAAAAAAAAAAAAAATTTTGACATTATCATCATCATCAACAACACAGCTTTAGCAGCAGCCATGTAGACAAATGTTTACCGTTGTTGTTGTTGTTGTTGTTGTTGTTTACGTGTATGCCCGATTAATTTTCAAAAAATATTCAGCCAGCCATCCTCCACAAACATTAACACATAATTCATACAATTTTTTTCACGTGATCATGAAACGTGGTAATATAAACTGAAAAATGAAATAAAATAATCATCATATGATGTGATTATTTATGTGGAAAAATAAATTTCGTAAATATCAATGAAAAAAAAAAACAATGATGATGATGATGATTATGGGCCATTTCCATAAATAAATAAATTAGCAAATTTCATCACCAATAATCCTAAATGAAAATGACAATGAGAATGAAAATGAGTTTTATTTTTATAATTAATATTTTTCGTCGTTGTTGTTGTTTTTGTCGTTTTTTTCATATTTTTGTTTTCGAAAAGTGAAAACAAAAATAAAAACAAAAACGACGAAAAAAAAATTTCCTTCAATCAAGGATTGAAAAAAAAAATTCGATCGTTTTTTTTTGATCAATCGATTGATCAATCATCGAATCAAAAATAAGGAAAAAAAAGGTAAATGATGATGAGAGGGAAAAAGGATATGTAAGTAAAAAAAATTTTAGTTAGTCAGATGAAATGTTGAAAAAAAAAATTTTTCCCTGAATAAAAATCTGAAAAAAAACATACGTACCGAACCAAACCCTCCGGCCAGACACACACACATCATAATGGTCATTGATCGTGGTCAACATACAAATATAGCGGTAAATAATAGAAAAAATTACAAAAACACGAATGATGAGGAAAATTGTTTGTTTTTGGTTCGTTTTTTTTCTATTTGCTTCAAAATTCAATGTCATAATAATCATCACCTTTTTTTGTAATATATCAATCGATCGATGATTCGTAAACGGATTATTTATCTATTTTTTGATTTGATTTGATAACCTTGCCATGAATAAAAACACACAAACAAAAATTCAAATTCGAATGTATCGAATATCATCACAATCGATAGATCGATCGAACAATCGATGATGATGATGTTGATGTTGACATAATGAAATGTGTGTGTGTGTGTGGCAGCATCATCATTAATTTTTTTTTTTCGACAAAAAAAAATTTAAATTTCTTGATATTGCCAATTTCTATACTTGTCATTCGGCTTCACTGTTTGTTCATCATCTGTGATATTGACCATAATCATCATTGAAAATAAAACGCGAAAACAAGAAAAAAAGTTGTTGCCATCTTCGTATTCATATATGTGCGTGTGTGTGTGTGTGTGTGCAATATTTGATCATTGTTAAATATTAAAATGTTATCTAATTTGAATATTCAAATTACATCAATATCTTAAATGGGGCTACTAATACTATTTTTATGTTTGTTTTCTTCATCTTCATCATCATCATCGTTGGCCACTAAAATCAATGAATCTGAAATGAAACAACAACAACAACAACAAACATATTCTCTGATCAAATAATCATCGGTTCACAACAACAACATTGTCAATGTTTTTTTTTTCCTCAATATGTCATTGGCCGTTGTTATCGTTAAATTTCGGAAAAAACAAAAAAAATCAATCGGGAAAAATAATCGAGCAACCAACAACGAAAAATGGGAAAAAAACAGAACATTTTTTTTCTGAAAATCAATCTAATTAAAAAAAAAAAAAAATAACAACAAAGGGGTCACACAATGATGTTGTGTTGTTATATGATGCGAAACGAAACTGATAAACAATTCAATAAAAAAAAAAAATAATGAATAATTGGTAAACAAAAAAAGTAATCATTTTGTTTTACTATGTTCATTTCATTTTTATTTTATTATATTTTTTTTACGACAGAAATATTCATTACATATATATTCGATCGATTATTATTGATACCGTGAGAATTATTATCGGATCAATCAATCAATCAAACAAAACAATCTGTGTCAGGCTTATTATCGTCGTTCAAATGTACATGGAATGACTGTGGCAAACAACAATGCTTATCGGAAACTTGGTAATCGAACCAGATGAAAAGAAAAATTGTTATCGAAAAAAATAAACAAAAAAAAAATTATGCAATATTGTCAACGAAGGATTATACGAGATCCATTTGTGTGCATTTTATTTTTTAATTATGATGAAATTTTTCTTCTTTTTTTCCATTCAATGGCCATATATAAATACATCGAATTGACACACGATGATGATGATGATGATGGTATAATCTAATGACCATTTTTTTTCAAATGAGTAAATTGACAAATTTTTAATTATCGTTGGTATTTTCTCTACAACATTCAATTCATTTCAATTCAATTCAATCATCATGACATTCATTCATCGCATGAATGAACAGTTTTTTTCTGTTGTTGTTGTTGTTGATAGTATAAATAAAATATAAAAAAAAATTAAAAACTTTTCACACATTTTTTGTTGTTGTTGTTGTTGTCGTTGCTTTGGAACATTCGAAACATTCGTTCTATTCCATTATCAGTGATACCAATATTTTCTTCTTCTTCTTCTTCTTCAGTTTTTTTGTTTCCTTTTATTCATGGCAAAGAGACTGTTTAGTTTAGCTTCCCCTTTATAAGTTTTGTCGTTGTTGTTGTTGTTGTTGTTGTTGTTGTTGTTTTTTCTTTTTTTTTTTTTTTTTGTTCATTGAATAAATGTTTGTTATTTTCTTGTTCTTTTTTTTTGCTTGATTCGAATCAATTCACATCCATAGAGTGTGTATGTGTTGTTGTTGTTGTTGATTATATAAAAAGGTATAGTGCATCAAACGAATCAATCTACTTGTTGATATTTTTTTCTTTTTTGTAGTTTTTAAAAATTTTTTTTTCCTTTTTCATCATCATCATCATGACATTATCATCATTATAATAGGTTTAGTTTGTTGTTGTTGTTGTTGTTGTTGTTTGGTGCAATAACAAAAGGCCCAAAAGGATAAATATTGGGTGAACGAACACACACACACACACACATCAAAAAAAAAATCAAATAAATTCAAATCGATTATTTCGATTGTCCATCATTCGAATTTGGTTATGTGATGTGTCACTGTATTTGTGTATGTGTGTGTTGATCAACCAAAAAAATTTTATTTTGGTGCATCCGATAAATTCAATCTGAATCTGTCATCTTTGTTCATTCATCATTTGATTTGTTTTTATTGAATTCAACATCTGGACATTTGAATTAGCCAATTCAAAAAAAAAAACCAATCAACGACTTTATCATTATACATATTATCTATGGGGCTATTGGCTTGAACATCAAGATCCACGTACTGAACATTTTCGTTTAGTATCAATATCACCATATGTAATTGCATTAATAATGTATATTTATTATGTATTGGTAACAAAAATTGGTCCAAATCTGATGAAAAATCGTCAACCATTTCAATTGCGTAATATAATGTTTTTCTATAATATTATTATGGTCATCGTGAATGCATATTATTTTTATGAGGCCATTTCATATTGTGATTATTTACGTGTATTTCTTAATTTTGATTATCCCGATGATTCGGACCGGTCACCAGCAACATTACGGGTATGTGTTTGATTGTTGATTTGATATTTTGTTGTTGTTGTTATTGTTGTTGATGATCTAAATGAAAAAATGAAAAATGTGGTAAAATGTTTTCACCAATTGAAAACAAGCTGGGAAAAGTTTTTTTTTCGTGAAAACATTTCATTTCATTTCATTTCATGTCATGGTCATCATGATCAACATATGGACAACTCAGCTGTGTTGTCTACTGATGTAAACAACAACAGAAATAGTGAAATCAAATATTATTATTATCGACGGAAAAATGGCCGTTTGAAGTTTAATTTAATTCGTAGCAAATTTTTTTTTTCAAAAATCAATGTTGAAAAGAAAAATGTCGTAATAATGATGATGAAGAATTCATATCATCGATGTCATGGAAAATTCATCATCGATATGCGAGTGATAAAAATCAAGTTTTTTTGTTATTAAATTTTTCTTTTGTTTTGTTTTTCTTTCTTTCTTTTTTTTTCTTTAAAACATTTGTTGACCATCATCAAAGGCCATCAATTTAGGATGGTGGTATTGGATGTCAAAATTTGCCGATTGGTTCGATACATTTTTCTATGTATTAAGGAAAAAACATGAACATATTAATTTTCTACACCTTTATCATCATATATCGGTACCGGTTTTTGGTTATCTTTTATTGAAAATCAATCCAATGGTACCGGCAGCACATTTGTTCATCATAATGAATACATTTGTCCATTGTTGTATGTATTCATATTATGCATTAGCTGCATTGGGGCCAAAAATTCAACGATATCTTTGGTGGAAACGTTATATTACTGTTATGCAATTAGCACAATTTATTATTGGTATGATTTATGGATTTTTTGTCATCCAATTTCAACATGGCTATCCAATCATATGGATGATTATTGGCCTGACGCAGCCACCATTTTTTTTCTACATGTTTTATGGTTTCTATCGACGAGCATATCAACCAAAATCAAATATCATTACAACAAATGGTGGTAAAATAATGATGGTGATTAATAATAATAATAATACATGTATGATGAACAATAATAATGGTGTCGATAATCGAAAACAACAACAACAACAAAATCCATTTAAAATTGATTAATTGACAGGTAAAGAATAAATTAAACACACACACAGACACAGACACAAGCTCATTTTATTATCGAAACTGAATTCTGTTCAATTCGGTTTTTTTATTATTATTTAAACAAAAAAAAATTCATATCATCATCATTATAATTATTGTATTTGAATTATTGTTTTTAAAAAGAATCGATACATTTTTGAAACACATAATTTAAGATTAATATTGATTTAGACAAATATAAAATCTGGTTTCATCATAATGATATCTGTATTACCATTTTCAACATTTGTATTTGTAATATTCATCATCGATGTTATTGTCAAATGTTGTTTACAATGACAATGACCATCAATAATTACCGATGATGATTGTTGTTCATCATCGATACGTGTCCAACGGCCATTACATCCACTAAAATTAAATAATGACCAACGTGTTGCACGTCCTTTAATACCATGGCCATTACAACGATAACCAAGATGGCTACGCATAGCAGCATCTTGGCAATGGACACAAACTTTTTTACCTTCTTGAAGTTTTGCATAAACATCTGTTGTTAATGTTTCACAGCTTTTATGACTTTTGTTCACCTCAAATAGGACACAATATCTAGTTGTTGTTATTGTTTTTTTTTCGTTGGTAGTAATCAATCAATTAATCAATCAGTGATTTAATTTGATTTGATGAATGAATGTAGATCAAAATGGTAATAAAAACAAACAAAAAAAAAACAATAATCATATCATTATTATTATCGTAATAATAATCAATTGGAAAATAGAAAAAAAACACAATTAAATTTCAATAACAAATAAAAAAAACGAATAAACAAACTTACTCATTTATATTCTCTTTCAATGGATCTTTTGGATAATTTAAACGTAAATTACGGCGAATATCTTTATCTGCATCGATATTACGAGTGACTGAAAAACTTGATTGTAAAATAATGGCCATTTCTTATCGGATTTTTTATTATTTTTTTGTTTTGTTTTGTTTTGGTCCATTGTTTATTGAAAATTGTCAATGATGATGATGATGATGATGAACGATATATCGATTGTGATTGTTCAGAAAAAAAAGAGAATTAAATTCAAAAAAAAATTAATTTGAAAGATTCTTGTCTAATCTTATTACACACACACACGCACACACTTACCACGTAACATTTTTTCATCATCTTTTACTTTACAATGTTGACCATGACATGCACGACGTTGATTCAAATCTGGACATTCACGTCCACCATTTTGTGGTGGTGATAGAATACGACGAGTACGATTCATTGTACCAACACCGCATGCAATATTACATTCAGACCATTGTTCCCAATCGCTTACGATACAATCTTGGACTAGAGATTAGTTTTTTTTTTTTTGGTGATTAGATCAATATTTCAAGATCAAATTAGTATTTAATACTTACCACCACAGGTATCTTTATAATCTGGGCAACAATCACCCAATGTAATACAGGCACTATCACAATAACATTCTTTTGCATCATTTCCATTATTATCTTGTATAGCTTGTCCCAATAGATTACCAATCAATGATATTGATTGTGTTCGAACCAATAATGGTGATGGCTGCTGTTGATGATTTAATTGAGCAATCGGTATTGAACATGATGAATCACGACCTGAACAGCAAAGATTACGTTCACGACATGAGCCAATATAACGTGGTTTTGGCATATTTGGATCTGAAATACCACGTGTTGATGTGGTGGATGGGGATAATATCGATTGTTGATGCTGCTGATGATGATGATGATGAATTATTGGATAATTAGCCGGATATATTTGTGAATTTTGTTGCTGCTGCTGATGTTGTTGTTGTGGTTGTTGCAATGGATAAGGATAAAATTGTTGTTGTTGTTCTTGTTGTTGCAACGGTGGTGGTTGTGCATTGATCAAAATATTCCAACAACATGATCCAATAATCATCAATAGTAATATTATTCTTGATTTTTTATTATCAATCATGATGATTCTTTTTTTTGGATATCCAATGATGATGATTCAATCCTGATGATGTCGTCTTTGAAATGAAATGAAAATGAAAAAACGGAGATTCCGCTACAATATCAGAAATGAAACAAAAAAAATTTAGAAAAATTTTTGTGTGTGATATATCCACCATATACAGCTATTAAGTGATAAAAAAAAGTTGAAGAAACTTTCACTTACTATGATGATATGATGATGATGATGATGATGATGATGATGATTTAAACAACCAGTGAAAATAAAAGTGGTGTGGATGGATAATCTCATCGAGTTTACTACGCCCAAAAAAAAATAATCTTTCATGATGATTGAGAATGATAAGAAAAGAACCAAAGCGAATGCTAATGTTAAAAACGAAAAAAGAAAGAACACTTATGATTTTAAAAAAATGAATATTTATTTTTATCTTCTTTTTTTTTGATGTTGATCATGATGATGATGGTGAAATGATGATGGGAATTTTTATTCCATTTCATTGAACCTCGAATGATTTGTTTCTGTGGGTGTGTGTGTGTGTGTGCGTCTTGAGAACATAATGCGCATACTCACATGGAATATTTTTTTTTCTTGCATAATTCACATAATTCGTTCGAAAAAAAGGACAACGACATTTTGGCGATGATTTTGTTTTGAAACGAAAAAAGATTTTTGATGTCAAATAAACAAATGGATGAACAAATATAGAATTATAAATGTGAAAAAATTTTCGTTTTATTTTGACTAAATTCTTGAATGTTGTTGGTATTTTTTTTTCTGTTTCATTCGTAATATATTCTTAAGGGAGAAAATAAACAAATTCAATGAACTTGAACTTCATTATTATCATAATAATGATAATGTTAAAGGTTCAAAACGGCAAAAGGTCATTCATTTATCATCATCATCTTATTTATCGTCAAACAAAAGGTCAAAAAATGTCATTGATTTGTGTTTTGTTTACTTTAATGATGATAATTTTTTTGAAAATAAACAATACTTTAGCAACACACAAGATGGCGCCATGGGTATTAAAAAATTTGTTTTGGTAATTTTTTATTTTCATTTTCATTCATTCGATAATAATAATAAAAGCGAATGTGTGTGTTGTGCATAAATTGTGATAAGAAAAAAAAAGGATTAAAATGATCAAACAAACAAAAATCAAAAAGATTGAAAAAAACAATTAAATTATATATTAAATCAAATCAATATCAATATTAGATTGGTAATGATTTTTCACTTTGATTATCACTATGATTATCTGATCGTTGACTTTGACTACCATCACCATCATGGCTACTACCAACACCAAGATCTGTCAATGAATTTGGCCCACTATTTGTTCCGCTATTTATTTCTATTGGTGTTGACGATGATGATGATGATGATTTCATTAATAATTCCATCGTTATTCTACCGTTTGTTGTTGTTCGTAAATTATTTAAATGATGATTATTATGTTCAAAAACTTCAGCTTTACGTCGTTCATAAACACGTAATCGTAATGGTGATTTTGGTCGATAAACCATTTCCATCATGGCAAATATTTTATCTCGTTCATCTATGGATTCAAAACGAAAATATCTTAAAAGATAAGCAAGTACTACTTTCAATTCAGACATTGCAAAACGTTGTCCAATACAATTTCTTGGACCAGCTGAAAATGGTACAAATGCAAATGGATGGCGACCTGCAGCGTTTTCCTGTAGAAAACGATCTGGATCAAATTTCTCTGGATCCGTAAATACATCCGGATCACGATGTAACATATAAATATAGACAAAAATAATTGTTCCTTTTGGAACATGATAGCCATTCAATTTAAGATCTTCATGTGAACGGCGGCCAATAAATGGTACAGAAGGAAATAATCGTAAACCTTCTTTGATACAACATTCTAGATATTTAAGTGATTTAATCTTATCCAATGTTAATAGGATATTATCATCAAAATTATCATTATGATTATTAATCATTGATGATGTTGTCGATGATGAACGATAATCATTAGTATGATCAACGAATGAATTCAATTGTTGTTGTTGATGTTCATTATCATCAATTATATCATCGAATACGGAATCAATTTCAGCTGCAGCACGTGCTTGAATTTCTGGATGATGTCCAAGCATGAATAATATCCATGATAATGCCATGGCCGTTGTATCATGACCTTCAAACATGAACGTATCAACTTCTTCACGAATATCTTCTTCAGTCATTGTTTCACCATTAGAATTTATATGATGATCTAATAATAGATCAAGAAATGCTTTACGATGATCTTTTTCTTCTTGTTCAATTTCAGCTTGGCCATTTGCATTTGGCTTATATCGTATTGTTTTATTACAATTCAATAATTGTGCTTTACGATTACGTATAACTTTTCTTGTGAATTCATGTAGTTTCACTAAATTTGTTGCAAATTTCTGACCAGATTCTGAACGATAATAAATTTGATCTAACCAATATTGTGGTTGCATTAAACGTTCAATGAAACATTCACCAACTCTAATTAAAATGATGATATATAATTGGATGTGTTAGATTTAAATTTTGGTGAGAAAAAAAACCAGAAAAACTTACTCATTAACAGATTTACAGTATTTATTATTTGTCGATTTCTGTGCACCAATCGATACGCCCATAATTGTTTCTGTAATGAATGCATTTTTTCATTGAAAAACATTAAATATAGAAAAAAAACCACTACTTACCACAAATAATATCCAACGTACATGCAGTGATAATTGGTACAATATCCACAATCGTACAATTTGAACATTTTTGTCGTGCAACATAACGTAAACGTTCGATTAGAATTTTTGATTGTTCATTGAATACCGGTATGAAATCATGTAGAATTTTAAAATGAAATGCCGGCACCAACATTTTACGACGGGTACGCCATTTTTGACCATCCGATGTAAGCAATCCTGTTCCTAGCCATGGATGAAGAAAACGATATTGTGTTGATTTTTCTAATAGAAAATTATTCGATAAAATTTTCTCCACAGTATCCGGATGCCAAACAAATACTAATGGTTCCCATGAAATCCATATACGAAATAATTTCATTTTCTGATAAACATTTGTATAGCCAGTTACTGATGACATAAGATCTTTGGATGAAAAAAAAAAATAAAATGAAATTTAAAAATTTTTGTTTTTCAATTTACAAAAAAAACAAACTTACTAATAATGACTAATTTATAATCCATTGAATTTATCAATGAATTCCATAATAAATCATATGGAATATTTCCCATTATTATACTGGTACATTTTGGACCAGGTAATTGATTCACCAGATGTAAACGATTCCAATTGGAATGTATCGATGGCCAATAATAGATGAATATAATGGTTGATAATAATAATGGTAATGACAGCAAAATCAATGTTGTCCATGATGATATAATTAATGAAAATATTGATACTATCGATATAATCGATGACCATAATAAATTTCCAATGGTTTCGATAATCATATTTTGAAAATTTTTGAATCACATACACACACACAACACAAAAACAAATAGGTCGTCGACAATATGATATTAATTCATTTTTTCATTTTCATTTTCATTTTTTTTTGTGAAAAATATGAATTTTTTTTTTCATTCCTTTCATTCGACTCGAATGTTTGTCATTGTACAATTGAAACATTGAAATGAATAGCAAGAAAAAAAAATGATTGAATATCATGAGATAATGGCCAGCAGAAACTACTCTGTAAAGGTGGTTTTTTTTTATCATGCTCCAGTGAATATTTGATTGCTTTTTTTCTTCATAAACAGCAGCAGCAGCAGCACTGGAAACGGAAACATTATCGGAAATGAGCTTTGACGTTTTATTTAGTGAATTGATCTCTGAAATAATGAGACCAAAAAAAAAAAAAAAAAAGAAAGAATGAAAATAAAACAAAACAAAAAAATTCAAGGCCATATTCATTCAGAAAAAAAATTTCATTTCATTTTTACCAATTTTTTTTGTTCAACAAATCTGTTGCTTTTTTTTGATTTTTTTTTTTTTTTTTACCACATTACAACATAGAACATATATTGAAAAGAAGCCGTGTGTGTGTGTGTGTATTTCTTTGTTGATTGTTGAACAATTTATCTTCATGGACCGGAAAGAAATCTTTGAAATATATCCATTATTATCAATTATTATTGGTTGTGTGTTTGTTTTTCAAGATTTTTTTTTTGAATGAATGAATGTATTACATTGTGTATACAGGTATGACTTGTGGGACCATACATTGAGTAGGTAAATAAATTTTTTTTTCAATCAAAAAAGGAAATAATAGTTTGTTTATATTGTGTATATAAATTAAATCATTTAAATTGTTTCAAATTATTATCTCTTCGAATGAATCGAATATTAACCGATGATTTTGGTCGTAAAATTAATGCTGCATTTATGGCAACATCGGCCACATTTTCACCGGATTCAACACGATATTTGGATAATAATGTGGCCAACATAATTTTCTCTTCTTGCAATGCAAATTTCTGTCCAATACAATTACGTGGACCAGCTGAAAATGGTACATAAGAAAATGGATTAACACGGCCACAATAATGTTCAGAACCTTCAACAAAACGATCCGGTATATAACGTTCTGGTTGTTGAAAATATTTTGGATCTCTTTGTATGAAATATAAAAGCAATATAACCGGAATACCTTTCGGTATGATACAACCAGGTTCAATTTCAGTATCTTCATGTGTATGCCGTGAAATGAATGGTACGGATGGATATAATCTTAATGATTCTTTGATACAAGCTTCCAAAAATTTCATTTGTCGTAATTGATTGGATGTCCAATTCGAATTGTTTTCATCATCATCGTCGAAAGATTGTTGTCGAATTTCATCAATTTCTTTGTGTACACGATTCTGAATATCGGGATAATTTCCCAACAAATGTAATGTCCAAATCAATGACATTGCCGTCGTATCATGACCTTCAAACATGAATGTATCCACTTCTTCACGAATATCCGATTCAGTAAATTTATCTGGATCATTTAAATGTTGTTCAATCAATAGATCCATGAATGCTAAACGACGATTTCGATGATGGCCATCATCACCATTAATAACAACACCATTATTTTCATTGGCTTCAATTCTACGATCAATCATTGCTTTTTTTCTTTCCTGTATAACTTTCATTGTTAATTGATGTACCATGGCAATATCTTTACGATTTTTACGACCTTCAGCAAAAAAATTGAAGAATATAAAATCAATTTGAAGCCATGGAAATATGATACGTTTCATTAGGGCTGTTGAAACTCTAGTTTTTTTTTGAATGAATGAATGAATAAACGACAATGATCAATAAGTTTTTGTACCCGAAACATAAAAACAAAATGTGAATAAAACATGACAATACCTGGTTACTGCATCGACATATTCACGATTTTTATTCAATTGTGATTGAATTTTTACACCCATTGCTGTTTCCGATATAACATCCAACGTTGCATTAGTCATCAATGGTACAATGTTTAGAAATTTTTCATCACCATCAGTATGTTGTTGTTTTTGTTCAATAACATTCGAAAGAATTTGTGCCTGTTCATTCATGACGGTTATAAATTGTTCCAGAATATTAAAATGAAATGTTGGTGTCAATAGTTTTCGTCGATGACGCCATTTATTACCACCACTAACTAAAAGACCTTCATTTAACCATGGTTTCATCATACGATAATGATGATCTTTATCCAAAAATGTATGATTACTGGATAGAATTTTCTATAATGTAGAAAAATTACAAAACAATGTATATCAATTGAAATCCAACAAAAAAAAAACATTGAAATTATATCACTATTTTGACTTACTTCGGCAGAATCGGCACGATGAACAACAATCAATGGTTTCAATGATAACCATAAACGAAAAGTATTGTCGAATATTTTCACACCAGCACCAAGAAATTCCAGATAAACTATATAAAATGCAAAAAAACGGGGTAACAACAACAACAACAACAACAAAAATTATTACATATGCTACTTACTGTCAAACAATGTATCGATTTTAAATTGATTCCAACCAAGTAGACTAAAATTGCCAAGAAAAAATAACCATGGTATTGTCGGTATGCCAGGTATGTTGTTAATTTTTTCTACATTATCGATCCATTTTTTTATAAATCGAAATAAAATGATTGAAAACCATGTGAATAATGATAAAATTATGCCATAACGTATTAAAAATGGTATGATGTTGTTATTATTATTATTATTACTAATGTATTCAAACATATTATTATTATTATTATTATGTTTGCATATGTGTTATGTTATGTTCAATAATCGATAGATGTGAAATGAATTTTTCGATTTTTTCTTTCTTTTAATATATATGAAGATTCATTTTCTTTTTTATAATAAATGCACGCGTGTGTGTGTGTGTGATATGTTTTTTTTTTCATCTTCTTTTGATCGATAAATGATGATAATAATATATTTCTGCTGTGTTTTTTTTTTTTTTCTTGGCAAACGAACATCATTTCTTTCTTTCTTTCTTTCTTGGTTTTTCTGAAAAGCGATTACACATCTACCATTTTCATTTTCATTTTCATTTGATAAGATATTCGAAAAAAAAACAACAACATCTGATTTGGAATTATTTATTTTTTTTTTTTTTGTTCACATAATAATGATAACCATAGTGAATGGTTTCTTTTTTGGCATCAATTAATCATTCATTCAAAATGGAAAAAATCATCATCATTGATCACAAGATCGAAAATCATTTATCGTTATCATCATTGAATGTCCCCATAATGGTGTTGGATGAAAATAAACAAAGTGAAAAAAAAAATTCAACTAAAGAAAAAAAAAATGAGAATAAATCACTGATTTCAGGTACAAATGATCAACAATGTACAAAAGATACCATTCAAAATGTGTGAGAATTTTTGATTGTTTTATTTTAATTTTGTAATCAATTTTTGTTTTTATATTTTCAGTCATATATGAAAAAACCAAAAAACATTATTTTTTGCTCTCATGTATGGTAATGACTATGACGATATATGAAATGAATATTAACCGATGATTTTGGTCTTAATATTAATGCTGCATTAAGTGCAATGTTGCCAATCAAATCACCAGATATGATTTTATAATTAGATAATAATGTGGCCAACACGATTTTCTCCTCTTGCAATGCAAATTTCTGTCCAATACAATTACGTGGTCCGGCTGAAAATGGTACAAAAGCAAATGGATTCATACGGCCACAATAATGTTCAGAATCTTCGATAAAACGATCCGGTATGTAGCGTTCTGGTTGTTGGAAATATTTTTGATCTCTTTGAATTTTATAAAGTACTAGGGCAACAGATGTTCCTTTTGGTATGATAAGACCGGGTTCAATTTCCATATCTTTATGGGTGTAACGTGTAATCATTGGAACTGATGGATATAATCGTAATGATTCTTTTATACAGGCTTCCAGAAATTTCATCTGTCGTAATTGATCCATTGACCAATTGATTGTAGAAAATTCTTGATCATCAAAAGATTGTTGACGTATTTCGTCAATTTCTTTATGTACACGATCCTGAATATCCGGATGATTGCCGATCAAATGTAATGTCCATATCAATGACATTGCCGTTGTATCATGGCCTTCAAACATGAATGTATCCACTTCTTCACGAATATTCGATTCGGTAAATTGTTTTGGATCTTTCAAATGTTGCTCGATCAATAGATCCATGAATGCTAAACGACGACGACGATGATGACCATGTTGATGATCTAAATCATTTGAATCGTTAATTTCATTTTCTTCTCTTTTTTTCTTCTGGCTAAGAATTTCATTTTTACGTTCTTTAATCACATTCATTGTGAATTGATGAACCAGATTAATATCTTGACGATGTTGACGTCCTTCAGTGAATAGATTGAAATAGATAAAATTGTATCGTAGCCAAGGTAGTATCATTCGTTTCAAAACAGTAGCTGAAACTCTATATTGGATACGATAGGCATGAGTGAATGTGTCAAATAATAATAATAATAATGTGCAAAAAAAAATCAAACCTTGTAACTGTATCGACATAATCACGATTCCTGTCAAGTTGTGAACCAATTTTCACACCCATTGCCGTTTCCGAGATAACATCCAACGTGGCATTGGTCATCAATGGTACAATATTCAGATAATTGTTCACCGATTTCATTTGATTATCTTTAATTATATTGGAAAGAATATTAGCCTGTTCATTCATAATCGGTAGAAATTGTTCCAATATATTAAAATGAAATGTTGGTGTCAATAATTTTCGTCTTGAACGCCATTTATCCGATCCACTGGTCAACAGTCCTTCTTGTAGCCATGGTTTGAGCATTTCATAATATTGATCTTTATCTAAAAATGTATTATTACTGGATAATACTTTCTACAACAACAACAACAACAAAATCAATCAATCAATTTGCAAACAAACAAACACTGACCTCAGCACAATCAGCCCGATGAATAATAATGGTTGGTACGAATGAAAACCATATTTTTGTTGTTGTATGATTGAAAAGTTCGGTGAAACTAAGAACGATTCGAAAATATGCTAAATGAAGTTAAAGTTAAAAAAAGAAGATTAATATGAAACAAAACAAAAAACCAAAAATTTACCATCCACCAATGTTTCTTTTGTGGAATTTTTAATAAGAATCAAATACAAATGTCCAAGAGTTATTTGCCACAATGGAAATGTTACACCATCAAATTTATCGATAAATGATTTCAATTTGAACCATTCGAATATGAATCGTATTAAACGAATGAATAAAATGATGATCATTATGGAAATGATTCCATAACGAAGAAAATTTGTCACCATTGAATGATTGAAATAATTTGACATAATTTTTTTTTTTCTATGTTCTATTTCTGTTTCTATTTACACACAAAACGATGTTGTTGTTGTGTGTGCATTTGTTTATTTGGTTGTGAATTTGAAAATGATCTAATTCGATTGCGTTGAAGTTTTTTGTTTGTTTGTTTTGGCTTTATAGCCAAAAAAATGGCCAACGAAGATATGGTTGTAATTTGTTTTCATTTATTTTCGATAACTATAACTATATGAAAAAAGTCTATGACCGAGAAAAAGTTGTTTTAATATTTGGCGTTCTATTTATTTAAATTTTGATGATGATACAATTAATGTTGATTGTGTCAATAATAAATGGAAATGATGATGATTATCGTTTTCTAATGGGCTTTTTTTTGTTTCATTTTACAGTGACAACCAATAGAAGTCTTGTGATTTATCATTTGATTTATATATGAAAAATGTGTGAGATGGTGGATGATATATAAAAAAAGGATTCATCTCTTTCTGTTTGGTTTTGATTTTGATTTTGATTTGATTTGAATTGAATGTTTGTTTATTTATTTATGTAGACATAATGTTGATAATTTCAAAGTTTGATTAAAAATTGATAAATAAAAAAAATTATATACGTTCTATAAAACGAACATTGACCGATAATTTTGGCCTTAAAATTAATGCCACTTTTTTATGAACATTACCAAGATAATCACCGGATTCAACACGATATCGAGACAATAAAGTGGCCAACATGATTTTCTCTTCTTGTAGAGCAAATTTCTGTCCAATACAATTACGTGGACCGGCTGAAAATGGTACAAAAGCAAATGGATTCATACGGCCACAATAATGTTCAGAATCTTCGATAAAACGATCCGGTATATAGCGTTCTGGTTGTGGAAAATATTTTGTATCTCTTTGTATCATATAAAGTACGAGCATAATTGACGTTCCTTTTGGTATGATACGACCGGGTTCTATTTCCGTATCTTGATGTGTATAACGTGATATTATCGGTACCGATGGAAATAATCGCAGTGATTCTTTGATACAGGCTTCTAGAAATTTCATCTGTCTTAATTGATTTTGAGACCAATTTTGTGTTTCATTATCATCAAATTGTTGCCGTATTTCGTCAATTTCTTTATGTATACGATCCTGAATGTCCGGATGATTGCCGATCAAATGTAATGTCCATATCAATGACATTGCCGTCGTATCATGACCTTCAAACATGAATGTATCCACTTCTTCACGAATATCCGATTCGGTAAAGTGTTTCGGATCTTTCAAGTGTTGCTCAATCAATAGATCCATGAATGCTAAACGACGACCATTTTCATTTGCATTAAGATTCTTTTGGTTGACAATTTCGTTTTTACGTTCTTTTATAACATTCATTGTAAATTGACGAACTAGATTAATATCATGACGATGTTCACGTCCATCGGCGAAAAAGTTTAAATAAAAGAAATTATTTTGAAGCCATGGCAATAACATTCGTTTCACAGCAGTAGATGAAACTCTGAAAATTAGATGAAATCAATTATGATGGGAAAAAAGTCCAATCATGATCACTAACCTTGTAACTGCATCCACATAATCACGATTCTTATCGAGTTGTGAACCAATTTTCACACCCATTGCAGTTTCCGAGATAACATCCAACGTTGCATTCGTAATTAGTGGCACAATATCTAGATAACCATTACCACCTGCTTTCAGCTGACGATCATTGATTATACGGGAAAGAATTTGAGCCTGTTCATTCATGATGGGTAAGAATTGTTTCAAAATATTAAAATGAAATGTTGGTGTCAATAATTTTCGTCGTGAACGCCATTTATCCGATGCACTGGTCAACAGTCCTTCATTCAGCCATGGTTTAAGCATTTCGTAAAAATTATCTTTATCTAAAAATGTATTATTGCTGGATAATATTTTCTAAATACGGAAACAATAAATTTCGATTACTATTTCCACACAAAAATCCACAATCTATACTTACTTCAGCAACATCGGCATGACTAATAATTATAGCTGGAATGAATGAAAACCAAATACGAGATGTTTCACCAAAAATTTTGGACATTCCCGTCAATAATTGAAAAGCGTCTACATTTATACATTGATAAATTGGTTACAAATAAATAAATAAAAAAACATTCAACTAGAAAAAAAAACTTACTATCAACAATTGTTTCTGCTGTCCAACTATGACCCAATAAAATATTAATATTTCCAATTGGAATTCTCCAAAATGGAACATTTATACCAGAAAATTTATTAATCATCAATTTGGATCTTGACCATTGATGAATTTTTCTCAACAAACGTATGATAAGTAATGAAACAATAATGGATATGATTCCATAACGTATGAATAGAAGAGTAATTTGACGAAAAAATAATGAAACATTTGGTTCATCTGTTGTTGGTAACGTTGTCAATGTTGTTGTAGCCATTTTCTTCACTGGTTTTTAATCAATTTAATTTAATGAAATTGAATTATAATTTTGATGAAAATTATTCCCATTTATATAAAAACCAATCGCAATTGATCAATCAAATCGAACAAAATCTTTTCATTTTCTTGGGAAATCGTTTTCGGTTTCATAAATTTCAATTCAACAGTAAAAAGTGTGTATTTTTCGTGTGCTGTGAAGGTATTTTTCGTAGATATGAAAAATGTACGAACAAAGATAAATCAAAAAGAAAAAAAAAATTTTTGTTACAATCCATTATGATGATTGATAGCGTGTAATATGTACTTATTTCAAATTTGATCGACGTTGACATCGAGAATTTTATTTTCATTTCGGTTTATTATCAATGTACATTAGATGCAAACGATTGTTTGTCAATTGACAAAGCCAAGCATTTTGTTTTGCAAATTAATTATAATATAATTAATACATTAATTATAAGATTAAAAGATTGGTGTTTTGTGTTCATTTTGCTGATAAATTTGTTTTGAATTTTGTGTTTTTTTTATTTATGCAGCCATTATCTTCATTGATATATAACGGATTGATCATTGTCACAAATTTAATACATCAACATCATCCTGATGATAATGTTTATAGACATTTTGTACATTTTGGCATACATTTTTTTTCGGACAAAAAAAAATCAGCTGATTGACCGCGTAAAGTGTAAATGTGGAAATGTAATTCACGATTTATCGTTTACTAATGGGATTTTGTTATTGTTGTTTTTTACACAGAGAAAACCAGTAATCATGTGTGTGGCATCACATTTGATTTTATTTTAATCATCATTTAAATTTGAATAAACATAAGCAAAAGTTGGTGGAATAAAAGGATTTATCTCTTTTTTTATTTTCGTTTGATTTGATTAAAAATTATATACGTTGTATGAAACGAATATTGACTGATGATTTTGGTTTTAAAATTAATGCCGCTTTCATATTAACATTACCAAGATAATCACCGGATTCAACACGATATCGAGACAATAAAGTGGCCAACATGATTTTCTCTTCTTGTAGAGCAAATTTTTGTCCAATACAATTACGTGGTCCGGCTGAAAATGGCACATAAGATAAGCAAATTTTTCCTCCAATACAATTACGCCGGCTGAAAATGGCGCAAATGGATTCATACGGCCACAATAATGTTCAGAACCTTCGATAAAACGATCCGGTATGTTGCGTTCTGGTTGTTGAAAATATTTTGATCTCTTTGTATCATATTTGTCCAATACAAATTTCGTTTTACGTTCTTTAATAACATTCATTGTGAATTCGCGAATTAGTTTAATATCACAACGATGTTCACGTCCTTCGGCCAAAAAATTAAAATAAATGAAATTATTTTGAAGCCATGGCAATAACATTCGTTTCATAATTGTAGCCATAGTTCTGAAATTTGGATGAATTTAATTATGACAGCAAAAAAGTCCAATCATGATCACTAACCTTGCAACTGCATCCACATAATCACGATTCTTATCGAGTTGTGAACCAATTTTCACACCCATTGCAGTTTCCGAGATAACATCCAACGTTGCATTCGTTATTAGTGGCACAATATCTAGATAACCATTACCACCTGCTTTCAGTTGACGATCATTGATTATACGGGAAAGAATTTGTGCCTGTTCATTCATGATGGGTAAAAATTGTTCCAAAATATTAAAATGAAATGTTGGTGTCAATAATTTTCGTCGTGAACGCCATTTATCCGATGAACTGGTCAATAGTCCTTCATTCAGCCATGGTTTAAGCATTTCATAATATTGATCTTTATCTAAAAATGTATCAGTGCTGGATAATATTTTCTAAATGCAAAAAAAAATTTCGAATACTATTTCCAGACAAAAACACAAAACTCCGCAATATATACTTACTTCAGCAACATCGGCATGACAAATAATCATAGTTGGAAACAATGAAAGCCAAATATGAGATGTTTCACCAAAAAGTTTGGACATTCCGGTCATCACTTTAAAATAATCTAGATGTTTTTTTTTAATAAATGAATAGTGAATTTGTCATTAATTTATAAAGCAAAAAAATTTTTTTTTTTTTACCATCAACAATTGTTTCTGTTGTCCAACTTTCAATGAATAACATGTCAATGTTTCCAATTGGAATTTTCCAAAATGGAACATTTATGCCCGAAAATTTACAAATCATCGATCTTGATCGTAACCATCGCTGCATTATTCTCATTGAACGTAGCAAAAGAAATGAAAAAATAATGGAAATGATTCCATAACGTATAAATAGAAGAATTATTTGATGAACGAATGTTTCAATATTCGTTTCATTTGTCGCCGTTGTTGTCGTCTTCTCGGTCATCATCATTGTTTCTAAGAAAAAAAATGATATCAAATCAAATCATATCGTTCATTTATATATTGAATATTAATCAATACAAAAGAAGTTTTCATCATCACTTCAATTCCCTTGTTATTATTATATTCAAATGTTTGTTTGTTGATGTCCAAGCATAATGCATTAGTAAAACGATAATTCCATAAAATGTTGTTGTTTTTTAGACAGAAAAAAAAATTAAAAATAGTAATTATCATGTGTTTTATCATTATTTGATTCTGATTTCAAATATAACTTAAATAAAGATAAACAGAAGTTGCTGAAATGAAGGGATTAATCTTTTTTTTTTTTCGCTTGATTAGATTAAAAATTATATACGTTGTATGAAACGAATATTGACTGATGATTTTGGTTTTAAAATTAATGCCGCTTTTATATTAACATTACCAAGATAATCACCGGATTCAACACGATATCGAGACAATAAAGTGGCCAACATGATTTTCTCTTCTTGTAGAGCAAATTTTTGTCCAATACAATTACGTGGCCCGGCTGAAAATGGTAGATAAGCAAATGGATTCATACGGCCACAATAATGTTCAGAACCTTCGATAAAACGATCCGGTATGTAGCGTTCTGGTTGTGGGAAATATTTTGGATCTCTTTGTATCATATAAATTACGAGTATAATTGACGTTCCTCTTGGTATGATACGACCGGGCTCTATTTCCGTGTCTTGTTGTGTGTAACGTGATATTACCGGTACCGATGGATAAATTCGTAAAGATTCTTTGATACAGGCCTCCAGAAATTTCATCTGTCTTAATTGATTTTGAGACCAATTCTGTGTTGTTTGATCATCATCATCATCAGATTGTTGCCGTATTTCGTCGATTTCTTTATGTACACGATACTGAATGTCAGGATGATTGCCGAGCAAATGTAATGTCCATATCAATGACATTGCCGTCGTGTCATGACCTTCAAACATGAATGTATCCACTTCTTCACGAATATCCAATTCGGTAAATTGTTTTGGATCTTTCAAGTGTTGCTCGATCAATAGATCCATGAATGCTAAACGACGACCATTTTCATTCGCATTCAAATCAAGATTCTTTTGGTTGACAATTTCGTTTTTACGTTCTTTAATAACATTCATTGTGAATTCACGAACTAGATTAATATCACGACGATGTTTACGTCCTTCGGCCAAAAAATTAAAATAAATGAAATTATTTTGAAGCCATGGCAATAACATTCGTTTCAAAGTTGTAGCTGAAACTCTGAAAATTGGACGTATTTATGATGGGAAAAAAGCTCATCCATGATCACTAACCTTGTAACTGCATCCACATAATCACGATTTTTATCGGAGTTGTGAACCAATTTTCACACCCATTGCGGTTTCCGAGATAACATCCAACGTTGCATTCGTTATTAGTGGCACAATATCTAGATAACCATTACCACCAGCTTTCAGTTGACGATCGTTGATTATACGAGAAAGAATTTGTGCCTGTTCATTCATGATGGGTAAGAATTGTTCCAAAATATTAAAATGAAATGTTGGTGTCAATAATTTTCGTCGTGAACGCCATTTATTCGATGCACTGGTCAACAGTCCTTCATTCAACCATGGTTTAAGCATTTCATAAAAATTATCTTTATCTAAAAATGTATTAGTGCTGGATAATATTTTCTGAATGCGAAAAAAAATTTACGGTTACTATTTCCACACAAAAATCCACAATCTATACTTACTTCAGCAACATCAGCATGACTAATAACCATAGTTGGAAACAATGAAAACCAAATATGAGATGTTTCACCAAAAATTTTGGACATTCCGGTCATCAATTTAAAATAATCTAGATGATTTTTTTTAATAAATAAAAAGTGAATTTGTCATTAATTTATAAAACAAAAAATTTTTTTTTACTATCAACAATTTTTTCTGTTGCCCAACTTTCAATGAATAACATGTCAATATTTCCAATCAGAATTTTCCAAAATGGAACATTGATTCCATGAAATTTACTAATCATCGATTTTGATCGTAACCATCGTTGAATTATTCTTATTGAACGTAGCAAAAGTAATGAAACAATAATGGATATGATTCCATAACGTATAAATAGAAGTATTATTTGATGAACGAATTGTTTCAACATTCGTTCCATTTGTAGCCGTTGTTGTTGTTGTCGTCGTCGTCGTGACCATCGTCATTTGTTTTAACCAAAAAAAAAAAAATGAAATGAAATCGAATCAAATCATATCACCCATTTATATATATTGAATATTAATCAATCCGAAAAAAAAAGTTTTTATCATTATCACTTCAATTACCTTGTGATCATTATGCATGTGTTTTTTGTTTTGATGCGCATGCACAAGGTAATGTTATATTTGATATAATTTTTCATGTCATATTTTTTTTGTCTGTGTTTGTGTGTCTGTTGAATCGATATTAAAATTTTTTTCTGTTGAAAATCACGATGATGATGATGATGATAAAATGAACCAATTTTTTTTCAAAAATATTTTTAATGCGATTGACATTGACATGAAAACTTTGTTGTTCGATTTGTGTTTTATTTATTTATCAATCAATACACATATATTTGTGATTTGTGATATGAAATTTTTTTTTTTTTTTTTTATCATTTCGCTGACCGAGCTCAACCGAATTCATTGTGGTGATTATATTTATCAATTTGTTTCGCTGCTTTGATTCTTTTTTATTATTATTATTAATCAATGTTGATTATTTTATGTATTAAATACCAATGACAAATTAAATAGGAGAGATCTTGGACCATAAAATATCAATATTTATCGACATTTAATCATCATAGACTTTAAATAACACAATTATCCTCCATGAAAGAAAGAAATTCATATATCTCAATTTAATAGTATGAATAAATTGATTATTACGACCAGGTCAGCTTTTTTTTCGTTCAATAATTCTAATCGAAAAAAAACTAGAACTGTTTTTGTGTGTGTGTGAGGTTAAATTCATATCCCAGGAAAAGAATAAATTTTTTCATCAGTCCCTGATGATTATTTCGAGTGTACATTTTACATTTTATATATCGTTAGCAACAAAAATTCCAATGATTCTTGATGAATTCCTTGTGTACATAAATTTTTTTGTTTTGTTTTGCGTCAATAATTCTGTGAAGAAAACTGGCTATTTTTTCACCTTTTATTGGAAATTTTTTTTTTTCGTTTCTAAGTATTTAAGATTAAATTTAAGAGTAAATTTTTTTTTATTTTTTATTTTTTTGATTCATCTAACGAATATTTATGTTCACAAGAAATTTTCTTTCCAGTCATAACAATGAATAAAATGATTGAAATTTTTCGGAAAAATTTCCTATCCATTCGAATAATTTCCATTGGTATAGTAAGAATGATTAGTCCATTACTACGATTAGATGGATTGAATTATATGAAAAGATATTTCGATATGTACAATGATCAACAAAGACAATGTAAACAATTCGATTGTGACCAGATTAGCAAACAATTTCGTTTATCATGGATTGGTCAACATCATCATGAGAAATGTTCCATTTGTCAAGTTGTTAGTTTCATCGAATTAATTTTATTAATATGCATTATCCATCCTATTGTTCAAATGTTTCAAGACGATAGCAATACTTTTAATAATTATCTTACTGCTAATCTATTTGCAATCACACCAGTAGGTCGTCGTATTCTTGTTCTGTTTATCATCATGTTCGTCATACAGATCCAATATTATCTTCATCGGCTTTATTACCGGAATCAATCTGTTTCCATTCTCAATGCTGTATTATTTCAACAAGATAGACAACAATTTCATCCACCATATCGTTATCGTACTAGAATGGCAGGTAAAGTAGTCAAAGATATTGCCATGATGATGATCAAAATGGTCAATCTTTTTATGATTATAACTAGTGAGTCATTCAAAATGTTTTGTAATCTTAATAAATTTGATTTGTTGCATCATTTTAGTTTTGATTATCATATCAATGGAGCTATTATTATTAAAATTTATCCTTGAAAATTTGGACTATTTTTTCGCTATATTTAATCGGCCAATTTTCGTTTCTCTAAATCACGCCATGTGGCTAATGTTGATGTCATTCTTTTGGAGATTATATGAATTTTTCATCATCATTTATGCACATTGTTGTGCATTATTTGCACTATGTTTATTGTTGTTTATGATGATTTTTTTGATAAATGTTTGGCAAACAAAACAATTATTAATCAATTTAAGATGGATAACGATTTTTCAAAGATTGAAACGTTTTCAACATTTCAATACATATAATCTGAAATTAATACAATGGGGAAATGTCTATTGTGAAGCGGTCACTGTATTTATATTTGTTAACATTCCAATCAATTGTTACATTGTTTTATACATATTGTCTGGTTGTTCAAATTGGTTCTATTCATTTATTTTATCCATTATTGCATGTCAACAGATATTGTGCATATTTGGTGTTCATCTAATGTTTGCCATTTGTAATAATAATTTTCAAGAATCATCTACACGATTCTTGAATCTATTGGCTCGAGAATCCTGTAGACAATCACGTGTGAAGAATTTATCATTGTTATTGAAAATATCCAATTATGGCCATGCATATCATACGGAGAATAAATATGGCTTTACATATGGAAAATTGCAGCTAATATCGATGCGAGAATTCCTAATGGTAAATGATTAGAACCAATGTTTTTTGTTAATTAATAATGATTCTTTTTTTTCTCTCTCTCACCAACAGTTTCTATTACTTTATTGTCAATTTATAATGTTCTTCTTTCAATATATTTGAATCAGAATCAAAAGTATTTCAAAACGTGTAATAATAACTTGTTTATAGATAGAATTCAATAAATTAGTAATTTGAAATAAATAAATGTTTATCATTTCTGGCTTCCATCTAGTGTCTGAAATTTGTAAAATTGTAAATTTTTTAAAAATGACAAACAAACACAAAT